TCACTTACCGCAGTATGGCACGTTCTGCGCGTGGCGGGTGCAGATGGACGCGGGCGCGCGGTGGAGCGACAGGTCGTTTCGCCATCTCCCCATCCGCATCGTTTCGTGGCTCTTCGTGGTGCTTGTTCAATCCGTCCGTCTTGGAGACCGTTGGAGTTCTTGTGGAGGTTGTGCTCCGTGCTCTTGCTTGGTTAGACTTTGGGAATCGGTATCTCAGGCTTTTCGTCCGGCGATCTGGCGCACGGCACGCTCAGTTGACGTCCACGGTCCTGCATGTCCAGCAGACCCGCCCACTGCATCTCGTCTCCACCGCGGAGCCGCTCCTCACTCCGTACGCAGTGACCGGTGGCCGCCCGCCGTCGTCCGCTACTGTCCGCCCATCTACCTTGACACGAACGCCCATGATCCCCTACTGAACCTGCCTGTCGACGCCCTCCCCCCGCCGACACCCGCCTCACCATCCGACATTCGTAACCATCCCGACGCGACTGCCAGCGCGCATGCCCCGCTCGAGCATGCGCATGTCGTTCGCACAATCCAGCTCGGAATGTAGGGACGACTCTTGCCGTGTCCCCAGCTCCCCATCCTCGTCACGCCTCGCAGAAACCCCACCACACCCCCGAGCCTCCTCGTCCAAACCGTCCAACTCGTCCTCCCGCTGTCCTTCCCCGTCTCGGCCGCGCGCGCTCCTAGCTGAGCGTCGTGTTTCAAGAAGCCAGAGTCTTATTCACGCTGGACGCCCCCGTCCCGAAAAGCTTCGGACATCCTGTCTTTCTTCCCCACAAGATCTTCCTGGCGTCGATCATAATCGACACCGACCTCTTCGATCCAAGGCCGCATCCCCGGCGTGCCGTCACAGCTGCGGAGGTTGCGGAAAGTGTAGCGGACAGTGCAAAGCATCGAGTGGTTCGCGGTAAGCTGCGTTCTATATTTCTTTGCGTTCTGTCACCCTTCCTTCTCCCGCAACCCAGTTCTTCTTGCGCTGTTGTGCTCGCACATATCACTTCTCACCACTGCCACGTTGTCGACAATATGTTATGGTTCCCTTTGCCTTCGTATGAATGCTCATATGTTCCTCCTCCCCCAGCTCGATGGTTCGCTGGTCCGCAGTTGCAGCGCTCTTTCTGCTCAGCTTGCCCTCCGTGCCTCGTGTGCAAGCGGCAGTTCTACCGTTTCCTTCGCGCCACGATGCATGCCATTCCGCATCTGCCACTTTGCCTTCTCCCTTGCCCGAAATGGGCGCTTCCTCCACCATTCCCTATTGGAGACGACAAGCAACGGACACCAGCGGGGGCGGGTCGCCGACGTCAACAGCGACGAGTGCAGCGAGCTCTGGGACGGACGCGTCAGCGTCGGTCACGCTCCCAAGCAGTGCGGCCTCTAGTTCGGCTCCCGCCTCGCAGGACCCCACGGACTCCGGTTCTGCGTCGTCGGCAAGTTCGCCGGCGGGTACTCCCACCGCGGTGTCGATGGACACGACCACGGCGGGCTCTGCGTCCGCGAGCGTCTCCCTGGTGCGTTTCTTGGCACATTTCTCGATAAATGCCCCGCTCACATCCTGTGGTTTTTTGTAGTCGACGAGCGTGCCCTCGATTTCGGTAAGCTTGCCGACGTCTGTCCCGACGTCTATCTCATTTCCGACATTGACAACTGTTCCGACGACCATCTCTGTGACCTCGCTCTCACTGCCGCTTTCTTCAATTTCACTCACTCAGTCGACCACCACTGAGCAGTCTTCGACCACAACGACGATTGCGGGTCCGACAACATCGACTAGTACGGTGCCACCGCCAAGTTCCAGCTCCAGCATACCTGTTTCAAGTGCAAGCTCGACTTCGGCACCGCCAACTTCCACGTCGGTATCGTCGGGCCCCACCTCGACAACGACCTCAAGTAGTGCCGTGAGCTCATCGTGAGTGTCTTCATTCCATCATTTTCACCGGTCTTCCCCCCTCTTTCCTTTTCCATACGTTCCGAATTTGCCTTCCCGGCTGCATATTATGGGCGCATATGATGCACTACATGCTGTGCCGGCCCAGGTGCCTTTAAGCATCATTGCAGTTGCCGCTTCGAGATCCGCGTTCCGCGCCGGACTCTTACCATATATTGGTCTGTAGTGCCTCCAGGACCACCCCGGTCCGAACGTCCTCAACTTCAATTCCGTTGTCTTCGTCAGCTACATCCAGGAGTACCTCGCGAACTGTCTCGTCTACCTCGCGGTCGTCGACTTCGTCGTCTGTCACGTCTTTTAATACTTTGAGGTCTTCCTCCACCTCAAGTTCTACCTCATCCACGTCTACTTCCTCATCCACTACCGTTTCCTCTACGTCCTCATCCTCATCCACGTCCTCATCCACCACCTCTAGGTCATCCTCCACGTCTTCCTTCTCATCCTCGTCCTCATCCTCATCCTCTACGACGTTCTCATCTTCGTCGTCCTCTTTGTCATCGTCTTCTGCTTCCATGTCTTCGAGCTCATCTTCCGCCTCTGTATCATCCTCTGCTTCATCCACATCCTCATCCTCTGGCATATCTTCCAGCACCACAGCCAGCGGCACGATCACGAGCATTTCCACGTCTTCATCTGCACCCGTCACGAATCCTTCCTCCATCTCTGCTTCGTCTAGCTCTGTCGCGGCGTCTCAAGTCTCCTTCTCGTCGTCTATCACCCCCTCTAACACTGCCTCCAGCCTCCCCGCTTCCTCTAGCACGTCTCGGACCACCACGTCGTCATCTGTGTCTACACGACCGGTTCTTAATCCCACTTCAACGCCTTCAACGGTCACAGTGCAGTCCGCCACCACCCTGTACACGACAGTGGTCGAAACAACGACGTTCACCTCGAACGGCAGGACACAGACGAGCACCTTTACTACGATCGTCCCCACTGGCACTCTGCTTCCCAATGGGAGTAATACCAATGGGAACATGTAGGTCTCTCCGTGTCTTCCAACGTGATTAATGCTAATACACGCATACGTAGCTTTGCTCACGACAAGGGTGCCCTTGCCGGCCTCATCATCGGTGTTGTCGCGTTCCTGGCCTTGATAGCTGCATGGGGCGGGTTCGCCTACCGCCGCCACCACATACACCGCATGCAAGCAGAGGCGGCAGCCGCAGCCCTCGGTCGTGGAGGCGGAGGCACCCGCGCGCTTGTGCTGGATGAGGAAGACGACGACCACGGCGCAACGCGTTTCGTAGGCTCCGGCCCCGCATCCGGCGGAGGCGCAGCCGCCTACGACCGCCTCAGAGGAGGAAACAACAACCTGGACTCCCCGGGAGACGACGGTGGCATCAACCCTGTCGGCGACGCGCGCAGCCAGGACGACGCAGGCGGCGGATTCGCGGGGCTAGCCCCCGTGCCCATCATCGGTGCCGGGGAAGACGCGTCCCTAATGCATCCCGCGAACCGCTCGGCCGCGGACATCACGCTCCCGGCGGGCCCAAGCTCCGACGAGGAGATGGGCGTGCTTCCCCCGCTCAGACCGCCGAACTCGCCCACCCGTTCCGTCGCTTCGTGGCTTTCATCTGGTCCTGGACCCGAGCCCGCAGCGTGGTTGGGTGGCCGGGCGGTGTCTTACGGCTCTCTCCGGAGCCCAGACGATCCGTTCAGGTCAAGTGCGGCCCCGGGGTCCCCCACATCGCCCACCTCACCGGCCAGCCGCTCGTCAGTGTACTCCGACGAAGGCCAGTCGAACGTAGGACATATGTCGCTCAATCCCGACGTGCCAGTGGGTGCCGCCGCGGCGCTCGGCGCTGTGTACACAAGCCGAAACACCAGCATGTCCTCTCACGGACACTCGTCCCACGGACACGCTGGTGCGGGGACCGGTTCGTCTTCGGGCGGACATGGCTCTTCGAGCGGACACAAGACCGGCTCGTCGTCCGGGCACAAGACTGGCTCGTCCTCCGGCCATATGCGCACCTCGCTCATCGGCCCGCCCGTCCCCTCGAGCCTCTTGCCCACGCAGACCCAGCGACCTGAGTCTCCCCCATCAGCGTACCGCGACGGCGGCGACGAGGAGAGTGGCCGCATGCCTGGCAACCAGCGGCGTATGAGCGGCTTCCTTGGCCGCTCCCTGCGTGGTCTCCGGATTCGCAGCCCCCGACAGTCCGTCTCGTCCCTCAGCGGAGTCGTGACCCCGCCCATGCGCTCTACCTCCCCTGCGGCGTCTTCCACGCTCCTCGCGAGCGCGAGCCCGCGGCAGTCGGTGTACGATCCCGCGAGTGTGCGCCCGTCGTCGATCTTCCGACCGCAGTCGCCGACGCTCGGTGCGCTACCCGAGCCTGGGTTCGCGCAGGCACAGGGGGCTGGTGGACCGGGTCCGAGTGGAGACACACATCCTCTCGCTGCTTCGACCGGGGTATCGGCATGGCCAGGGTTCGCTGCACTTTTCGGACCGCAGGCTATGCCAAGTCCAGCGCTCACTGAGGGCTCGAGTGTACACGCCCCCGACGGCCTGCTCGACCCGAGAATAGGTTTGGGAGCACGCCCAGGCATGCAGAGTCAAGGTGCATTGAGTTTCAGGGATGATATGGATTACTCCAGACCGATCGGAGGGGTAAGTGCATTTTCATATGTGTAGACCTGGCTGCATAGCTGATACTGCGTCTGCAGCTGGTGAACAACAGGCAGTACAGCCGGACGACGATTCAGACGATGTCGACGCGTGACCCGCACGACCCGCACGACCCGCACGGGTCGCCCCGGCCCCGGCGTCCATCGCTCGAGTCGCACGATACTCAATCGACGCGGGCGGAGACCATACATCCGCACATCGACATCGAGGCCCCGCCCGATGAGTGACGTCCTTCCCAGCCGTAAGCTGCACTGCACTGTCCCTGTTGTGTTTCGTGGACCGTACTAGAGACCTTTTTACGCTACCTTGGGCTGCGCGCGTACGCTTTACCTACCCTATCCCCCCACACACGCTTACTACCGCTCCCCTTCGCACATTTGCATGCACGCGTTACCTCCGGCCCGTCCGCTAGACTCTCGAAACACACGCACGCTTGCCCCGCCTGCTGCCCCGCTCGCTACCCACGCTCGTTGCCAGCCGCTCACCGCTCACCGTCTCCGTTAATCTCTGACCGTGTCACCCGCCCCACAAAACCTCGCGCGGCCGCGCTGGCCAAAGGGATTCCCCATATCCCCGGACCCCCCACACCCACACCCGAACTACCCCACACATCCATTATTCCTCAATCATCATACGATACTCCCCCGCTAACTCCTGTCGTCCGCACCCGCTCGCGCTATCGTGATCCGTTTTGATGCTACGTTCAGTGTATACCCTTCCCCGGACCCCAATGACTTTGCCCCTTGCCCTCCCTGGCGGCGGCCCTGGCGACGCTCCACCCCTGCGCCCCTGGACCCTTTCCGCTGCCGCCGCGGGACTCGGACACGCGCCGAACTACTTCGCACCGCGTACATGCTACTATTACTCCTACTAGTGCTGCTTGCTTGCCCCCTCCCTGTGTGTATCCGTACTTGCCCCGCGGGCCTGCTGCCGCACCCATACACGCCTTGCGACGATTTAGAACACCCGCTGAATATAGCCATGCATATATACATATACCGTATACCGCACCGCGCGGACGTGCACCGCGTGTGGTCGTGCGCCCTGGTTGGGGTGGAACTTGCAGGTACGTCGTCGCTTCGGTTTGGACCTTGTGCTTGATTGCTTCGATCGTAGGAGTATAAGTACACGCATTTGTATTTGCCTCTTCGCGGACCCCTGCCTCGTTCCTGTCAAGGGCCTGCCCAGTTCACTCTGACTCCGCCCCCCCCCCCGGCCAGACACAGACGGTGCGGATCACAGCCAGCCCCGCGCCTTGAAGTCGTCCAGGATGTCCTTCGTTGTCTGCTCGAGCGTCCGGAAGGGCACGCCCAGGAGCCGCCGCTCCTTCTCGGGCGCGTACTGGAACAGGTGCGTCGCCTTCGACGGGTCGTACGCCGTGTTTCCCGCCGGGAGTGTCGGCTCCACACGGTGCGCGGCCGACACTGGGGTTCAAAGACGTTAGGTACGGGCTACAGTGAGGGCGAGAGCGCGACTTACCCCAGTCCTGCCACTTGTAGACGGACGCGCTGACGATGATGCGCTCGCCGCCCGCCTCGGGCTTCGTGAGCGCGAGGGCGTGCGCCAGCGCAAGGTCGCGAACGTCGACGTATGAGGATCTACACGAAAATATCAGCTCCCAATCCCACAAGAGGGGTGCAATAGACGTCCGACGCACCCAACATTCGCAAGCGTGTCATTGTCAACCTCGCCCTTGACGACCTTCAAGTACCACTCGCGCGCAGACTCGTTCAAGCCCTCCGCGCTGTCCACCTCATGTATCACCGGGCCAAACACAAACGGCGGGTTCAGCACCACAAGGTCCCACGCAATCTCGCCCTTGTGCTCCTCGACAAACGCCCACGCCGCGCGCTCCGCGAGCGTCTTGCTCGCGCGGTACTTCGCGGGGGCCGTCGCGCTCGCGCCCTGCGCGCGCACCTCCTGCACGCTGCCCTCGTTCCAGTCCGTCTCGCTGAACACGCGCGGCTCCGTCGAGAGCGTGAGCACGGCCGCGCACGAGGAGGTGACGACGACACGCTGGACGGCGGTGCCGAACTTGAGCGCGGACTGCAGGATGCCGGTCGTGCCGTGCACGGCGGGCACGATGAGCTCGTCGGGCTCGACGGCTTTGAAGTGGAAGGGCGAGGCGGTGTGCTCGATCGCGTCGACGCCTTTGACGGCTTCGTCGAACGCACCCTCCTAGATGCCGCGGAGCATTTGTCAGTTTGGCGATCGCCGACGGCGTTCATGGATGGATGTGTACCTTGGTGATGTCTTCTACGATGACGATCTCAAGCTTGTCACCGTACGATGCAAACGTCTCACGCAGATGGGCCGCCTTGCTCTCCGAGCGGACCGTTCCGCGGACCGCGAAGCCTTGCTCAAGGAGGGTTTTGACGACCCACACGGCGATAAAGCCGTTTGCGCCTGTCACGAGGACTTTTCCGGAGGTGATTGCGGGCATATCGTCAGTACGAGCTACGGTGGGTGTGGGAGGTGCAGCACTGGTCCTGCGTTCACAAGTAGGATGAGCGTACTCGCTTTATATAGGCGCGGCAGTGGGAGGAAGGCCGCGGCAGATAAGGCTGCCACTCAATCGCGTGATAGCATCGTCATACGCCCCCGAAGCCTCTAATTAATGCACACGGAAGTTCGACTCACATTTTGGTACTGGACTCCGATTAGCTCAAAGCGAATGGGCGTCGTGTCACCGGCAGGACACCCTCCGAGCACCTTCCCAGACTTGGGTAGTCGCGACCCACATGGCTTCTTACTTTACAACATGTATCGGGCGACTGCTTTCGCGGCCGAAAGATCTACAGCCATCCTCTCGTCTTGAAGTCCTCGATGACATCCTTCGACGTCTCCTCAAGCGTGCGATACCGGATCCCGAGTATGCGCTGACTCTTCTCCGCGTTGTAACTCACCAGTTGGACAATCTTCGCGGGATCGAACGCTTCGGGCTCTCCCGCAGGGATCTTGTCAGAGTGAGGGCGCGATGCGTTGACTGAGGGGTAAAGGTCAGGTGTGTATATATGTAACGCGAGGATTGAACGTACCAAATTGCTGCCAGACGTACGGCCCTCCCCTTATGATGAACCGTTCTCCTCCAGCGTCAGGCGTGATCAAGACGAGGACCTGTGCGTGCGCAAGGTCGCGCACGTCCACCCACTCGGATCTGCCGAACACGATCAGCATCGGCAGTGGCGTCCGGTCCGGACCCCCTGGATTTGAAAGATAAAAGAACGAAAATGCTTACCCATTCTTGACCAGCCTGTCTCCCGACAGATCGCCTTTCACGACATGGTCGGCCCAATCCCTCGCCGTCCCGCCCAACGTCTCCAGACTAGACGCCTCGTGCACGAAAGGCCCAAAGATGAACGGCGGGGCGACCACAGAAAGTTCCCAGCCCAACTCTCCACCAGCCTTCGCCTTCTCCGCCTCGTAAAAATCCCAGGCGGCGCGCTCGGCCAGCACTTTGCTCGCGCGGTACTTTTGCCAGCCCGCGGCGGCGCGCCCGTTCTCTTGCACGTCCTTGACCGCGTCCTGGTTGAAGTCCTTCTCGTCGAGGACACGCGGGGCGGACCCCGGCGGGAGGGTGCTGACGACTGCGGCAGTGGATGAGGTGATGACTACGCGTTTGACGGTTGCGCGGTGCTTGAGGGCGCTGTTGAGGACGCTCTTGGTGCCCTCGAGCGCGGGTAGGATGACATCGTTCGGATCGTCTGCTTCGACGTTCACTGGCGAGGCGATGTGCAGTATCGCGTCGGTATCCTGCGCAGCTGCGTCAAACGCCCCTGGCTGGATGAAACGATTAGTTTTCGAGTTGTAAGATAGACGGAGAGCGTGCAGACCTTTGTGATATCCGGGACGACGACGAGTTCAAGTTTGTCACCGTGCGCTTTGAAGAGCTCGCGGAGGTACGTGCCCTTGCTCTCCGAACGAATGGTACCACGCACGGTGAAGCTCCGCTCGAGCAGGTACTTGAGCACCCAGACCGCGACGTATCCATTTGCGCCGGTTACGAGTACGCGCCCCGAAGTAATTGCAGGCATGGAGTTGAGGTTTGTCCAGGTGGCCGGAGGAAGGAAGATGTATGTGCTTCCACACTGTCCCAAAGCTGTGCCTTATATAGTTGCCGGCGGGTCGTATGCTGCGAGCTCGACAGTGGCGCGCCATCGCACGCCTGTATGAGTGTGAGGCTCGGGCGAGCTTCCTAAGCACCGGCTTCTTCGTTGTCTCTCCTGGAAGCTGGACGTCCGAAAAATATCATCTGGCTTGTCAGAATGGGTAGGTTTTGAGATGGGTATTGCTGGCTATGCGCACGCTATGTGCCGATCTATGTATGTCGAAGAGTGAGCAGAGACTCAACGAATCAGCAGGAATCAGCTCATTCGGTTGCGGCTCGCTTAGGCGGAATTATATGGCATCCGTAACGGGTCAGCTTCCAAGCGCCCATTCAGCCACTCACCCACGCGAGTTTCCTGATGGATCCTTTGCCACCGCTGGATCCGCCCTTTACGGCGTAATAACTTTTGTGCGAGATATCTCTTTGAACTCCTGCAGCCAATCCTGCGGGGCGTTCATGCACCCACGGCTCCGACGACTGTTCATATCTCACACCCGCGACTGCGACTGTATGTATTAAATGGTGCGCAAGTCACCCTGCCCCGCAGCGCCCTCCCAAAGACATTGATTTTACTGTGTTCCAGTCGACAAAGCCAGAGCAGCGGAATGAATGGGGACGCGCACCCCCCTTGCGGCGGCACGCAAAACAGCCAGCCTACAACAACGTGCATGCTGGCGCCCATCAAATACGACAATACCAAGGGTCTGCTGAGCTTTTCTTGCGCCGCCAACCACCCTGCCACTAGCCTCAAAAACGCCGCGTCCATATCACACCGTCTTCGCGCAGGTGAGAAAACATCTACTAGGTGTGCAATATGCCAAGATGAGTGTACGGGAGTCTCTGATAGAATTACTCCACGCAGATTGAGTACACACCTCGATTCGCGCGTCCTGCACAATCACCAGGCATAGTACACGTCAAGCTGCATCTCTCCTGCGGAAGTTGAGACCGCTGAACTGTGTGTTAGGTACGATGCTCTTCGTTCGCATGCTTCAACAGCTGGGAATAATTCGCACACACGCGCTGCACTGAGCTCCCTGCACCATCCGGAGCACATGGGATCGGGGAAGCCTGCCATTTCGCCTTCCTGAGCGGGATCTGCGAGCGCGGGTGCGGGACATGCACGCGCTCCCCCGAGGCACCAGTGCTCGAGGGCAGCGCGGAGAACGAGCGTACCAGCCGTCTCCGGGCTTTCCTGCTCGCCAACGGCCACGGCGGGAAGGCAGCGCATGGGCGACACACGCACACGAGTCCGCCTCACACGCGTGCAGCTTGTCTGCACCCGGCACACCATAACGTTCCCACCGCATGCAGTCGCTTGTCCTGACTCCCGGCCCCAACGGCGAGAGAGAGATCTTGAAGGCAGCCGGAGTCGACGTCCTCCAGGCTGCTCACACAGACGGTGCACTGTACAAGTATATATTTCGCATGCAACACGTACATCACCCGGCACACTGCACGAACGGCGCCCGCGCACTACGGTGGCGGGCGCAGGTCTACTACCGACACGGCACGCGGCCCGCACACACGGCGGGGACGCATATAGGAGTCTCCAGGCTGTGGGGTCTCCAGTTCCAGCCACTCATCGCCCCGGAGTGTCCGCTCTCTCGCACTCGCCACCTCTTGCACCCTCGTTTCCACATCGTCGACGTGTGCCACGTCTAGGCTAGTGGGACCGCGCCCGTCCACGGGTTTGCCATCGTCTTCTCAGAACACCTGTCCATATTCCGCCGACGCGTATGTGGCTCGGTTGACGGCGGGCGCGACATACACGGGTGGTTGAGGATCCCGACTTCCGGTTATCCTCGCAATCCGATATTGGCCGCCTGTGCTCTTCTGCGGTGTGCTGCGGCGTGCAAGAGGCTTGGCTTAGTGCAAAGGAGGCCGACGGGGACAGGTTCATCTGCGAACTCGGAGACACGGTCACCGATCATCAGCTTATCTTGGGCCGAGGAGCCATAAACACTGTACACACGCGACACACTGATCGACGTGTGCTTCTTAACCTTCTTAACCTCACCATGTACGAAAGCTTCTCTTCCAGGTTCATATGTCTTCCAGTTATCGCATCCAGGTCGGCCCATTGTGTTGAAAAGGATACGATCCAGCCATGATGGCGATGTGTGGTGGTATATTAGTATAGAATTCAAGAGCCTGCTCGACTTGGAGGGGCGGAGAGCTGCACTACTGGGCCTATAATGTACTGCAAAATGTTAATGGCTGGATTTTAAGGCGGCAGCAATCTTGATATGGTTTCTTCAGGAGAAGTTTGTATAGTTCTAAGTAAGCTATAATGGACGTGAGAAAGAGATCGTGAAGGCTCACCGCCGAGACTCGGACTTTCCTTGTACAATATAACTCAAGCGCGAAGGCTTTGTTGAGGGTTCCGTATCATCGGGGCCACCGTTGGTCCAGATTGTAGACTGTCGCCAAAATAGTTAGCGCCGTCCCAGATGCAATGGCACCAACTACGTAGTGGACGCCCAACGTACCTCTGAGCAGGTGGCTGTCGCGGAGCGCAGGGAACATGTTCACGAAGCGCCCGTCGTCCGGGTCCGCCTCGTCGCGGTAATCGAAGGCGAAGAAAATCGCCTCCAAACCATCGAAGAATAGCGCGGAGGTGAGCACACGATCAAGTTCCGCGGCAAAGACGGGCATGGACGCCAGAGCGTGCGAGCTGGACTCAAATGCGAATTCGATGGAACGCAGAGTGTGACTCGTGAGGTGCGAGAGAAGCCAGGATAGCCACGTCCAGTCGGGGATGGCATTGCGGTCATGGCGGCAGTCGAATCGCAGAGTGCGCAGAATGTGGCAGTGTGAGAGATCGAGCTGCCTCTCTGCAGGGTTATGCGTCAGCTAACGTCGTCCTGCGACGATGTACACGTATCAGGGCGCTCTTACCGATGACCCTGAGGGGAAAAGCACCTGCGTCCCTCTTCGATATGTTGATCGAAATCTCCTCGAGCGTGCTTCCTGCGTTCTCCCAAAGCGCACCGATAGCTTGGCCGTCGTCGCGACTTGCAGAGAGTGCGTATTTGCAATCCACGCGGCGAAGAGAAGGGAATGTGTTGTACCGGAAGAGCCAGTCCACGACGGTGGTTCGCTGAGTAGAGCTAACTCGGAGGAACGTGAGGGAGGCCATAGTGCAACCTATGTCGCTCGCGATCTCCGGATCCAACTGCCGTTCGCATTCTAGGTGGTTTGCGGACAAGGACTTGAGATGGCTGAGCGCGCGGAGAATGATCGAGAAGTCTGCGAGGGTGGTGAACGTGACATCGTTTAGCTCCAACGAGGTAACGGAGGAAAGTTGCGATAGGGATCGCAGATAGCCGAGGCCGTAGCGTGTCGGCAGCCAGAATTGGTTGTGGACAGCGAAAAGGCGCGGCTGGATGATGGGATGTGCGCTCAACACAGCAGGAAGACGTGCGACTATGGTCTCTGCAGGTCGGAGGACACCTAGGAATGTGTTCTCCGAGACTTCGATCTCTTCTACGTATTCAAGAAGATGTGGAGCATTGAAAACCAAACAGACCAGACGATCGAGATGCCCGAGTACAGAGAGCCTGATGACGCGGAAGAGGTTTAGACGGCTTCTAGGTAACCATGCCTTGCAAACCAGGGACGTCGCCCTAAGAGAATCCTCGTCGCCTAAGGTGTCGATAGCATGCTCGAAGAGTTCAATGGGGAGAACGAGGGCGAGCATGGGGTATACAGGGCGGTTCGACAAAGGGCCGTAATGGGATCCCGAAGGGCGACTATATCTGTGATGTCTGAGTCAGACAGGTGCAGGTGAGTTTTCGTAACCGTGCGGTACCGTGAAGCCGTTTCCGAATCGTCCGGTACATAACCGATCAGACTTGCAGACTTTAAGCTGGGATCTAAGCGAGTGTTAGCGAAACCGTGGGTCAGTCGACTCAGACTAATCTCAAAGTACTCACTGTGCATGACCTGCGCACGTCTTGACGTAACCATACTCCTGTGAAAACTACTTACGTTGCACGCAAGCACTCACTGGGACTGAGACATCCTTGAGGCACGCATACACTCACAACCTGTGCGGCAGAATGACCCACTCTGGGCCACGGCGTGTGACAGCGTATTAGTTTGTGTATTATCAGGCAGGAAGGGCCGAACAACTGCACTACTGGACCTGTGATACAAGATGATAGAATCAATGGCTGAAGTACAAGGTGACATCGAATACTCACCATGACCACTCTGGTTTGGCGAGTGGCCTCAGTGGGTGTTCTAAGGTACCTGATCCAAATTGTACACTGCCGTCATACATAATTAGTGTCGATGGTGCTTCGCAGTGCGCACTAAACGTACCTTGGAGCAAGCGACTATCGCAGAGGGCCGGAAACATCTCAAAGAAGCGATTGTCATCCGGATCCGCCGCGTCAGAGTAGTCGAAGTCGAAGACGACAGAATCCAACCCATCCGAGAACAACGCGGACGTGAGCACCCGATCGAGCTCCTCGGCGAAGGTGTGCATGGATGCGAGGGCGTGCGAGCTAGACTCGAAAGCGAACGCGATGGTGCGCAGGGTACGGCATGTGAGATGTGACAACAGCCAGATGAGCCACGTCCAGTCGGGGACTGCGCCGCGCTCATGGCGGCAGTCGAATCGCAGGGTGCGGAGAATGCGACACGGTGAGAGATCGATCTGCAACTCTGTGAAGGCGCTTGTACGTGAGTGCTGCGGTGATATGTACACTCGAGAGGGCATGCGTACCGATGACCTCAAAGGGGAGGCGGCGCGCGCTAGCCGACCTCTTTGTTATGTTGATCGAAATGTCTTCAAGCGTCTCCCCGGCGTTCTCCCAAAGTTCGCCGAGGGCCTGGCGATTATCGGGATGAGAGAATTCGTATTCGCACTCCAGGCTGCGAAGAGACGGCATAGAGACGTGCCGGAAAAGCCAGTCCACGACAGTGGTAGGATGATAGGAGCTGGCTCGGAGAGACGTGAGGGAAGGCAAGATACAGCCTATGTCACTCGCGGTCTCGGGATCCATCTGCCGGTGACAGTCTAGGTGTTTCACGGAGAGGGACGTGAGGTGGCTGAGCGCGCGGAGGACGATGGAAAAGTCTGCGAGGGTGGTAAATATGACATCGAATAAGTCCAGAGAGGTGACGGACGAGAGTCGCGATAGAGAGAAAAGGTAGTCGGGATCGTAGCGCGTTGGCAACCATGCTTGATCATGAATGGTCAGAAGGCGTGGCTGGACGAGTGAATGCGCACTGAGCACAACAGGAAGGCGTGCAGCGATCGTCTGCGCGGGCCGAAGGACTCCGAGGAACGAGTTCTCCGAGATGTCGATCTCTTCCACGTATGCGGCAAGGTGCGGTGCATGGGAAAGTAAGCCTGCCAGACGATCGAGGTCCCCGGCTAGAGATAACTCGATGACGCGGAAAAGGTTCAGTCGACTTCTGGGTAACCATGCTCTGCAGACTAGGGACGTCGCTTTCAGAGATGCTTCGTCGCCCAATGAGTCGATAGCATGCTCATAGAGCTCGATGGGGAGGGTGAAGGCGAGCATGAGGCACAGATCCCTTTGAGCTGGAAGCGTACAGACTTGAAGACGGCGAGGGGGAATGTTAAATCTAGTAGACCTGAGTCAGATGGATGCGGGACGGTTTCCGTGACCAAGCGGAACCGTCAAGCCATTTCCGAGTGACTAATCAGTCAGCAAGTTAAACTTACGGGGATTCCTGACTGCTCCTCTATAGCGTTTGGAGCCTTAATCCAGGCCAAGACGGACGAGGTTTTATGCGAAGGAGCTGTAACCACCATTCGTGAGAGTCGTCATGATAAGTACTGCGGACTCCCTGACGCAATGTGCTGATGTTATAGCCCGCCCGAGCCCTCTATACTAGGAAAGTGTCTAGTAAGCTTTACCCAAAACGGATTTCAAATCCGAAATATGATACTCACAACCCATGTGCCAGGTGTTCAACAGTAGGTGGTAGGGGAAAAGAGAGAAAAGGTTCGACGTGAGCTGCAAACCGAAGAGTACATACGGGCGCTTGTCCGTGATACAGTTCGACTTCCGAAAACGGCAACGTGGTTTAACCTGCGTGAAGCGCGTAAGGGCCTTTTGCTCTCTCCCGTGCACTCACCCTTAAGCACCTTGTGGTGTTCATAGCTTTGCTCTGCTGATAGGCTCAAACGACACGTAAAACTCAGCTATGTCTTCGCGAAGAGTATGTTATATCGTCTCCAACGACCTCGTAAAGGTAAGCCCAAATGATAGAATCTCCACGCCTCTTGATCATAAAAACATGCCAACAATATCATCTTCTAGGCTTCATCTTTGCTACCTTCAAACAAAAACAGGTCTCTGTTAGTTCACACGCTAGCGAAAGCTTACGGACTATTGTCACCACGCGAGCCGGAAGGCAGCGGTAGCGCCACCCTCACAGTACTTCGACCCATACCTGCAGACACAAAGGAGCTATCCGCGTACCACGACCGAGATTACCTCGAGTTCGTCCTGAAATCTAACCAAGCTCCATCTGAGGAAGATATGAATGCCGAGTTTGGGATCGAAGAAGTATGTTTGATGGACTTGAGCCCGTGCTTGGCTTAGATGTCCAACAGGACTGCCCTGCGTTTCCTCATCTGCCGGAGTATGTGCGGCTAGTTGGTGGAGCAACTCTAATAGGTTCGTTACACTCTTTTTCCGAGGAAGTTTATTCGCGCCACTGACGCCACATCAGCTGCAAAGGCTCTTCGCAACAACCAAGCCGAAGTGGCTATATGCTGGGATGGCGGAAGGTATGCACGGGATTTCTCCACCAGAGTATGCCCTACGAAGTGCGAAACTGAACTATCCAGACATCATGCACAGAAGTCCCGCGCATCAGGATTCTGCTACGTTGCCGACTGCGTGCTTGCAATCCTAACGCTAAAGCGACCTATACCAGCCACTCCCAGCCCATTGAAGCCCCGGGTCATGTATCTCGACCTCGACCTACACTTCTCCGACGGCGTCTCGCAGGCCTTCCACTCCATCTCATCTGCCTCCTCTTCGCCACAAGTGCTCACATTCTCGGTCCACCACACGGCGCCTGGCTTCTTCCCTGTCTCCGAACACTCGGTGCTGTCCGATCCTACCAGCCCTTCCTTCGACCCCTTCGCGCTTTCCCTACCCCTAGAGCGCGGGGCGTCCAACGCAACCTTTGCACGAGTATGGAACATCATAGACCGGGTGAAGGACGCATTCAGACCGGACTACGTTGTCGTACAGTGTGGAGTCGACGGGCTCGCAGGCGATCCGTACGCCACCTGGAACTGGTCACTTGGCGACGGAGACGGAAGTTTAGGCTGGTACATTGATAATATATGTCGCTGGGGGTGCAAGACGTTGCTTCTGGGCGGAGGTATGGATTCCTGAAGGGTTTATTTTGCCGTTTGTGAATCCTGACATCATACCACTAGGCGGATACAACTCGCCCAATGTTGCGCGTGCTTGGACATACTTCACGTCTATCGCGGTAGATTCGCCCTTCATTCTTGTGCGTTGAGGGGGCGATATTGACAGACCATATTGTTGCGCAGCTGGATCGCCCCCTTTCTCTCGAGGCGGACATCCCTGACCACTCCGCGTTCCCTCTTTACGCGCCGTCGTTCATCCTCGACGTCCCGCCGGGCAACACCCAAGACCAGAACACGGCAGAGTACTTGCAGCACGCGGAGAGCGTGTTCGCGCAGATCACAGAGACGATACGCGAGAGAGTAGGGACTTCTGAACAGCGCGCATAGCTCTGAGCGCAGGGATCGTGGCCTCTGGCGCCGCCAGTCTATACTCACACCACAATATCCGATCCTTTGAAACAGTCCTTCATCACTTTCCTGGAACCCTCTAACGGTATAGGATACAAACAATTGTACAAGTTAATTGTGCAAGTAAACAAACATAAAGAACATCAGAGCCATCGACACCTAAGTCGACATGCATCTGTCCACCGACAAGCCCTCGCCAGGGTTACCCCACCTGTGCACGAACATCAGTCAGCGTCGTCTCGGGCGTATAGCAGTACGGAAGGACGTACCAGTTCGGGAAGGACACCGCGTTCCCACTCGCGCCGAACACAGCGAAGGAGAGGATGAAGAGGATGACCTGCGAGCCGCCGTCGAGCGCGGCGGACGTGAGGTAGTTGTACTTCTTGAACCACTTCGGGCGGCGCGAGCGCGCCCACACCTGCGCGGCGTACCCGAGCACGAGGCACGTCCACCACTGGCCGTTGACGGAGTACGGCAGGTAGCCGATGTAGAGCAGCAGGATGGGCGTGATGATGTACTCGGCCGCGCGCCCGATCCACGAGCCGCGCGGGGAGAACTTGTGCACGAGCCAGAAGGGGATCGGGAAGAGCAGGCCGATGAAGATCGCGAAGGAGATGAGGTAGTATGGCTTCCCGTACGCGAAGAGCTCCTTGCCGAGCGCGCCCATCGCGACCGAGGACGAGTTGTAGCCCTGGATAATCCAGCCGCTCCAGATACGGGTGCCGATGGGGTCGATGAGGGCCTCGCGGTTGTTGTTGACGATGCTGATCATCACTGTGCGATGTTCAGTACCAAGCACGTATTGCGCGAGACTGCCTGTTACTCACTGGTGTAGTTGAAGATAGAACCGATGATCGAGCCAGCCATCTGCGCAGCGAACGTCGCGCGGGGAGGGATCTTGGTGTACTGGCCGAGCTTAAGGTCTTGCAACATGGCGAGCGTCTGGTACGCGGTACTGTTGCCGTACAAGTTGACGTACATGACGGCCACAGGCTTGCCGGGGTGCACGAAGGCAGCGAGAATGTTCATCGCAAACTTGATCTGGATCTGGAAGCCGGTGGTGGCGGCGACTGCAGGAGCCATTGGTTAGCGCCTCATCCATGATATGTTGCGGAAAGAGACGTACTGAAGCCGATGCAGATAGCGATGCAACAGCTGATGACGGTGAACAGGAGGACACTCCACGCGGGCAGGAGCCAGTCGCCCTTGTTGTACTAATAGCGAGCAAAACGAGTAAGCTACCTAGAGCGCAGCTGTGCTGAGGGAAATGACGTACGCTGCAGCCGATACCAATGGCAAGAGACCCGACGAAGAGAAGCATGTACCACCACTGCGGCACTTCCTTGTACTTCTTCATCTCTGCGTAGCAACGTCAGCATGCGGATCGAGGACAAATATCGCCGAAGACGCTTACCTTGGAAGTGGGGGTCGTCGATGTCCTGGTTGGACTTCAAGAAGCGCATGCCACCGAAGGCCCTCTTCAGGTCGGGCCAGTGCCACAGAAGAACGTGCACGATCGCGGCGCCCAGACTGAAGTTGTAGCACATCTGGGAGATCACGTAGGTGGTGGTGTAGCGCGGGAGACCGACGGTGGCAAGCTTGGACGGGTCGACGTTGTTCTCGGGGGTCAGGATCGCGGTCTGGTTGTAAGACCCGCCCTCGTCGTTGAAGAGCGCCTGCGACATCCACGGGATGCTGCGCCCGTTGAACGAGTTGTTGTAGTACGCGAGCGTGAGGACGAGGTAGCTGATGCCCATGCCGAGGTACGAGTTGAGCTGAGTACGCCACGGCCACACCAAGGGGTTACCCTGGGTGATGAGCGTCCAGCTCGTGCCGAAGCTGAACAACCCGATGCCTTCGTTGCTAGATCCAGCGCCGAACAAGTTCCTGACGAAGGTGTGACGACCACGGTCCGCAAGGCAGACGATGGAGATGGCCGTAAGAAGGGGGAAAGGGTATTGGGGGATCCATTCCCAGCAGAAGATCGCTGCGAACACAATCCAGAAGTAGCGACGCTTCTTGTGGTTGAGCACGCCGCCGAAGTGCAGACTCTGCAGCAAGTTGACGACCGAGATGTAGTTCGGGTAGAACGCGTATGTCGGGTATACCAAGAGAGTGCGGAGGAGACCGGCGATACCGTAACCGATCATCTGGCTGGCGAAGATTTGGAAGATGGCGACGGCGGCGTTGAGCTTCAGGTTGTAGAACAAGTCTGGTACTATAGTCAGTCTCTGCAGGACGGTGATAGCAGACGGGATAATTACCGAGGGCCGCGATGATCTCCATGGCCACAGCGACGGTGGAGGCGGTCGATGACATGATGACAATGGCCGTGTGCTCTGTGACAGACGGGTAAGAGGTATGCACGGCGCGCTAGCAAAGCGACATACCCTTGATGTTGAACGGCCCCGGGTTCAAGTGCCGCCAGAAGCCCTTGGAGGGCATAACACCTGATGAGCGGGTGTTGTCAGCTTTGCGGAGTCATGACGGTGGAAGGAACTCACTATGCATGGCAGTCCCAAGAACGTACGCAATGATCAAGCAGAAGAGCTGCGAGACCGTAGCGTTCTAGAGAGCCGAGGCGGTTAGATCTCCCCAGTAGCCGGAAGGCGATCAATGACGTACCTGAGGCTTGAAAGTGTAGATCGTCGAGAGCACCGAAGTGAACGCGGAAAGACCGATACCCAAAAAGACCGTACGGAAGGTCCAAGTAGGCAGGGTAGGATCGTCTTGGGCCGAGATGACCTGAATGCGGCCATGTCCGTGATCAGCGCCCTGTATACATCCCGAAAGGCGAAGGGGCTTACCTCAAGCGCGACGTCCTCATCCTTCACGATGATCTCCGAACCGACATCGTCGTCCAGAACGGAATGCGACTCGACGTCGACCTTCTTCTCGTCCGAGATGCTGTCCTTGAGATCCTTCTCGCTGAAGCTTTCGCTGTCCGAGTGGGGCAGCGTCGGCGCCGCAACGGCGGCTGCGTTCTCCTGAGCTGTCATGGCCGTCGGGTACGGGGGCGTACGCGAGCGTGGGGAAGCCGAAGACGTGGGACTCGAGAGGGCGAGGGGGAGCGGGGATGCCTCTGGCAGCGAAGTCGGGTGACCAGTGCCTACGCCTGACCAGCCCCGCCCGCGATCCGTATATCTTTATACAGGCGCGGAATAGGCATTTGCTCCATATGACGGGCGCTCAAAAAGAAGGAAGGGCGATTTGCGCTATCTCTGCGAAGCCCAAGGGGCAGATAAGAGCGGTCGCGTCGCTGCTGAGAGATTAGCAGCGGCATGGGGTCTGCGCCTGCCACTAGACGAGAGCCACATCAGATACGTGATGGCTGTGAGGAGAGTATTTGCCTCTTACCGGATGGAATTGCCAGGCACGGTGCGCGCACTGCGATCCCCCGAGTGCGGGGAAGTTGCAAAGTGACTGGATCTGCGCACGGGCGTCTAAAGTTATGGGCGGAGGTGGACCTCTCTGCTCGACAATCGCGGCGCAGCCATTCGCCGGCCTACAATCTTCAGCTCCCCGTTTGGACTAAAACGTCCACAGGTACCGCCAAGACGCCTCGTATTCTATAAGCCATGACCGCAAAAACTGAACGGACGGGCAAATTATTCTGCGCCATTATCGCATGCCCGATACACCAGATACACTTCCTTATCGCGCTTTCCACTAGGAGGCGGCCTGCCGCCGTTACATCTTAATCTTCAACGTGGATATCCCGAATAGCGAGCGATAGCGCCGTGCGATCGGACGGGGGCCAGCCGCTAGCCCGCACTACGTAGTCGCCGAGTCTACGAGTTGCACCGCATACGCCGTACGGGACCTGGCAGACCTAGAGGCCTAGATAGCTGATCGTGCATAGCAGAAGCTGACACTGCAGAAGCTTCTGGCACGCGACGTGTTGCCTGGTCGGCATCTCTCTTGGTCACCATCGAGCTTCTGAAGGCAATCGCCCGAGCCCTGGCAGAAAGTCCACTGGCGAGGCACCGAGTCCCGACCAGCGCGCGCCACCAAGGCCTCGAGTCCACTCAAGCAAATTGCAGCGCCCGCAGCGACGCTCGCCGGCTCCATCGCCCCGCCACCTACGTGACGCCACAAAGGGTTAATGGAATGTGAATACGGTGGCGGCGGGAGCAAACCGGAGGAACAGACTTACCGCGACGTGCAAGACTAGGCGCGGTCGCTCCAGATGCTGGGAAGTCGCTCAGGCGCAGGGTGGGCACTGGGCAGCGAGCCTCGGTGGAGACGGGGCTGGCGATGGACCGTGCAGTGCCAGGCCTTGAATGCAACTCCCCGTGGCGTCGAGCGAATTTTGCTCGCCGAGAGGCCCGAGGGGGCGAGGCAGCGTGCGCGCAGCCGCTGGCCCGAGGCAAGAGGGGATGTGGCGGCGTGCGTAGAGCCGCTGGCCCAAGAAAAATCCACAGACGGATGAGCCATTGGACGATGGCTACTTCGACGCGGCACCACCTGGCACCGCCTCCTAGCAGTTCGAACTCGGACTTGGAGTGGATAGGGAAGAAGCCCATGGAGAGAGCGCACCCGACCAGATGCTATTTCCGACATCGAGTACGATAGCACCGCGAAGCTAAGGCGAGCCAAGGGGAATGTACCCCTCGTCCCTCGTACTAGTATAGGGCACCCGGTCCGAGGTGAAGATTATTAGTAAGTATATTCAAGCAGGCGTACCACGATTCACAAAAAGTCCACCCCAATTCCGACCTGGAAGCCCTTGCGGGCGCCGTCGCTCTTGCTCGCGACGATAGGCACCCCGAAGTTCAGCTCGACTCTGACCGGATCGAGCTTGTATACGAGGCCGACTCCGGCAGAGATAGACGGCTGAGTTATGCTCGCGATCACGTTGTCCATTAGCGGACGCGCTACGAGAGAGCCAGCGTCAGGTTTGTCACGCGCAAGCAAGCGAGGGGAATCAAATGGGAGTACTGACATTTGTCGACGTTGTCGAGACGGCCGGCGTTCAGGAACAGGTGGGTTTTTACGGGCCAATGTGGTTTACGAGGGATGTCAGAGATGAGGCTCACACCCGTCGACCAGTATAGGCTACCACCTAACGAGTCAACTGCGAAGGTGTGCGTCAGACTACAAGTTTAAAGGACAGCGGCTGAAGTATCATTTACCACCGTCGTGAGGTCCCATGCCGTTCATCCTGAACATGCGTACGCTGACGGGCCCACCGAGCTGGAACCGGTCGGAAAAGTACGACTTCGCACCGAGGTTCCATAGCAGCCCTGTCCGTGCAGCGAACGAGACAGTCTGCAGTATACCCCGTCAGCTGGAGGAAAGAATGATTACGGCGGGCAGACTCGCGTACCAAGCCTGGGAATAACGACCGTGCAAATTGGCCATGTGCCTCTCCTTTGTAGAAGGAAGCGTCACCACCGAGCCCGGCGAATTCCTGGAAGAGCTTGGCGTACGAGCCACGAGTGCCGAGCAGTCGGTCGTCCCGAGTGTCACGCGTCCAGGAGTGGAATAGGGAAGATTTGATAGACTGACCCGCCGCCTCCCGCATGCTATAGGGGAATACGTGAGTATATGCTATACTTAACACTGCAGATTCAACATACCTAATCGACGCCGATGGCGTGAGGTTGCTGATATGCCTCAGAACGGCCTCATAGCCGACTTCGTGCGCGCCGTGGCTAAATACACCATTCTGCAACGCAAAAGAATAAATGTTCAGCGGTTTGGTACGCCACGTGAGAAACCAAGCTGACCTAGCTCACCCTAAGGACTGCTCGTAGGCCGCGCACACCTTCGGAGCTGCTCGCGAAGCTGGAGTTGTCCCGCTCCATCCCGAAGACCGAGAGCTCGCCCCGAGTCTTTAGATTCGACGTTAATGGTGCCGATAGAGACGAGTTAAACGACATGCGCGTCTTCGTCGCGAATGCGACGTTAGCCTCGAACGTCTCCGCACCACCGAACGCGTTCCGGACGCGAGCGGTCGCACTCTGCATACAGTCAGTCGAAATCGAGGATATGCGTCAAGAACAGCACACGCACGGCTCCGCCCTCATTGTTCCCGACTTGCGTGCTGGTGTTCAAGAAGTAGCGCCCTCTCTCCTTTGCCAAGAACACGACGTCCACGTCTTCCGGGTGCGCGAGCGTGTCGCGACTCCGGTCGATGACAGCCTCGACTTGTGTGAAAAGGTCCGTCTCCTCGAGCAAGCTCTTGATCTCCTTCGTCTTGCGCAAGACAGATTCGAGTGTTGCGCCGTTCTCGTCCGGAGCCCGCAAGACCGGATCGATGATGGATGCCAGGAAGGACTCGCGCGTCCGGGGAGCCCCACGAACGCGTACTGAGGCAACGTGCAGAGGCGTCGTAAGGTTTTCATTGACCTTTCGAGTCCATTCATACACATTGTGAGCATGAATACGCGTGCAAACGTGCGTGCCCACTCACCAATTCAGAGAGCTGGACGAGCGCCGACTCATACTGGCCACGCAGCTTCCTGAGCTTGCGTTCCTCCCACCATTTCCGGTATTTCTCCAAGTCCGCAGCGTCGGGTTCCCGTTCTCTAGGCGAGGCCGTGCTCTGCAGTGGGGGCTGTAATGGGGGAGCCTGAGGCTCGAGGTCGGCCATGGAGGTACGCAGCGAAAGAGGAATGCGCCGTCGCGCTCATCGCTGGCGGCTATTCGGTGCCTTACCTCCGATAAGAACTTTAAGAAGCTTGCTTATAACCTCTTATAACTCTACTTACCGGATAAGCCCAGAAAAGTAAATGAATCGTTATCTTAGGGGTGCGGACCGTTTAGCCGACAAGTTAAATAACACGGGGCAAAAGTATGACGCCAAGGGCACACTTTGTAGCGTTCGGACGGAGTCTCGCTAAATGACAGAGCTGGACGACAGAACGCTCCTTGACGCCGCCCACCATGTCGTCGACGTACGTGCACTACTCCTCGCCCTCTTCCTTACCCTCAGACTACGCTATCCTGTCTCGCTACGCGGCGGCACACGACCTAAATACCGAAGCGCCAACACCAGAAGACTCAGACGCAGGACCCTCGGGCGAGCCTGTCTTTGAAGATAACGAGTCGCTCGACCCGGACGGCGTAGACATCGACTCCAGCAGTCGTCGGCGACGGCGTAGCTTTCCTACCTCGTATCTCACACCCTTCAATCCGACCATGGGCCCTCTTCCGAACAAGTCGGGCCACCGCACCGGCCCCAAGCCCCCAAACCCGACGGAGAACACGCCCCTTCTCGCACCTCTTGTGCCTCGTATAGCGGAGGAATGCGACGCGGAAGACTATGCCGAGCCTCCAAGCCTTCTCAAGATGTTCAAAGAAGAGGCCAGGATCCTCACGAAGTACACGGTTCCGGTCTTCTTGTACGTCAGACATGCTTAGCTTCTGCGAGTTTTAACCTTACGACGCCACCAACAGGACGCACCTATTCGAGTACTCTCTGGTGATCGCGTCGGTCATCTCTATCGGGCATTTGTCTACGACCGCTCTTGCCGCATCCACACTAGGTTCCATGACTGCGAGCGTCTCGGGCTTCAGCATCATTCAAGGCTTCGCGAGCACGCTCGATACTATGCTTCCGAGCGCGTGGACATCCACTCAACCACAATTGGTGGGGCTGTGGTCACAACGAATGGGTACGTCTCGTTCTTGGATATATATAATATCAATATACACGTCTTGCACCATCAAACGGCTCGAAGGCGTGAGTCTGCTATACAACCCCAAGCAATGAACACTTGCTGGAAGTGAGCTGCACTAGACCTGCTTCTCGTGCTGCGCCTTTCAACACCCTCGTTTTCGTTCTTCATTGCACAGAATGCTAATTCAATTTACAGCGGTCGTGATGGCTGCTACGCTCATAGTGCGTATCGTCGTAAGACGCTTCTGGTGCTAGGTCAAAATGGCTAATCCCTCCTTCCAGCCTATCTTGATGGTGTGGTTTAGCTCGGAAAGCATCCTACTCTTTTTGAAGCAGGAACCTGAGGTTGCGCGGCTTGCAGCAGTATACCTCAGGTGGTCCGCAATTGGCCTCCCTGCGTACGCGTTCAACTCCGTATCTCGGTGAGTAATCTCCAACTCCTCCTTAACGTGCTCGCTCACAGAAACCGCGCAGACGCTACTTCCAGTCCCAGGGTTCGTCATCTCGCTATATCATTCCGAGTGGGGTGTACTGAAAAAGTAATCCTACAGGTCTCTTTACGGTCCCCACCCGCATCATTCTTGGAGTCGCACCCATCAACGCAGTGCTCAACTATATTCTCGGTTCGCACTCCCCCGACGCCCTTTCTCTGCAACGCTAACCAACTTCCGCTCGCAGTGTGGGGACCCGATCCCGTTCGTCTTGGCTTCATTGGCGCACCCATCGCGACAGCGATATCTTTCAACCTGATCTCAATCCTCTCAATCATCTACGGCGTGTTCTTCGTTCCAAAGACTGCATGGCACCCGCTCTCTATGCGCTGTTTCACTAGTCTCGGCGTACTCGTACAGCTCGGCCTGTCTGGTGTTGGGCAGGTCGCGAGCGAGTGGTGGTCATGGGAGCTTGTCGGTCGTGAGTTTCAACAAATAATGGACTCATATGGTATCATATTGACGGGCATTTTGGCACATAGTCGCGGCTAGTCAGTGCGTAGAATAGAATCAACTTCTTATGCCAATAGGGTAGAAGGCTAACCCACAGTGTTACAACAGGCTTGGACCCACCGCGCTTGCGACACAGTCCGTGCTGCTTGTTTCCGCCTCGACAACATACCAGGCGCCATTCGCGTTGAGCGTTGCGTCTTCGGTTCGGTATGTACTTTGCTTTATAAACTTGCTTCGGGCGCTGACGCCGCATAGCATCGGGAACCTTCTCGGTGAAGAAAACGCGAAGCGTGCGGCCGTTGCAGCCAAGTGCTCTATCCTGATGTCGCTAGTCATCAGCACTGTGTGGAGGTACGTACGCATTCGATCGTCCACGCGCGTTTTGCTGAATTTGTGCCACAGCACGATGTTCATGGTCTTCCGCAACTCGTGGGCGCACCTGTTCAACGATGACCCTGGTAAGCTACTCGATACACAAAAGTCTCGTCAGTCGTCTGATGCCCCGCAAAATAGCTGTCGTTGCTTCCGTCGCGTCGATCCTCCCTCTTGTCGCGCTCTTCCAAGTGTTCGATGGCCTAAGCGCGATCACCGCGGGTGTTTTGCGTGCAGTTGGAAAGCAGTTCACCGGTGCACTTCTCAACCTCAGCGCCTACTACGTCGTCGGTGAGTTCTCCCATCCACCATTACTACCAGCGCCGTCACTGACACAGCCTCGTTGGGCAGGCATTCCATTCGGAATCTGGCTGGCGTTCTGGAAAGGAATGGACCTGCACGGGTTGTGGATCGGCCTCACCGTCTCGCTCGTGTACTGCGCAGCGGTCGGCGTGTGGCTTTGCCTGCAGACAGACTGGAACCGACAGGTGGAGAAGGTGCGCATCCGGCTCGCGGCGGACAGCAAGGCGTCGGACGCGGAGAGGCAGCAGCACTAGCATTAGGAGGGTGTGCACGAATCGATGCCCTGGACATTTTTGGATTGCTAACCAAATATCTTGGAGAACGCGAAAAGGGCGATATGTCCCTACTGCTTTATCTAGCGTAGCACATCGGAGAAATAATCTACTCCAGTCTTGCAAGTTGGTCATAATGCTCAGACTGAAATAATCTCTCTCTCTCGGAAATTGTGAGCCACCGACCGTGACCGACGCGTCGCGACGCATCTCGAATAAGCGCCCGAAATGTTTCCCCAGACGACGAGCGCTTTTGGCACGAGCGTCGAGCAGTACTGGCTTGCTTCCTGATACCATCACTGAGCTCTGAGATCTAAGCTTTCCACGCCTATCTGTGAGAATTGCGGGCATCGTCGACCTTGAACACAAGTTACACAACAGCTATCTGGCATGCAAGCATTGCATCCATCAAGGACGTCCCGCAGCCGCGCCTAGCGCGTGAAACTCTTCGGAGGAGTTGTAACTGCCGACGTGCGCAGCCCTCTCGCAGGAAGAGACTCGCTCAGTGAATAAGAGCGCGCGTCATGATGATTTCGAAGGCCAAGATGAATGACCAACAGTCTGACTTACCGGGGGACTGCGAGGACGGTGAGTGACCGGCCACTATGTGCGTGATCACCCCATCCTAACCCAAAAATGGACCAGACGGAAGGTCTCGTATGCCCGCAGTTCTTCTCCTTGGTGCATGTCCGAGTCGTACGTCGGCCGATGTGCTCGAGCACTCACACGTCCTCCGCGCGACATCCGTTCGCCAAATCAGTTGAGTTCGGATGAGCGAGAGGTGCAACTGGCGACAGCTCAGAAGCGTCGCGGGCTGTGCGTTCTTGATGCTCTAGGGCGTCGTCAGGTAAGTGCATAAACCATTTTCGAGTGAAGACGGATAAACGTTGACCAGCTTGTTGTGCCAAAGGCGGCAGAATTACAGCCGTGGTCTTCTAGTTCCCGCAGGAGGCTTCCTCGAAGCTCACTTCTGCTGTGAGGCTCTCACGCATAGAAAATTCAGACTTTCAGGGGCATGTGGTGGGCAAATCCTCCTAGATGAAGCACTATGAATTGCAGGCACGCCTTGAGGCCTGAGGATCGCCACTGCCGCCGGTATCTCATGAATTGTGACCGCGTCCTCACGGGTCCATTCTGCCACATTGGGCGCATCGAAACGTCTTCCCTGCCGGCACCGCAGTGTCAACCGATATACATAGATGGCGCATTTCGATCCCGAGTGATACCGGCGGCCAAGATATGATACATCTGTAAGTTCATGTTAGCCGCCTAGGTCGTAAATAGCTACTGAACTACGCTCCATGGCAGCGCAGTAACCAGCCACTGAACTATGCTCCATGGCAGGCTTTGGCAGCGCAGTGCCTCTAAACACCTGACTGTTGCCACCCGGTGTATACCAATGTTCCGCAAGGTACAGGGGCAGGGAATAACAGACTTCGTTCGGATGTCTTTCACTCCACCTTCCGTTTTTCGGACCGCTCCGAAGCACCTGCGCACCAGGACGGGTAGCCTTTAGTCACGCTTTACAGAACGCGGGAGGCCTCATTCCATCCTGCTTCTGGGCGTGGGAGCATGAGGCATATGTCGTCCATTCATCGCATCTGCGGAAACCCGCGAGCTAACCCACTGCCTTTCCAGCACCCGCAGGCCGCCCCTGTCCGTTCGTGCTACAATGTCGGTGCTCCTGACGTCCGTGATGTGGATATCGTTTGCACCAATAGCATCAGTCGTGTTCTGCCGAGTCTAAACCTGAGCTACGCATGGGCATCTGACGGGCACTCGCGAAGCGAGCGTCGCAGACCACGATCATGTGATGTTGGGAGCACAGACCACACCGTTTCGGCGCGTGTACGAAGAAGCATCCCCGTGGGGACGCCGGTCACAATTCGAGCACTGGGACGCTCACAGGGTCTCCCAGGCGCTGCGCCAACCCGCGCGTATAGATAGGGCGACCGCGCTGCGCTCCGGTTGTCCCTCATTCTCCACGTCCCCCACGGCCGCTGCGCGACAGGCAGACGCATCAGCTGAACTCGCCTAGCTTCCCCACGAGCGCCCCGACGGTACACCGCCACCATGTCGACGACGGACGTGAAGAACGACGCGACGAACAGCGTGGACGAGGTCGACGAGAAGGGCGACAAGGCATCGTCGCAGGCCGAGTCCGAGTTCAACATCTTCACGTACCACGAACACAATGCTGGCCGTCTGGTTGTGGACCCAGAGTGAGTTGTGTGCCCGTTAGAATTCGTGATTGGCGTACTGACGTTTTCGATCTTAGAGAAGCAAAGATTGAATTTGGCGAAAAGGTTGCCAAGAAGCTGAAGCTTTCCGAGGACGGCACGAAGGTGCTCTGGCCTCAGCCGACTGACGACCCTGAGGACCCACAGAACGTATGTGCGGTATGGGTTCTAAGAGGATCGAAGTGCTCACCTGCGCTCCTTCCAGTGGACGGATTTCCGTAAGAACCTACAGCTCTTCATCGTTACTCTGGCTGCCATCGTCCCGGACTTCGATTCTGGTATTGGTAAGTGACTGTCAGTGTTGACACCTTGTTCCCCGGGGACTCATTGCGACTTTTCAGGTATTGCGGACATCTTCGCGCTTGCAACTCAATATGACACTACCACCGGACGTATCAACAACCTGACGTCGAAGTATGTGGTTCCTGGCATCTGCCTAATATATCGCGCTGACCCCCTATTTGACTTTCACTTACAGCTGGAGTATCTTCCTACTCGGTACGATATGAATGTTGCGGATACAAGCGTCCACGTTATACTGACGGGTTCATGCAAGGCTGGGGTGGTATCTTCGCGGTGATGCTCATGAGGAAGCTCGGTCGTCTTCCGGTCTTGTTCTGGTCTCAGGTGCTTGCCCTCGGATTCCTGGTCGGCTGCACATTTGCGCCTAACCTGAAGACATTCACCGGTATGTGTACGCACAAGCCGCATGTACTTTGTCTGACCATTCATGGTTTTTAGCTATGCGATGCTTAACTGCATTCTTTGCGTGCGTCGGCTCTTCTATCATATCCTCTCCTTGCTTACGCATGACACAACCTGCAGAACTTGCCCCCAGGTGACGGTATGTCTTCGTGTGCCGCGTTCAATTAAACGGAAGCTTGATGTGTTGTTTAGGGTCTCTACATTGTTACCGACCTGTTCCCCTTCCATCTCCAAGCTCGGAAAGTGTGTACCTCCAAGAAATTTGAAAGTCCTGAACGAGCCCTCATCTATTTGCCTGCGCCATAGCTCAACCTTTGGACCATGGGTTTCATCATCTCACCATTCTTGTCGCCGTTCATGATGGGCTTCATCGTCGCCCGCATCAAGTACGTTCCGTATTCTTCGCATCTTGCTAGCCCGCGGCACAGTTTGTCTAACTATCATTTGTCACAGCTGGCGTTGGACATACGGCATCGGATCGATTTACGGCGCGATCGTGGTCGCCCTCATCGCGTTTTTGGGTGAAGAGACGTACGTGGCGCCGCCCGTGGCACGCGCAGGATGACACTCACACGCCACCGTAGCATGTTTGACCGCAAGCTGCCTAACCCTCGTCCCATCCCGGTCCCGGCGTCCCGCCTCCGCTACCGCCTTGAGACGTTGTTCGGTGTCACTGGCTTGAAGATGTCCCAGTATCGGGACAGCTGGAGCGACTCCATCTTCGCGTGCCTCAACGTCGTCTGGCGGCCGCATCTTCTTGCCATCCTCATCTTCGAGGTATAGCGCACTCTGGCAATTTCTGATATCAATACTGATGTAGCTTTCGTAGGGTATGGTCTTCGGCTTCAGTATTGGTATCAACGTGAGTAGTTTGCCTCCTCGCGCACGGAGCTAAGGACTGATGGTCATTCAACCGCTTATAGACTACGAACGCCGTCTTCCTCGGTACTCCCAAGGAGGCTGGTGGATATGGTTTCAGCCAGTTTGGCATCGCCGGTGCTTACGGAACGCCCATCGTACGTCCATATGCACTAGGGCTCAACGTGTGCCGTCCATTGACCGTCGCCACTTCTAGGTCGCTGTCTTTGTGGGAGAAATCCTCGGTCGCTACTTCAACGATTGGATGATGAACTTCGCCATCCGTCGCAACAACGGTGTTTTCGTTGCCGAAGCCCGTCTGTGGTGCGTACTCATCTAATTCATTATCTACTAGCCTCACCTTAAATCTGTGACGATGCCATACAGGACATGTTACGTCGCCACGCCGCTCTACGTCTGTGGTTTCGTCCTGCTTGGTGCCGCGTTCCAGAAGCACCTCAGTGTCGGTGCCCTCGTCATGGGCTGGGGCATTGCCGAGGTGGCGGTCATGGTCAACACTGTCGCCATCTGTGCGTATCATTTTCCTCTACCGCCTGCGACTCACAGCTAACGGCGTACGGCTATACCCGCCAGACGCGTACTGTAACGACTGCTTCCCGCGCAGGCAGGGCGAGATCTCCGCGTTGATCAACCTCGCTCGTACGCTCGGCGGTTTCAGTGTCGCGTACTTCCAGGTCCCGTGGGCAACGAAGAACGGCGCGCTGCAGACGTTCGGCGTCGAGGCGGCGATCGTCGTTGGGCTGTTCTTCCTCATTGTCCCTCTCCTCCAGGTCAAGGGTGCCACTCTCCGGGTAAGCAACTTGCATCATCCAAATCTCAATTCATTGCTGATGAGCTCTTGGGTGTATAGGCGCGTTACTCGATGTAGATAATATCAGTATGAGAGTTCGTACGATCTGGGCGCGACCAGTATTTAATGAGTATGAAATGCAATAAACTCACGCGATTCTGCACGGCCTATCGAAGTGCCCAATGCTCAGAGGTCTAGATTACCGGTCAGTACCGGTCAGTCCTTGAGACGGACGGGCCCCGACGGCTGGCGGGTGTCCCTCGGGCCCGAGGCTGAGCCCGAGGTTCTTTTCTCCGGAGACACGGTCTGTCGCCGAAATGCGCCTCTCGATCGAGTTGTTGACGATCCTACCGGTACGAGTCGCTTTGTCTTCTGCCCTCTCGCCCACGCTCACTGGCTGCTTGCAGAATGCATTACGAGCGATTTGAAAGGGGTATTCTTTGACTTTATATGAGGCGGGAGAGATGAACGCGCGCGTGGGCCTATGCGAGCTACCAACGACCCGGTGGAGTGGAATTATACGTGAAGGGTATGCCAGCGCTGCAGTTCACAGACCGTTCAACTATGCTGACTCGCACCGGCAATTGTACGCAGGCCTGACACAATAACGTTTGCGACCGTCCCGAGTCCGCGCATGGGTTCTTTGCTGCACGTACATCATGATCACACCATGCAGAAGCTTCGTAGCTTGGATGACACATGCACATAGGGACGTCTGGTACGCACTCTTTGAACTACCCACCTACTTCTCATCGACACCATGATAACGAAGGGAGCTCTACTGAAATTGAGATTTGGCGAATAGAAAAGCTCCGTGATCGTCGTGAGTCAACCCATTCTATGGTAGATATGCTGCCTCGACAACCGGGGAGCGTCTGCCATATCCGCCAATCGGTGAGCACGGAACATCCTCCTGACATCGTCGATGCTCCGTCGAGTCACCGTCGTTGCTTGCACTTGTTCACCCACTTTTTAGACATGACGCATCTTCACAACGTTTACGCCGACGCATGCCTGATTCTGCTCCTCAATGTCCCTCTATTAACAAGTATATTTGGGTACGCCGATTACCCGGCGCAAGACGGACCGCGGAATCGTGACTGCCCCGCATCACAGTTTGCGGCACTTATTCATTGCTTCTGTGCTTCTCCCAGAATTTGCTGACTGTAGTCCTTGCGAGGCGTAATGGACAATGACCCAGATGATGCCGCGGCCCAGAGAAGTGCGGATCAGGGAGGGTATAAGTATGCACGCAGGGGTGGGCTCGCTGAACAGCAAGTCACTCGCCCACTACACCCACAACCAACCAAGCATGATCTCCCCAATCATACAAGCCGTCCTCGCATGCGGAGCGACGTGGTTCCTGTGGACGATCTTTCGTAGGTTTGTAGTGAAGAGCGATCTCGACAACCTACCGGGTCCGTCGTCGTCTTCCTACCTCTATGGTATGTGATCCAGTCCGCGCAGAGCCCCGGCTGTAAAGTGTTGATATTCACTTTGGGTTGGCAGGTCACATGAAGCAGTTGTACAGCAAGCAGAGCTTCGGCTTCCACCGGAGCCTAGGTGACAAGTATGGTCCGGTCGTGCGTTTGCGCGGTACTCTCGGGGTATGTTCTCAGGATATTCAAGGCGAAACGGTCAGAACGCTCATAGAAAATCACACTTTGTGCAGAGCAACGTGTTGTATATTTTCGACCCGAAGGCGATGCATCACATCGTTATCAAGGACCAAGAAATCTTCCAAGAAGCGACGTGGTTCAGTAGGTGAGCTGAGCGCGAGCTGCTTGCGTTTTCATGCTCTGAAGCTGCGGGATGCTGATAGTTTATTGTCACAGATTGAACTATTACACTCTTGGCCTCGGTCTGTTTACCACTCTCGGTAAGCAACACAATTTTCAGCGGGTCCGAGCAATCGTGACGGAGCGAGATTGGCAGGCGACCACCACCGCAAGCAGCGCAAGATGCTGAACCCCGTCTTTTCGGTCAACCATATGCGCCATATGACCCCAATCTTCTACGAGGTCTCGCACAAGGTTAGCCCAGGTTTTCTCGCCGTTGCTTTCTCTTCTTCTTTGATCTCGGTTTCCGCTAACCACAAACGAATACGGTGCACTGTCATACAGCTCCGGACGGCGGTCCAATCGCGCGTGCATGATGCGCGTCCAACCGAGATAGACATGGTGAGCTGGATGGGCCGCACCGCGCTGGAGCTCATGGGTCAGGCTGGCTTGGGCTACTCGTTTGACCCGCTTGTCGGCGATGCCGCAGACGATTACGGCGCGGCGATAAAGGACCTCATGTACGTTCGCAGTCCCGCAAATCATCTGCACGCACAGGTTGTAGGGTTTCGAACTGGTGGTTGATGACTATTTTCGCAGGCCGTCCTTGGCGGCGTCTGGCGGGATGCATCGCTACGTCCCGCACTTCGAGGCAGTTGTGCCCAAGAACTTGCGCCGCACCGTCGCAGAGCTCATCCCGGCCCCGCCGCTGCACAGGATCATGCGCACCACCGACACTCTCCGGACCCGCTCGGGTGAGATCTTCCAACTGAAGAAGCAGGCAATTCTTGCTGGCGACGAGGCCTTGAAGGCACAGGTTGGAGAAGGCAAAGATTTGATCAGCATTCTACGTGCGTACTCGTGTTCTCCTTGGTGAGGCACTACGGTCGACGATAATATGTTGTGGTACACAGTCAAGGCTAACATGGAGGCGTCCGAAGAGGACAAAGTGCCCGAGGAGGAGATTGTCAGCCAGATGTCGTGCGTATTGCCTTTGGCTTATCTTTCGCGGGTCATTCACTGAAAGTCATGGTCGATCTTCAGCACGCTTACGTTCGCCGCTATGGACACCACCTCGAATGCGCTCTCCCTGATTTTATGGCGTCTTGCCAAGAACCCTGCGGCACAGGACAGGCTTCGCAAGGAGGTACTCGACGCACAGGCCGCGCACGGCGGAGGTGATATCGGGTACGACGACCTGGTGGCATTGCCCTACATGGACGCCGTGTGTCGCGAGACTCTGCGCTGGTTAGTAACGTCTTATTAACGATTTTCGGATTGCAGCGGTTTACACTGTGCATGCTCTCTAGCCACACCCCCGCGCCTTACCGCTTCCGCGAGTAAGTACTGCATTCCCCGAGGTCACGTCGTGCCATTGACATCATTTCCCGGGATGTAGGGCGCGCAAAGACGTCGTGCTCCCGCTCTCGGTGCCCGTACGTGGCAAGGATGGACGCATGATGCACGAGATCTTCGTCCCGAAAGACACGTCCGTTTTCGTCGGCATCAACGCTTCTAACACGAACACCGCGCTTTGGGGCGCGGATGCGTACGAATGGAAGCCCGAGCGCTGGCTGAAGCCACTCCCCGATGCGGTGCTCGAGGCTAAGATCCCTGGCGTGTACGCTAACCTGTACGTCTTCGTTCACTAGCCGCATTCTAAGGTTGCTTACTGAACGGCTTACTCGTTGGCTCAGTATGACGTTCTGGGGTGGCGGACGCGCGTGCATGTGAGTAACTCACGTCTGCACGGCACCATCACTTGCATTGGTAAAAGCTAATCTATCTTGTCAATTCCATAAAGCGGCTTCAAATTCTCGCAGCTCGAGATGAGTAAGTCAAACGAACGCTCTCATCTACAATCTTTCGGCTACTGACGGAATTGCAGAGGTCGTCCTCGCCGTGCTCATCTCGACGTTCACCTTCGAGCTCACGGAGAAGCGCATCTACTGGAACATGGCCGAGGTGCAGTACCCCTCTGCAGACCCGCGGGGCGAACATCCAGAGCTTCCCCTGAAGGTCGGGTTGGTTAAACGCGAGGCTATGCAGGCTTGAGCACAGCAAGGATAGCGTTTGCTGACGACCGTCGCCAATGGTTTGATTCTTGGAGTAGCGCATCGCTCGTAGGGCACATCGTCTCGGCCTGGGTCATCTGGTCGTCTTACTATCGTTTTCAATGTATACGTTGATGAGAATGTGACATGGTTGAGTGCTGTCGCAGATATACAAGTACATAATGCGGGGTCAAAGACAACATGCGGCGTATCAAGACAAACAATGCAAGAAAGCCAGCGAAAACTCGATATCAGACTCCCATCGGCCTTGCGGTCGTTCCTATCCTGGTATTCCTCCTCGACGCCTTCCCGCCGCCCGGCTTCTCCATCGCAGACTTCAACGCGCGGATGGTCTGCACGATCTCAGCTGCTCGCGGTCAGTACCACCACCTATCTCTGGCAGCCACGACGCAATGCGACGTACCAGCCAGCTTCGGGCTCTCGGCCTCGAACTCGTATCGCTTGTTGCGGTCCGCACCGCTGTGCACGATCAGCTTGAACGTCGCACTGTTCTTGCTCGACTGCGAGCACGTCACGACGCTCTTTAGGTGATACGACGAGGTCTTGCCACTGTCGAATACGTGTTTCGCTTTTGTCACCGTGGGTATGATCTACGAGTGGGATGAACATCACAGGTATGGCAGTGCTGGGCGGAAGAGACTCACATGGATATAGCCGCCGTCGATGGCCAGAACACGGGCGCTACGCGCGACCAACATGGGCACCTTGCGGTACACGGTGTATTTCTGGGACATCGGGCGTGAGAGGGACGTCAGGGGACTAGAAAGGGACGTTCTCACCCTGTATGCATTCATGAACTCGAACATCTTGCTTAGGGACTGTTCCTGAGTGGCCACGTCCGTAGTGAAGATAGACGCTGAGGATAATAGTCAGCCACATTCCCGGGCGGATATGCAATGTGAACGCACCATTAGGATCGGTGGTGCCCTTCCGCTCCCGAACTTCAACGCCGTACTCCCTCAGCATGTTCTGCTTCATGAGGAGCAGCTCGCGCTTGCCCTGCAGACTGCGCACTGTGCGGTCCAGCGGGATGTTCATCTTCATCTCTCCGACCTCGACCACGAGCGCGTAGTCCTTCGGGTCGCTCAGCTTGCGCTTTGCGACCACCGCGTCGAGCACTTCTGCCATGTACATGCCGCCAGACCTGCCAATCGCGTCGACTTCGTTAGTAAGGCAGACGGACACTGTTTTGAAAAGACTCACGCTTGGATTGTTGTGGAAACATGGCCGGGCTCGTCGGCGGCACTCGCGATGCGAATGCGCAGGAACAGTGGCGGGCCGTGACTCGACGATGGGCCCAATGAACTTGGGAACATCCCGACGGATGACCCGAGCGAGCCCAGCATCGCACTGGTGCCGAGGAGCGTGTCTGCAGGCGGGATGAGGGCAGGCGCGTTGGCAGGCGCGTTGAGAAGTCCGGTCGACTTTTTCTTGCCCACAACTCTTGATATCCGGCGCGAGATTTTGGACTCGAGGATCTTGTTCTGTTGCACTGTGATACGCACCAGTTGAGATGATTTCCGCACATCATTTTTACAACGACTTACTCTGCGAGGGAGTAGCCTCGAGAACGGCATATGCGTCGAAGTTGAACTTGGAGATCTTCCCAGTGCGATCCGGAGCTGGTATACACGATGAGCGCGATGCAAACTGCACAGTGCCGGAAATACGTACGAGGGAAATCTTCGTCGACCTCTCCATCCTCTTCTGCGATCCGCAGTATCCAGCCGACCGCGGAGCACTTGACCGCCCAGTTCGGATCCTCCCCACTGAGCCCCTCGTCGACCTTCGGCAACCAGCCCTCCTCCCAGTAGGTCCACAACGCATACCCAAGCACTTCCTCGACAGACGCGTCCTTCCGGACATTCAGCTCCAGCGCACGGCCTTCCGGCTCGCGCGCCATCGGGAAGAACACGCGTACGATAATGCTCTCGCTCTCCGCACGCCCCGAGATCGCGCTGTACAGCTCCGCAAACGGGTTTGACGATGATGTGTTGCTCGACGTCGCCGCGAGCATCGCCGTCAGCGCCGACTTCGCGGGCTGCCTCGGCGGGATGGCCTGCCGCTTGAACATGCCAGGGGGTGTCGCACTCGACGGCCCTGCCTTCTTGGCGGACGACGCGTGGGCGGGGTGTTCCGTCCCGCCGCTGTCCTCGCCGCTCTTGGGCGCGGGCGTGACCATCTCGAACATCTCGTCGATGTTCTGCCCGTCATCGCGGGAGTCGGGGGAGAGGGAGGGACGTTCGCGCTCTTCACCGTGCTGGCCCTCGCGTACGGGGCTGAGGCGCGACGCGCGGGCGCTGCTGCTTGGGGGGAGGGAGGATGCGATGATGGACGAGCTGGTGGACATCATGGAGTTTGTTCCGGAAAGGATGGATGCGCCCTCGGATGCACTATCTGAGTGCATGCCCATACCACGACTCGCAGCGAATTCCCTAGTCTCGCACTCAGGATTGTCAGATACGCTGAGATCATAGGGGATGACTCACGGATCGAACTCGTCATCGTTGATTTCCATACTGTTGTCCGCCTCCCCGCTCATCTCGAACTCCTCCTCTTCGTCGTCGGGAATGACTTCCTCTTCCGAAGACTCAGCTTCAGAGGATGAAGACGAGAGCTCGGGATTCAGGTTCTGCGCAGGTATCGGCATCCTGGGTGCCATACCAGGCGGCTGCGCGCGAGCGTTCAAGCGCGCACGCCGTCTTGCCTCCATCTGCTCCGCGCCCCTGAACTTCGGGATGAACACCGGCATCAGTCGCGGGGCCTCCTGCGGTGCCGCATTCCCGTTCACAGCGCCATTGCCGTTCATCTGCTGCGTGGGTGAGGGTGCTGCTGAGCTCTCCTTGATCGGCGACCTTGGTCCATCCGGCTTTGTGGGGGATGACGTTGGGGTCGCGGCGATGACCTCTGTCGTGATCGGGGACTCTTCCATAGGCACAGCGCCTGGAACAGAGCCCGCCTCTTTCGCGGCACGCAGGGACATACGGACGGAGTTCCGTGGCATGGACGCACGCTTGCCGTTCACCCGCAGCCCCATCGCGCCTGTGCGCGACGGCCCGAGGATAGTAGTGGTATACTTGAGGTTCGCGCCAGGGAATCCTGAGTGTCGGCGGCGCACCGATGGGCCCGACTCATCGTCGCTCGGGGTGGGGCTTGAGGGTACAGCGAGCTCAGGCCATCGTTCGTTGTCCGCGAGACCCGCGTCGACGATGTAGGGGTTGGAAGGGTAGGAGGGGTCGAGCGAGATGAGACGGGGCCCGTACGGGTCGTCTATCTGCCGCAGATAGTTCAAGCGCAGGCTGTGGATGAGATAGCTGGCAGATGTCTGAGGGCCGTCGTCGCTGGATGACCGACAGAGAGTACTCACTCGGTATCGCTGATGAGAGACATGGCGGGTGGCTCGGGCTCCCACTTCTGTTATCACCTCTGAACGCGGTAAGTCGGAACGCGGTTATATTCTGTAGTGCGATCCTGACTTTGAGCACGATAGTTTGGACGTTGCTGCAACCGGGTTGACACAGGGCAACAACTGAGGCGGAACCAGACCAGCCGCTGCAGTTGTACTAGAATTTGACTAGAGTAGCACCGGAGATGCGTTCAGAAGGTGTCTTCCGGCGAGAAAGATTGGGCTCCTGAGGCTAGCAGATGTTATAGAAAGCAAGCAGGCCGATGCCTGTGATATACAGATAGGCAGCAGGAGGTATGAGAGCAAGATGTTAGATATCCACTGCAAACACCCCGCACATCCGCAATCCTCCGCAATCCTTGCAGGACTCCGAGAAGGACGCGGACTCGGAGGAGACGCCCGGCGGCGCGCCCACTGCCGGCGGTTCTCACACTAGTGTCGTCCACAATCCAGCTAAGTGTAGAGCGCCGCGCTGTAAACTGCGTACTGCTTGGGAGCATAATACATGCATTGTTGTCCTTCTGACCAGCTAAACCACCCAAAAAGAATACACTACACAGTCCTAATCACGGCTGCTACATCATTGCTTCTAGCATCCAGCATTACAGAAACACGTCCGGTCATTCCATGGGACCACCGATGCGATGCAACACCACTTCGCGTATGTGCCTCCCTTCGCTATCCATCTATAGCAGTGAACGTCAGCAAAATCTGGTGAACGCGCGATGATCAGACGCACCTTCAACCCGACGATGATATCCTCGTCGAGCAGCGCGCTCTCATACTCGTCCGGTATAGCCACGCTCGTCTCCATGTACGGCAGCCCCGACGTCAGCGTTTCCTGCCAGGCAGCGATGTCCGAGATCGTCGTCTGCCCTAGCACGACCGCGACGCGCCGGTCCGCCCCCCACGCCATACCCTCCGCCGCCCCATCCAGCTCCTCATCACCCTCCTGCATCTCCCCATCCTCCTCCTCGAAATCGACATCCTCCTCCGTATCTTCCCAGTCCTCTTCCACACCCTCGTCCTCATCGTCATACTCCAGCGAGCCCTCCGTCTTCCCCCACACGTTCTCCCCCGGGAGCGAGCCGACGGGCACGCCGCTGAGCGCGCGCCCGTGCACGTACCGCCGCACGGCGAGCGCGTTGAAGTCGTACACGCGGATGCGCCCGCCCGCGCGCACGCGCACGAAGCGCTGCCCGCACGTCGTCGTGATCCAGCGCGTGCCCGCGAGCTCGTCCTGGAACCAGCGCGTCACGGCCGGGCCCCACTCCGCCCACGGGATCTTGACGGGCTCGGTAGAGGCGCTGGAGGAGGGGGCGGCGCCCCTGCGGAATAGATTGCCGATGCGGGGGCGGTGGGCCGGGACTGCCTGTCCGACGGGGATGGGAAGGGCGTCGTGGTCGTTGTCGTCCTCTGCTGCGACGTCATCTTCGTCCATGTCCACGTCTGTGTCCGTGTCTTCTTGGACTTGTGTCGCGAGCGATTCTTCGGCGACAGTCGGGGACGTCTGGGCGGTTCGTCGCCGCTCGAGAGCGGTGCGCATGATATCCAGAAGAGAGGCTCGGTGGGCGATCATAGTGTAGACGCGGGTAACGCCCGTGCGCAGGCGCAGATGCATGTGTAGTATCATGACTGCCGTCTCCGGATCGGAATAGAAGGGCGTGTGCTTGTCGGCGTGCGTAGCAGAGGACGGGGGCCCGCGGGGATTCGGCTCGCAACGGCACGTCATGCGAAGGACCAGCGACTCCCGATGCAGGGCGGGCAGCTCGAGGACGCACGAGGTCTTGAGCAGGGGCACTTCAGGCTCTCCGGGTGAGCTGCTTGCGGACTGCGGTTGCGTTGCTGCGTTTAGTTCCTCTGTATATTGGCATATTTCCAAGGCGTTCGTAGGGATGATGGGCAATATGACCGTGTCCGGGGACAGTAGCACGAAAGAGTTGAACATCGTCGGATCTGAGTACAGGCGCTTCTGGCCCTGAGGGATGTCAGTTGTCCACTCGCAAGCGCGTTGAAAGGAAGGGAGGGGTACTCACTACAAGGGGTTGTCCCGTCTTCCAGTTGTAGACAATGAACGTGACAGGGTCGGCGTTGATGAATGGGAAGTAGTTGTTGAGGAGAAAACAGAGCGAGTCGCCCGAGATCTCGAGCATGACGCTACAGTGTCCTGGGAGGTAGTGTATGTTCTCGAAATGCAGAATGGGCTTCGCAGCGGCAGGATGAGGCTGCCCGGTGGAATGTTTGAGTAGGTGGACATCTATGGAGGCTAGTAACTGTGCCTCGTTTATGTAGCTGCAAATATGTGAGTAAGCTTCGGAACGGAGATACCCAAACTGCTCGAGGCTGATATTATGCGGCACGCTCAATCCGGCAAAGAGCTGTAATGACATCACGAAGACCCATAATGAATAGCGCTGCGGAACTAGAGCGACCGCTGAGGGGAAGCAAATAGTACAAATCAGGCCACCATGTGCCCTAAACTGCGTCGTTGGACTACAACTTGCAGGGGCGCAGTAACGAATATCCCTATACTTCGATGCTGCGATCTTAGAGGAAACGGAGCGTTTTATGCCGCATTTCTCGCATCGCGTTTCTAGGCGCATGATGAAAACCGCCTAGCACATGGCGGCATAACGGCCTCTGAAGGGTCCGCCTACCAGGAGGCCTCTAGAAGGACGTGACCTGCTGGGGAGGACCGGACAAATAGGTGCCGCAGTGCAAGGCCAGGGAGGAATGTGGCGCGTATCCAATGGTCGACTTGGTCTGTGACCCGTTGAATTGGTCTTATAGGTACGGTACAGTGCAGTGGAATGAGCGACTCACGAATAGGTTACGATTGCCATGAGATCATGTTCTTGAATGGCAAGGCCAACGTCTATGACCTGCTTGCCGAGGTCGATGTTCGACCACGAAGGGCCGTTTGATCGTGCACCATCCTCCAATGCTGCAGCATGCAAGTTTATGGTGTGGACAGCATCTGTCCCAGCGTAGCCCTCGCCGTTGTGCCGCTCCCCTAGGAGAAGTGTGCCGCCAGTGAGGTCGTATATCCCGGACGGACGGTGGCTCAGGGTGAGAGATTTCCTGTCAGACATGTCGAGTACCCTCCACGCCTTCTCCTTTCTCTCCAATATTCGTAGTCGTTCTCCGGGGACGAGACGGGACGCTGGGTTGTCGATCATGCCCGCCACAGACAGCTCGATGTCGTACTGCAGCGCTGCATTCGACCTAACGACTTCTTGCCAGCGTGAGCATGTTTGCTGCAGAGAGAGGAGTTCATAGAGGGCCAGATACGACGCGATTTGGACAAGCAGTTCGTCAGGGAGGTCAAGGAGGTTCATGGTACGGAGGAAAGCGGTAGCGCGATCGCGGTCAGACGATCGTCAAACGGAGAATGGGCGTCTATTCGTAGCTTTCTCTCCGACCTCACTGTGCCGTCCGTTTCGCCCCTTCTCTCCTTCCGGTACGTCGCGCTCTCCGTCTTCGTGCAGAACGCATACTAAATAGCGCAAAGGGTGCTGGAATCATGGTCCTTCCGCACAACCTCTGCTCACATATCCAAAACTCCTTCCGTGCGCGGCACCAGCACATCGCTGTCCCCCACAGCACACAAAATCTTGCCATCCTCTCCATTCTCCTCCGCGCCGGCTTCATCTCCAATGTTACGCGAGGCACAATAGAGACACCCTCCCCGGAAAGCTTCCACGAAGTCAACGACTCGCAAAAGCGTATATGGGCGGACCTCAAGTACCGCGATGACCGCCCGGTCCTTGCTGACATGGAGCTCATCAGCCGGCCTAGCAAGCCTATCTTCATGGACCTTGGGGAGATTCGGAGACTGTGCACGGGCCGGCGTGTGCAGAACGTCAAGCCGCTGCGTATGGGCGAGATTGCCATCGTCAAGACGAAGGACCGGGAGAACGAGTGGTTGGAGGCGCGGGAGGCCATGCAGCTGAGGCTACCGGGAGAGGTCATCTGTCGGGCGCGGTGATTTACACCGCCTGGGTCACAGTGAGTACCTTGCCGTGCGTTCGTGAATCACAGGGGTACTGAACGCCATTTGACCAGTCTTAATACGTATATAGTCTTGCTCCTTAGGTAGAAACGGAGCATAATTCGTTCTGCAAGCCCTTCATTGCGCTCGAAACACCACAACTCTGGCTTCCCGTGAGCTACAAGTCACCAATGCCCCAGTGAGCCTTCCCCTTTCTTTGCCTTGAAGGCAGCAGTAGGCGGTTAGAGTGACTCGCTTGTCTCTGCCTGAGGCGTACATGCAGCTCTGGCAGACACCACTCTCGAGAAGGCTAACGTCAAGCCTTTGTCTGATGCGTTCTACCCTGGTCCATCTTGAACCACACAATTCATTATTGCAGATGATAAGATGCCGCCATTGGGAAAATCCCACTGGTCATGTAGTCCTGTTTCACTCGAATTCGACTACATTGTGCGTCGCTAAACCATATACACACGTGTTGCTATTGCCAGATAACCCCTACAGAAACATTGATACGGTACGCCCCCTACTGGGTGAAGCCCTTGATGCCAGAGAAGTTCTTAATGGAGCCAGCAGAGCCACCAGACACCTTCAGCGCGGACCAGTCCCAGGTGCCTGCACGAACAAACAGTTGTCAGCATAGCCTACCATGCGGTCGCCTTCCAGAAGAATACTCACCGGTGCAGGCACCGGAGCCACAGTTCACCTCCACGCGCTTCGCGCCGCTGGCCACGGCGATGGAGTTGGTGCTCCCAGAGAAGTTCACGCCCTGGTCGTCGAGGCGCGCACATCAGCCAATGCATACAGCACACACGGCAAGGAGACTCACGGAAAGCTTCACGCCCGTGCCGGGCGTGCCAAGAGTGGAGGGGTAGCTCTGGGGGAGGCGGTGTCAGTGTGCGCCCTGTGGCTAGGCACCGCCGTCGGGGACGTACCTGGTCGATAATGACACCGTACTTGCGGATGCCAGTGGCGGTGTTGCCGGAGAAGGTGATGCCAGACACGGTTGAGCCCGTCGCAGAGGCCTTGGTCTTGATGCGGAGGGCGTTGTCGCTGGAGGGGGAGCGATCAGCATGCGCGCGGAGTATCACGCGAAAGAGCGGGGTGCGTACTTGTCCTTGATGATGTTGTTCTTAATGGTGATCCCGGAGACGGTCACGCTAGAGTCGATCGAGCCCTAGACGAGGGAAGATTTCAGTGCACAGAGAGGTCCGCGTCGAATAGCGGACGTACAATGGAGATACCGTGGCCGCCGATGCAGGTGTTGCCCTGGAAGATAATGTTGCTGCCCTTGTTGATGGCGAGGCAGTCGTCCTGATTGTGGATAGTGCTTTGCGCGCTCGTGTCAGTCGGCATGCGCGCCCCCAAAGAGCGATTCACGGCTCACCTGTCGTCGATAGTGAGGTCGGTAGTGCTGCAGTCGAAGCCGTCGGTGTTGTGGCCTGCGGCCTTGCCGTCGCTCTTCGAGTTTGCAGCGTCGCCCGCGGCTGCAAATTAAGGAGTAGTGGGTTTTAGCTTGTGACCGGATGCTACATCAGCACGCGAACGCACAGTTGTCGATCGTCAGCTTGGACATCGTCAGCTGCGCGGGGTTGGACACGCTGTACACGCGAGCAGGTGAGTTCAGGACCTTGACGTTCTGTAAAGACCAGTCGTGGTATCAGGTATTATCCCAATTCCATATTGCCAGGAGACGTACGGTGTACGTCCCGGAGGTCTTGATCCTGAGCACAGCATAAGTCAGCCGCCAGCATATATCCCGCCTCGAGCTGAGACGCACTTCATCATGGGTGCGGGCTTGGTGACACCGCCGTTACCACCCTGGCCGTCCTGTGGAAGCGGTCAGTATCTGCGGTCGTTGACAGTGAAAGTAGTTGCTGCGCTTACCCAGTAGGAAGCACCGTTGCCGTCGAACGTGTGCCCATTGCCGTTGACTACATGCCGCGAAGTGTGTTAAACCTGTGTTTCGGAGAGAAGAACGTCGTCAATACTCACACGTGATGGACTTGCCGCTATTAGATCCACAGTTAGTTACAAACGACCACCGCACGCGCAAGCAATAATTTACCTGACTTGGAAGAGCGGTCCCGCCCAGTTCTTAACGGCGAACTTGACGTCGCCGTCTACGTGAATACGCGCTGGGTAAGCCAAGAAAGTCTGACGGACGAGGGAAAAGACGTACTCATAGTGACGGTGGTGCCGTCCAAGAGGGGGAGGTCGAACGTCTTGCCGGCGGGGACGGTGAACGCGTTAATGACCACCGTCTTGCATTTCACCGCGGCGGAGACGTCATCGAGAGAGGCGATGGTGCCGGTGCAGGCGCTCGCCGCGGGCGCGGCGGCGATGAAAGGAACAAACGCGAGGAGCGCGACCAAATGAGTGTACGAAGGCATGTTGTCGGTGGGATTCAGACTGGTAGTAAGCTCCGGGTTATGCGTGAGCTGGAGCTTGGGAAGCTCCCGCGGTGCGCCGCTGGGCTTTTATACACGAGGTGTCGTTGTATGTCGGTAGTCTCGTCACCAGCCGCTATATGGGGGTCCTTCCAAAACGGGACGGGACAAAAAGCAATGGAGAGGACCTCCTATAACGTCTGGTGACTTTCGTATAGACGGGTGGGGGTCTCCCCGGATGGTCACGGAGGTCACAGCGGCCCCACTTGGGCGTGCCCCGCCGGGCAGCGCGACCATACAGCGTGAGCAGCTGTTTCGCCTGATCCCAGAGGCAAATCCGACCGCGCGGGAGTTGCACTCGCCGTTTTCGAAGCTCGCGCGTCGCGAATGTGTTCACAGAACATCTGTGAGCAGATCGCGAGGGCTCAATCGTCGAAATAATGCCGCGATTCATGATAGAGGGCGCCGGGAGCCCGTACTCCGCGCGAAACCGACTGTATGCGCATGTTCGTGAAGGGGAAAGTCGCGATAATCGAGCCAAAGTCTTTCCCAAGTGAGGCGAATATGCGCGCGCAGTCGAACATGAGACCCAGCGGCATGCTAGGCGGTGGAGGGAGCTCTGGTCGCGGTCGCGGCGCAGGCCCAATGCCCGATGGAGGACGCGTCGGGCGGCTTGAGTACCTGGGCTCGACGCGTCGACAGGCTTCCATTCGCGTGGGCGTGACAGAGACCCCCACCCCTCTATACGAATTCCACCAGACGTTATAGGGTGCTCCTTTCTCTGGTTTTTTCGCTCTCCGCTGTCCCAAAAAGGAGCTAAACCCTATGACGTCTGGTTACGAGACTAGTATGTCGGATAAATGTGCGGGCATGGGGATGGCAACTGGGACGTGAAGAGGTCGGACGGCGTGCGCGGGGCGGCGCGCACGGTCTATCTGCGTGATCATGAGGTGCTGGGCCGCCGGTCCACGTCGTGCGCATGGTCGCTGTGTCCATGCGGGCGCAGACTTTCCGACGGCATGAGGTGCGATGCGGCCCATCCTCACACCAGCGGCTCGGGAACACTTGAATTGGCCAAGTCCTTGCTGGGTTTCACGGGAGGAGGTTGCATCCTGTACCGGCGGTTCGGGCGTTGTGTCGCCGGAGTGCCTGCAAAGGACGCGGTCGAGGCTCTCAGCCTTTCTTATGACGATACAGGGGCTCCGAGAGAGACTTATTCCGGGTGTCGAGATTACATCCACGGCTGGTCTGTTCTGCAGCGGACGCGTCGAGTCCGGACATGGACATGCCGTCGGTAACGATCACCGGCGGGCCTCTGGAGACCCACGGCCCTTGGAGACAAGGAGGAGGAGGAACGGTTCGGTTCATTCAATGCGCGTCACAACGGTTACAAGGCACCGCGTTCGGTCCGCGATCATTACGCCTATATGTCGGTCAGCACCACGAACATACTCAATTAAGCTAGGTTCATCGGACCTCGCGTGTCCTGACGCCAATTTTCAGCTGTACGCGCCGCCAGGACCCCGGATAATACAGGTATATGCCACCCCCCGCTGACGGACCAAAATGGGGCTCGGAGGGGCCGGATGCCTTCCGCCGGACGGACCAAAACAGGGGGGTCCCGGCCGGGTACGCCTTCCACTTTCGCCGGACCAGACGGGGGTCCAGCAAGGCAGGCCTTCCAGGATGGCGGACCAGAAGGGGGGGGGCTCCGGATAAGCGCCTGTTGGCCGGTGGGTCCGGACGGCGCTTGGGATTTTGGCGCTTAATTACTATATTGGGCGCCGGGTGGGTAGGCCTTCCACCGGGCCCGGACCAAACGACCCCCCAAACCGATGCCTTCCACGCGGCGCGGACCAACAGGGCCTCAGAGGCCGCAAAATTGGCCCGGACCAAAACCCCCCCAAAGGGGTCATTCCGGGGGAAGGCCTATGTTAGCATTATCCGGGGTCCTGCGCCGCCCCGCTGCACGGCTTGTAATGTATACATGGCGAGTATGACATTGGTATTGAGCAATAATGATATGTTGCGGAAAGTGCGCTAGAACATATGCACCAGAAGATTAAGAAGCACGTTTGAGATGGAAGAAGCTGACGAGGGAAGCGGAAGGTGAGTGTGTCGTCCACGCGTCTGGTTGCGCCAAGCAATTGATTGTAGTGGTCGCGGGTCGACTCCGCGCCGCCCGGCGGCCCGTCCGAACCGTTTCTTATACACGAAAGTCCCAGTCGGACGAAGTCAGAGAGGTGCGACGAAAAGGGATCAGAATGTGTGTTAGAGAGGCGGGCGGCGCCGCCTCAGAGTCCGATTCTTCTGCTTACGGTCGAGTACTATCGTGCAGCGCATACTGGACGCGATATGTAGAGCGGGCGGGGCCACCGGTGGCAGACAGTTGAGTGTCTAGCCATAGCACCTTTTGGTAGCTGACCTCAAAATCACATATATACAACATGTGGTATCAAGGACATCTACTTGCACCCTTGATCATCTCGAATGCCGTGTCACATACTTGCTGATACGCGTCAACTGCCGCCGGCGGAATGAGCGATATCACTAACAGACACAGCTGGTTTAGACAGTATGGGATTTTGGTGTACACGCTGAACATGGCCCTTGCAACCTATATTCGTCGATGACTGATGCCCGGGAAGTAAGAACATCATGAAAGAGGACGAGACCAGCTTTACGCGCTGTACTAGTGCTGGAGGTGGAAGAAGGTGCGCGGAGAGAGAGCGTCTCAGAGCGAGAACCAGCGTTAGCGGAGCAGTGGTTGGTGGCGCGACCGTGGGAGTATGGTACATATAATTCACGTGACCCCTATATCCTCTGCTGGTTGATAACCGATTCTTTGGAAGAATCGGAACTGCTTGGTAAATGGTGTGAGCGGCGCATACAAAACAGAAAAAACTAGCAACTCAAGTATCAAGAAACTTAAGGGGGCGCCTTCAATCCCTCCCACACGACGATAGTCATCTCCCGCGCTGGGCACCCAACCACTTCTGTACTTCCAGCTGCAGGGGAGGCCGTCCCCGAGGTCCTTCTCCACTCGTCGCGGAACACAACGCCACAGCTAGGGAGCCCCAAGATGTCCCACACCTCAGCGGACAAGCGTTTCCGCTACTGCGGCCATACTCGTGAGCAATGGCCTTCTAAGCAGATGACATTGCGTACCTCAGCGACCCCGCGTCGCACGGAACGGTAGCGATGCGAAACGCCAGCTTCATCGAATGTGAGAGATGTCCGCCAGTCCTGAAGGTCATCGACAGCCCCGTCACGAGAGGGGCTTGCGACAGGACTCAGAAGGCTGCGAGACGGTCCGGGAGACGATTGCGTGTCGTGGTACGACTGGGCACGGGCTTCGGGGGGACGGGGAGAGAACTTCGTTCTTGAAGGTTCGTATTTGTAGGAGGGGAGCGTCATCGTAGACGGTACGGCGCGACGGATCGTAAGTGGTTGGAAGCCAGGGGAGGAGATGGGTGAATTAACGGTCGCGCTCGTTCCGACCCGGCGGTGAGACTTCTCTGCCTGCGAGCGACCGTCGTCTTGAGGGACGCTCGGAGCATTCTTTGGTGGAGGTGGAAGGTATGTCGTAACTCTCCGCCGCGTCGAGCCGCATGCTTGACCTAGCGCCCCATTCTCTTTGCCCGCTTCCTCTCGCGCGAAGCGTCCCTTCGAAGCAAGCGCAAGCTTGGGCGGGATCTTGAACTTCCCGCTCGCGACGTCACGAGTCTTGTCTTTGCCTGTAGCGCGAGGTTTCTTTGCGGGGAGGGTCGACCAGGATGCGTGCGGAGAACCGAAGGCGTCGTAGGCGTCGCGTTTGGGCTGAGGCTTCTTACTCGCGAACAAGTCGTGCTGCTGCTCCCTCCGCCGGGTCGGGGGTGACGGGCAGTATCGGGGGAATGGAGGAAGCGGGGGTGATGGGCTGGGAGAGCGCCTTATTGGGCGCGGGCGCATCTTCACCGGAGGAGGTATTGTGGTCGCACTTGTCCGAGAAGGATGCGAGGTGGTAGACGCATTCATGGCTCGCTGTAGCCAGGGTTTCGGGTGGTTCGTGACTTCAGCACCTTGTGGCTGGTCTCTCGAGTGGTTATATGCGGGTGCGTCCGGGAGGATAGGGCTGTATTCGCGTTTGGGAAGAACAGGAGGCATCTGTTGGGTTGGAGGCGTCTGGTGGAAGGTTTTGCCTTGTGAGGGCAACGAGTGGAGATCTGGGGAGCGCCATTCTCTCTTCCAGGGTTGTTGTTCTGGCAAGCCAGTGTACTGATGTTGGTGGTGCTGATTGTATGCTGTGAAATGAATGCACTTAACGCCGAGAGGGAATACTGAACGAAGAAAAAGCTGGGGCTTACCAGGAGAGCGAGAGGTGGTAACACCCTGGTACGAGGACGAGGGGAGCACAGTAGCTGCCGGGCGCGTCCCAGTGGGATGCGGGCCGACAGTGTCAGTTGGGCGAGCGGCAGGCCGTGGTTGTTTAAATAGCGCAGAGCGAAGGTCCTGTCGAGGACCGTCGCGGAGCAGTGGCGAATTTGATGTGGGTATGGAACAGTTTCCGGCCGGGGCGGATATATGCGACCCATCAGGAGCAATCTGGTGGCCAAGGAGTCCTGAAACTGTACGGGAGGTCGTGGCAGACTGAGTGGGACCAGGTGAACCGTCAGAAAAACCAGCCGCAGGATGTCGGTTGACATTGTCTGTACGAGTAACAAAGCCATGAGAATCAGCTCCAAAGTCAAGGCGGCGAGCAGCAGAGGACGGAGTAATGGTCGTGGGGGAATGAACAAGAGGAGATTTTCCAGGTTTGACGAGAACATCAGGTTGGTAAGACACGTCGACGAGGGTCTCATCAGAAGGTATATGCGCTCCATCTTCAGGGTTGCAGCCTGAGTGTGTGTTGGAAAGCGAAGGTTCAGCGACAGACTCGAAGGCTTTCGGCACAGCAACAGCGGCACTAGCAGTAGTACGGGGTGGTGCATTTTTCTTCTTTGGTTGGGTTCGAAGGAGGTCTAACACGGTTGCCTTGGTCGTGACTTTACTTGACGGCTTAGATTTCTTATGAGTAGCGGCAAGAGGCTTTGATGGTCGAGCAGAAGCGTTGACTTTCGCAATAGACCAAGGGCTCGGTTTGTATGCAGCAGCGTCCGCGCGAGAGGCAAGATCCAGTTCTCCCAGGAGCCGAGCTTCGTCTGAGGTCGGCGGCGAGGGTCCGTCAGAGCCGGTGGTGAGTGCTGTCTTGTCGCCGTCCTCTGATTCATCGTCGCTGGAGTATCCATCGTTACAGCCGCGGCCTCGTAGACTGAGCGACCAGCAGGAGTCTGCCTTGGGCCTTGCGGACATGTCGAGCGGGGGTGATGGTAGCAGACAAGGAGCGCCTTCTCGGCAAAACGCGATCGGGCCGCAGGCGTGTATACGTCACGTGCCTTTAGGTACGCGGTAGCGTGACAAGTTGGAGTTGCGCGCCTTGGTTCGGTTCTTGTCTTCAACCGCTTTGTTGTCTCCTTTGTTCGACTGCTTTGACTGTCCGCTCTTGCTTAAACAATTAGCACTAGGGCTATGGAGAATGTGCCCCCTCTTGCAATGAACGGCGACGACGTTCCTTCGCTCGACGACCTCCTCTACTCCAAACGCAACGTGAAAGCCTCGAGGCAGAAGCGATCACTTGCCCTCAACTCCAGGACCAATGCCGATAACGATGATGGCCGCTCCGAAGACGATTCTGGCCTCTTGACACCCCCATCGTCTCAGCGAGAGCTCGAAGAAGACGATATGGATCCCGCGCGAATGCTGTTCAGCCCACCCCCGGAGGAGGTACTCAGAGGCAACGGTCGCAGCTCGGTGAGTGTCCCGACATGTGCAACGGCAATCGGGTACCCCGAGAGATCTACAGTTTTGTGCTGTGCAATCGGTCCCGTCGCGTGTCGGCGAGACTGTACATGTACCGTCAATGGAGGACGTTACACTAAGATCTTCCCTTACTCGATTAATGCATCGTCTTGGTACTTTAGATAGGAACTAATGCCTTCTACCGCAGACATCTCGTGCACGGTCTGTTCCCGTTCAGCTTCCCTTCACCCCGTCTCTTCTTGCCGACCCTGCGCCGGGCGCGGCCGCGTCCAAACGCAAGAGACACGCACACCAACGTTCTTCGTCTCATACTGCTCTGAGCTCCATCGTCGACAGCCCTTCTACTAGTCAGGTTCCAGCCGAAGCTACCCCGAACCCGAAACCCCGCAAACAGTCGAAACGCCATGCACCCACCATTACGATCGATTCTCCAACTCGTCCGTCGGCTGAGCCGCTCGACGAGCCTTCCACGCCTACGCGTGCGTCTTCGCAGCGCCGAAGCCAGTCTCCAACAAAGCGCTCTCTCTTTGCCTCCCCTCATCACACCAACCCGGATGCCGACTACATCGCGCCCCTCCCCGTTCTCTCACGACAAAGTCTTTCTGCCCGACGCCGATCTGCCACTCCGATTCCCCCATACGAGCCGCCACGCGAGCGGTTCACCCCACCACGCGAAATTATACACACCCCGCCTCCTGTCGCGCAATCCCCGTCGAAGGTGTCCAAATCCAGCAAGCGTAAATCTACGGCTCCGAAGAGCAAGAAGAAGCTCGTGATACAAGTCAAGACGGAACCTCCCGAGGTCGACCTTCTCGAGCCACCGCCGCCACCTTCACCTACCGACGACCCATTGCTTCTGAAAGGCACAGACAGACCCAGGCGCCAACATAAGCCTCGTGTCAGCAACTTGTCAACTTCGTCCTCTACCCACTCGAGAGAGACACCATCTATCGCGTCTAGCTCTCCCGTGAGCCCTCCCCGCGCGGGCGGGATCGGGCGCCTCCCTGACCTGAACTCCAGCATGGACGTCAGCATGCTGGACCACAGCTACGACAGCGCGGAGGACTCGTTTGCGGGTCCTGAGGCGCCCGTATTCGATTTCACGAATGCGGCAGATAACAGCGCCGCCTGGGACGACCAGGAATCGGACGACTCGGACGACTTCGACCAGACGGGCGAGTATACGGGTCGGTTCAAGATCCTCACCGTGCCCACGAAGGCAGATCCGCCGAGCAGCTGCACGCGCACCCGTCAACAGGCTTGGGGGCATCCCATCAGCCCGTTCCCTGGCTCAAGCGGACGGCGGACAAGCCTCCCGAGTTCTCCGCCGCTTAGGGCAGGCCCGGACGAGGACGGTGAGATGGACTTCGAGGAGAGCCCCGACGAGGACGACGTGTTCTTCTTGGATGGCCTAGTCAACGCGGATACGTCCACCGATGGCGATATGTCGCTGGAGACCGTCGATGCGTCGGAAGAGTCTATGGAGATACACGAGACCCCTCGGGCTCACACGCCTATGCGCTCGCCGTCGCCACTGCCTATCGTTGACGTGCCCGAGTCAGGCGACGCTAGCATCGTTCACCATCCTGGGGACCACCATGTCCGCTTCGCTGCGCGGAGACTGTCGGAGGAGCACTACGACGAAGATGTGGACATGTCTATGGACGACGTATCCTACGAGAGCAACCAGGTCGACTCTGTTCCCGCCCATTCCCCGCCACCGTCTGAGGAACATCAACACGGACCATCCCCTGAGCCCGAGCATGCAAACACGTCTCTCAACCATGCATCCATGTCACACGATACGCGAGTCGTTGAAGAAGAGCATTGGAGCGATTCTAGTGACGAAGAGACGGTCGACCGCGAGCTCTCGCGCGAGCCCGATCCGGAGAGCGACGACGAGGACCGTCCCCCGCGCCCGACTCTGCTCACGCCTGCTCGCGCGATCACCCCAGCACGTTCCACTTCTCCGCAAGTGCGGCCACGCGGATTCCTCTCGATCGCGTCTCCACTCCGTCGACAGAAGTCTCCAAGTGTTCAAGCGCGCAGTGTGTCGCCCGTGGAGCAGTCGATGCCCTCCATACACTCCGTGTTTGCGACTCCCAGCGTACCCCGCGTATTCGTCGAGGGTGCGTCGGACTCGTCCGCGCGCGGGGCGAGAGAGGAGACGCAAGAGACCGCAGTGGAGGAGCAGGACATGGACGTCGAGGACGGTGCAGACGCTGCTACGGAGGTCGAGGACGGCAGCTCGGACGAGAACGAACAGCTCGATGACGGAGTCATCAAGATCACGAGCGGCGACCCGCGTGTTGCTGCTCGCGCCGCGGCGATCCTGAAGATGGTAAGTCGATCGATCTCCTGCTAATGCTGCGTCGCTAACCACCTCGCAGCACGACTACGACTTCGTCATCCAGGATCCGGCGCGCAAGCGTCGGTTTTCCAGCGTCGACTCCGCGGTGCGCAATGCGCGCCGGAAGTCTGTCGTTGAGGGTGGGATCACCAAACACAACACCCCAGTGAAGCGGCGGCGCACCTTCGGTGGCGTCCTTGGGGACAGGGTCATTATTCCAGGCAGCCCCTCGATGACCGTACCCGAGCTCCTGCACGAGGCCGAGCGGACCGTCGAACAACGCCTGCACACACCTGCGCGCGCTACGTCGTTCCTCAGCGACAGCGGAATGTTCAAAGTCCCTCTGGACAGGTCGGCGTTCGAGACTCCGGGGCCGCGCCAGAAGGTGCATGCTCGTCCGGTGTTCAACTCATCTGGGCCCCGTAGCTGGGACAAGGACGACTGGAAACTGCTGGACGCGTGCTTCACGGACGAGCGACTTGCCCTGGGGTCGCACAAGCGGCCACTTGGCGAAGCTGTCCTAGCATCCGTCGAAGATGTGGACTTGAACCAAGTTGTCGAGAGGTTCTTGGAGCAGACGGGCGGAGTGCCCATGGATGAGTGTTGGCCTGGATGGAACCAGTATGTGCTGTCTCTCAGTCCCTTTTATGTCTGTGTGCTGATGGCTATGTAGGGAGGATCTGCTACGGAGGACGTATGCGCTTCAGAAGAAGCAACGTTCGGGCAAGGTCGCACCACCCACTCCGAGCGGCCGCTTTGCGTCTGTGGCCTTGTCAGAGGTGCCCGACTTCACTCCCCTTCCTAGCAGGCAGTCGTCCATGCAGCCGGGGTTGCAGCGTCGGGAGTCGGCATCGAGCGCGTACAGCGTCAAGGCCTCAGTGCCTGCATCCCTGCTTGCGCCCCGCTATTCCCATCTCCTCGACGAAGCCATCGCGATCTCGAAGGGAGAGGGCACCACACAGAGCAACGTGCAACCGGTCGAGTACCGCAGCACATCTCTCCCTGCGCCCGAAACGCCCAACCGCCCAGAGACCGAAGGCACCGAAACTGCGAACCTATCAGTGGTCGCACCTTCCCCCAGAGCCGCGTCGGAGCGGCCCCAGACCCTGATCACCCCGAGCCGCTCAATCGGCTCGCGCATGAAAGGCTTCTTCTTCTCCTACCTCCCCACCGCGACCAAGACCACGCAGCCTAAGAAGCCCGCCGCCCCCGCGCACCCTGGCCTGCCCATCCCGCCCCCCGAGATGTTCCAGAAACCCCGGCCGCCCATCTCGACCCCAGTCTCCAAGCCGCCCTCGAAGACCGTCCACCCGAAGGAGCTCGTGCAGCTCAACCACGCGCCGCCCCCCAAGCCGTCGCGCATCCCGCGCTTCGCGCAGAAACCGCAGCGGCTGGTCGAGCTGCACCCCGCGCCCCCACCCCCGGAGCCGCGCCCGCGCTCGTCGCTCGGGCTCGCTGGGGACAGACGGAGCAGCAGCGGGAGCGTGAAGGATTTAGTGAGGAGCTTCGAGACGTTCGAGAAGCAGCAGGAGCGCGAGCGCGCGGAGGAGGCGACGAGGTTGCGCCGGGTGAGGAGTGTTGGGGAGTGGGCGGCGCAGGCGGGCGGGAGGGGGAAGACGGCGACGGGGCCGAAGCGGGGGACGTGGAAGCCGTGACGCGCATGAGGACCTGGTGTGGTTTGAGTGACTGATTTCTGGCCTCGATTTTCGCATGTGATCTTATGGCGATATACAGTATACCTACAGACAGCAGCACGGTTTTGCATACCTGCCCGCGCGCTCAACGCGCGCGGTGTAATTTTTTGGACGCGGCTGCGTCGCGCACCGCATCCGCATTTATGGTACATATGATGGTGGTGGTACATGTATATATGCATCTCGTGTTCGAACTCTGGATATTACCCATCTTGTTTCCCCTCTACAGACAGTGCGCGCCGGTTGCAATATAGTTAGTAGAAGCCGAGTTCGCGTTGGGCTGCTTTTAGGGGCTCGTATAGCCCGTGTTGCTCGCCGAGGGCGTAGGTGAGCGTCATGCGCTGCAGGATTGACGGGCCGTCGTCCGAGTCGCACTCGATCTGCGAGAATGTGAGAGATGTTCGGGAGGAAGATGGTACGCATACTGACCATGGAGATGATGTCGTCTAGGAGGTGAGCCTGTCCTGCGGACATACCTGGCAGGCCGTGGTAGTTGACGTTTACGACGTGTACGTGGAAGTGATCTGCGACAGATCTTCAGCGAGTGCTCGAGATGGTCCTGCAGAGGATCGCTACGTACAGTAGGACGGCTGGTAGTGGATGAACATGCGCAGAGACCCATGGTCAAGTCCCCAGCGCTCCTTCGCGACGCGCGCGGCTTCACGGCGGATGCTCGTGAGCATGGGGAGGTGCGACTTGTTGAGGTCGCGAAGGCTGCGGATGCCGCGGTTGAAGGCGATCGCGACGAGGTAGAGCGAGCTGAGCGTGGTCAGGTCCCACTTCATGTCGGGCAAGAGCACGTAGCCTGCGGAGGGGGACGGGTCGCGGAAGAGGATCTTGTCGGCCTCGGATGCGCCGGTCAGGATGTTCTCAACCCTGTACGTGCGGGTGAGTACCGTAGCTCGGAGAGGAGATTATTGACGCACCATTGGGTTCGCGATGGGGGGAACGCGGAGATGTATGGCTTGATTATTCTCTCGTATAGTGCAGGCGTCTCGTGGACGATGGAGAACTCTTGTTGGGAGTACTGCCGTGTGGGCGGTCAGCATTACTTTTAGCAGTGGCGTTCATTAGAGCATTGTACCTTTCGTATGTGAACCTCGGTAGCAGGGTGGACGATGTTGATTTTCACGTCCGGTCTGTCCTCTGAGGCATTCAGCCATCCCGACAACCATGTATACTGCGCAGGACCATTTAGTCTTCAGTACGCGGGCTTCTTCCATTGCAACCCGTGCTCACGATGTCGGTGCCCTCGATCAACTTCGCATCCCTGAGGGAGCCCGAGAGCAGTTGCTCTGCTTGACCCGCTGTGAGCGCAGTCTTCTCGATCCGCACGATGGCCGGCGCATGCTCGTCCGAGTCGGCGGGAGCGCTCCCGGTGGGCAGTGTCCCGAGCAGGGTGAGCGCGTGCGTGATTGGATCTGCGGGATGTACATTCAGCGTCGGGCTCGGTCCGCCAGTTTCACGGGAGATCACAGACCTTCGTTCAAGACACGCTCAAAGCGGAAGCGTTGTAGCACAGCAAGATCGTACTTCGCCATGATGGCACAGCGGAGAAATTGAAACCTGTTCGGAATACTTTATAGCACCCGATCTGCAAGTGTTTCCGGGATGTCGGCACTTCTAAGCACGTACCACACTCAACGAAGGGCTTTCCTGACAGAACAGGGGTGGTTAGGACTCCGAGAGTGGTAGTAACGGACAAACGTGCGTACCTTACAGGGATCAGCGCCTCCGCGTGGCGTAGTAAGGTTCGCGAAGCCGCGGGCGCTTGAGCGATGCAACTTGGACGGAGACTCCGACCATGCGTGCACGTTTATCTCCTTTCCTCCTCCGTGATAGCTCATCGACCACCTGATGCTGATTCGAGAAGGCCGCGGACCGCCAGTCTGTGTATATATACCATCACTTCAGTGCCTCTGCGCCCCAGGACGCTGCCGTCGCGCCCACTGCAGCTGTCAGCCCCAGATCGTTAACCAACTTACACACTTTCCTTTGATAACCCTATCCATTCCCGTCGCAGCGCTCAGACACGTAGGAGACACACATCATGCTCCACCCACAGACGAGCACCACCACGGTGCTTCTAGCTCTTGCCTTCGCTGCAACGGTGGGCTCAGTCCCTCACGGTAATATTGCTTTGCATGTGCCTCCACTCCGAGTCACTGACGAGGTACTCTTTGACCTTCAGGCAGCATCCAGTCTCGCTTTTCCGAACTCGGTCCGCGTGCAGATGACATCGACCTCAACCCGTATCCCACCAAGCCCCGTCTGACCTTCCGGAGCGACGGCACCTTCAAAATCACCGTCTTCTCGGACCTGCACTATGGCGAGAATCCGTGGGACGACTGGGGCCTTCAGCAGGACATCGACAGCACCAGCTTGATGAACACCGTGCTGGACTCTGAGACGCCAGACTACGTGTTCGTAGCTTCATTGGCATTGTGAGAGTGTCGCGCTGAAGTGACGTCGTTCTTGACAGGGTTTTGAATGGTGATCTGATTACTGGCGAGAGTGAGTGACTCATTGAGCCTCAGTCAAGCAAGGTTTTGACTCGATTCAAACCCGCATAGACACGTTCCGCGAGAACTCTACCACGCTCGTCGACGAGATCGTCGCTCCGCTGAACAAGCTCAAGATCCCGTTCTCTTCTACACACGGAGTAAGTACCCTCATTTTGATCTTGTATGCCAGGGTTCTTTAATAAACACCATGCAGAACCATGACAACGAGCCGAACATCACGCATGCGGAGGAGATTCGGCGTGAGCTCAAGGTTGCGCCGCTGAGCTACACCCGTTTCGCGCCATCTTGGGCCGATGGCGAGGGCTACGGTCCCGGGACCTACTGGGTTCCCGTAAGTCGTATAACTATACACAACATTACTTTTGCTGACGGGCCCCCGATCAAAGGTGTACACCAAAAAGTCTGGTTCGTACCAGGGACACATGCAACGCGCGAACACGACTCTGATGAACACTTAGATCGCAACCCCTCCCTTATCCTGTGGTTCTTCGACTCGCGCGGTAAGCCTCTCCCAGTGACGACTCTGGTATGAAATTACTTATCGTATGCGTAGGCGGTTTCAGCGAAGGCGCAAACTCAACTGCACTCCCCGACTGGGTCGACGCCAAGGTCGCAGACTGGGTCAAGTTGACTGTAGCCAAGATGAACGCCGCATGGGGCCCCGCAGAGACGGTTGAGAGGGGTTCCCTCGCATTTGTTCACATTCCACCGTGAGTCGTGGTTTGCTGTACCATCCCTTTTCGACCTGTGCTCACGTATTCTGTGCGTACAGCAACGCCGTGCAGGCTCTGCAGACGAACCTCAACAGTACCCAGGACCCTGGTCTCAACGGTTTGTAGCGACAGTGCTTATTTCAGGCTTGGTGAGGTATCCTAACGTCTTTGTGGCATTGTAGAGGACCTCCTCGGCTCCGGCTCCACCCAGGCATCTGGCGATCCTGCAAATGGCGGCAAGGATGAGCCGTTCTGGGACGCGGTGAACTCGGAGATAAAGAACCTCCACGGTGTCATCTCCGGCCATGGTGCGCATCTTTCCTTCCTCTTCATTGAGGGGCGTCCTGACAGACTCTGGATTCCGCTCAGACCACGGCAACGAGTGGTGCAAGCGCGAGCCCACCAAGAACGTGATCTTCTGCTTCGACAAGCACTCTGGGTGAGTTCATACTCCTTGTAGTATGCGTGATTTCTAAGCTGTGACCGATCATCGCGCATGTGTGCAGGTATGGCGGATACAGCGGGACAGGCTGGGGCCACGGCGTGCGCAACGTTGTGTTCAGGTCGCCGAAACCGAGCGTCGGTCCGGAGACGTGGATTCGGATGGAAGCCGGGGACACGCATGCGCGGATCATTCTGGACAGCTCGTACAATTGATACAGCAAAGCCTCCGTCGTCTGGCATTTGAACGTATGCATGATCTTTCTGTTCTGAAATCAAAAATGTTTGTCCTGCGCACTTGTCGTCATGCGCGTTCCCTGCTGGAATGTTTGGCTTGAGCTTCAGGGTGTTTCTCATATGGGCGTCCTGCAACACGGGAGATGCGCACCGTACGTTGACAGTTTGGCGTCTTGACGTCTTGAGATCTTGACAGCCATGCCTCTCGGCGCGGCCCACGTGTTGGACCGCGAGCATACCCGCCCCTTCGTCTCGCTCCACCTCAGGCTGTATCTCACCTTGCTATTCTACCACGACGATTAGTACGAGTGTCCGGTGAGTCCCAAACGTTTGATCCGCCTAACTCTGTTGCTTTCAATATAGCCGACGTTTGATGACTTATTCCAATCACAGCCTGCCTTTGTCAAAACGACTTCAAGTCATACTTCAGCTGCTTGCTCCTTTGCGGACAAACGTGAGTCATCCTTGCTTGTATCTCAGGCCGTTCAGGGAAGGAAATCGCGTATATACCCACTTACTAGAGTTCACATACTTACAGCCACACGGCTCCCCCCATCTCAATCTCCCCGCAATGCCCGACATTCTCGACTGTCCAGAGATGGCATTCTGGCCGGAATCCATGCACCTCTCAAGCCACAATAACTGGTCCGAGTGGAAACGGAGAATCCGACTCGTATGCGACACGCGCGATCTCCTCGGTCACCTGGACGGCTCGACCCCCATGCCCCAGCACCGGGGCGCGGCGGCTTCCGAACACACCGAGGCCCTAGTGGAGACGTGGAAGCGCAACGACAGATGGCTCCGCTTCTTGCTCGCCTGGAACATGACAAAGCGGGGGAGCGCGGATATCCAGACGGAAGGGCGTCCCGCGGCAGACATCTGGTCCCAGCTGTTGGTGAAATACGATCACGGATACTACTAGGCCACAGATGCGCTGCGGTAGGACTGCGTCGTCGGAGAAAGGTTGTGTTTCTTTGGGCGCGGCGACGGTGAAAATGTCGCGAGATGACAAATGACTTCGGTAAGTCTGTCGCAAACCAGGAGATGAAAATTGGGTCTTGATAGTGTGTGGTCCATGTCGGGCAGCATATGCAGTAACTAAAACCAATGCAATTTTACATCATCGGGTACATACAAATACGACAGAGGTGTGACTTGTCGCGCCGCCAGGCATCGCGAGGTGAAGACTTTCCCCTGACAGCATAAAGAGTCTGTAAGCGCAGCAAAGAGTCAGCGTCATCCGGTACAACGGAGGGCCCAGTACAGCTCACCGGGACGTCGTCCAATCTTGACCACCTGCCGTGGCAAAGCCGGCCATCGCTGTAGGCTGCGTAAACCGCGGTTGTGCTGAAGTGCTGCAGCCCCAGTGCCAAGCGGATATGGCTGTACCCGACGTCCTCTGACGAGTCTACCGCGCAGCGGCGCTGAAGGGCAGCTGAGACGCATCTGAGTAGGCGGTCGAATAGCGCGGCACATGCATGCATTGGTCGTGTTCGCGAGCGCGCTCATGGCTGTACGCAGTCACTGGAGCAGGCTACCTCCAGAGTGGTAAGTTGTGCGAGCGTCTTCGGCGGCGCGAGGAGCATGCACTCTTAGATGCCGTTGTTCTTCACCTTTGGGAATTCGGCAGCTTGAAGCATCCCGAAGATCCCATCGACCTCTTCATGCCCCTTGACCACGTCGCATTGTTGCATCTCGTCGCCGTTGCCATGTTGCGTTTCGGTGCTATTGTCGACGTCGGACTGCTGCACCTCGGCACGGCGGTCGAGAGTGAGGCTCTCGAGATACGGCGCTGAAAAGTACCACAGGAAGTGGTTGAGGGGCGATCGAGTGGGAATCTTCATCCTGTGTGTCGACCGTCATCAGCTTGTGCATCCTGTCGTACATGCTGGGTTCTTGCGTGAGCCAAAGCCGCCAATTCGCGTCTTCGAATGAAAGGCGATTGGCGGGGTTAAACGTGAGGTCCAAGCCCGTCGCCAATCCAGGGCGCCCGAGGAGAATCCACGTGTCCGCAGGGGTATCTCTGTGGTACAAGGATAGCCTCTTCCACAGATTGACATCGCCTAGAGCGATGGAGAGTGCTCGGCCGGGGATCGGCCCCGCGCGGCGCAAGATGAAACAGACGCGAAGAGGAGTCGATGGACCAGGGCTGAGGTCGCCGCGATAGCCAATGCCCTGCGGTCTGCACACACAGAAGATACCCGTTAGGGATGTCTTCTGCGGCGTAGAGCACGAAGACAAGGATCCCTCGGGTAAGTCGTACCATCGGGTACAACAGCGGGCACCTTGGGTAGGACACCACAGTTATTCCCCAGGTGCGCGGAGACGGCGAGCCTGTTGCGGCTCCACTGGTCCGCAGCCTCCACATATCGCCGCTATCTTCGTCGCGTCCTCATCCGTACCGTAGGTCCTGTCCTGGATGTACGTCGAGGGTAGCCGGATGAAGCAGTTGTAGACGACCCTGGGTGTTGTATGCAGTCGGGTACACGCGTTTGCCCGTTGGTGGCGTGCGTTCCGTTGCCCCGAGTGCCCCGGCGATACTGCGTGTCAGCACCACGGGTGCAGGCCTTCGGTTGATTTGAGGCTCCAATGGCTACGTTTGCGCTTCCTTCGTAGCCGCTGTGGCCATGCCCGATGGGCATGGGGACAAATCGGAAGATGGGGGGTTCAGAGGCAACAAGATCAAACAAGGCTGTGTAGCAAGGATAACGCGAAGAGTCAGTGAGGAGAAAAAGACGTGTAGAGTTGTTTTTCTACTAGCCACGGGCTACACACGGGGGCCACCTTGGGAGCAGTATACTGCTGAACATCGACGCACTCGACGTGTTTGACGCGTCGCCGTGAAAACCAGAATGAAAAGTACCTTCATTCAGATCTATGACATGGAGGAAGCAAGTCAGACTATACGTCAAGCGAGTTGGGTCGGAGAGGTCGGTATGGTGTTGCGTACCACTGTAGCAGCGCGATATGCTCTTGATGTCCGTTTTCTCCTGAGCGAATGGAGTACCGATCAGATATAACTTGTCAATGACGGCGGAGGGTGCTGCGAGAACGTGGTGCCGAGGGGCGTTCCAGTTTGGGGCCGGTGCCGGGTGAAAGCTCACATGCAACCTGACCGCTGCTCTTATAGTGAGCGGAACTTGCCTGGTAAAACGGCTTTGGTTTTCGGCGTCATCGAGATCGTTTGACCACCATCTCAAAAGCCTGTTTGGGTCTCATTCAATGAGTATTTTCCTACCGCTCTCCGATCGTAGATTTACTGGCAGAGTAAGGGTCTTGGTGACAGGTCTTGACACCTCCGAAAGTCTCCGAGTAGAGCACCATCATTGACAACTGAAAGCACGGACTGACTCGTGCTTGCAATGTCGATGATGTTCGTCTACCAAGGGCATGTCGTCGTTATTTACAGCTGTAAAGCACATGAATCAAGTCATCGCCAAACGTCACAAACGCTTTTACTAGTCGTACCCGTCCTTCTGGATGTGGGCGTGTTTACTGATTGCACGCGGCGGAGGCGGTAGATGAAAACCAGTCTCGAGCCAAGTACGGGGAAGGAGGAGAGTACTATGGTCTTACGGAGACTTACCAACCTCTGTCACGACGGTGAACCAACGACTCGTTCAATGGTTCACCACAGAGTCTGCAGCGAGACCCCGTACATATGCAGGACCCAGAACCTGGATATTGATGGCGCTCGCGTGTCCTAACGCGCGTGCACTGTCGGGGGTCCTCCCTCACATCATGCTCACACTGACACTGACAGCAGGAGTCTGCGCACCATCTCAAATCTGCTCTTTTGCCTTTCCCTTTAACACTTTCCATCGTCAAGCCTCACAACCATCCTGACAGGTATCTGTGCCTCTGTTACACGTTGGCTGCGCTTCACGATCGGGCTCCTTTCCTCGCCGTATACTCATGTACAACTCCGGGACGCTCACTACTAGTACTCGTCGATGTTCATGTGAGTTTCCCTAAAAAGCGAGATCAACCATATCCTTAATGCGCGGAAACGCATAGGTTGCTAGGTGGTCTTGACAGCTTTCTTGTGTAAGACGGTGCTGTGACATATGCGCAGTTACGCGCATGAACATTTTGCGTCCTCCATTGCCGGCGGCCGCATATGTACGACCCAGCCGGTGTGGTGCGTGTTTTGCAATGAGTGTGTGCTGAGCGACTCGGACTGCGACGGCAATGACAGGCGTACACGCCCGAAATCCTGGACGTCACACGCAGCAAATTCATTTCCATCGTGGACGATCTATGTAGGTCGCCATCCAGGCGCTGATTGTACGTTCACGTATCTAGCGCCTCGCATGCGTGTCGGCCACGGCTGACGTGTAGGGTGATTCGTACCGCAGAAGGACCATCACTCTTTCTGCCCTTGCCAATTCTAGCACCGCGAAAAGCCGCGTCTCGCGAGGCATCCCTCCGCATTTGCATCCTTGTTGACCTGAGGAAGTCGACCACGAAACTGAGGACGCCGACTCGCCATCGGCGAAACGCTCGCGCATGGAAGCGGGCATGGGTATGGGCCCGTTCACGTCGGGTAAGACTTGACGGTGGAGGACCGTCAAGCAAGAAAATTAACTTACATTGTTTGCAATTTTCAGTAGCCTCCTCATACGGTGGCACCTCGCACCTGTGCGCCGGGAAAGATGGGCGTCGGACCTCGGTGTCGTGGGTATTCGTTGTTGCAATCTCCCAGCACTGCACTACACGCTACGCCGCGGAGGTCAGTCGTATGGACATGCTGTTCCTGCATGGCCGAGTTTGAAATGTGGAATAGCTTATTGAACAGATGGAGCTGACGTTGTATCTGGTCGTGCGGTGTTGGTGATGTAACGTCAATCTCCGAGGGACAGTAACGCTACTTATATTGGTTTCAACGCCTACAGATAGAACTGGGGACTATCAAGCTGTGGCGCCACGAGATGCATACACAGACATCTGTCGCTTGCAAGGAGGAGACAGAAAAACTTGTGGGCAGTTCGTATATCTTGTGCCGGTGGCGTCGGTCATTCTAACGCCCATTTTCAGCAACATAAAACCTTGCCAGACGTTTGCGTAGGGCAAGCTCCGCGATTAAGACCCCTGTACGCGTTATCCTCTCTTTTCCGTGATGTTCCTGGCGACCATCCTCACTCTTTCACTTCTGGCAATGACTTCTGGCCGGTCCATCAATCGATCATCCTCATTAGCTCTCCGGCAATTGGTCGATGTACCGTCCGAATTTAACATTCTTCGATCCGGGGGCTCGAATTTGCGGGGCGGCACATTTTCGTCTTTTCCCCAAACTTTTGTGTTCAAACTAGAGCCCCAAAACAAGACCTCCCTGCTTGATTCGTTGATGGCCACTGGCAATCCAAACAGCCCTACCTATGGACATCACTTGTCGAAGTCCCAGGTGCGCTGATTAAAAATTGCGACAAAGGCTACCTTTTGTTGACCTCTAGTGGCCTCGCAGGCCGCACATCTAACTGCTCCTGCTCCGGAAAGCCTGGCTGTAGTCACGGGATGGCTGCAGGATCACGGCCTCACTCCGGATACCGTCTCCAGCTCTGGAGACATGCTCACGGTCCGCATGTCGCTGGAGGAAGCCAACTCGATCCTGAACGCCGACTACTCCGCGTTCGTGCACACGGCCTCAAATACTACATTGTGGAGGACACTCGCTTACTCTGTCCCCGCTCATATTGACGAACATCTATCCTTTGTGTACCCGACCACTCAGTGAGCATTATGCGACAAGGAGGGTTGTCCAATATCCATACTAACTTGATATCAACAGATTCATTTCGCCCCCCGTCGCACCAGCGGCGATGCACATTGCGGGGTTCTCTACCCGATTTCCCTTGAAGAGGACTGGCCAATCCACGAGCTGTGCGGAAGCGATGACGCCCAAGTGCCTTCAAGCCCTCTATAATATCCCTTCCGCGCCAGCTACCTCTGCGGGAAACGGCATTGTAATTGACGGCTCTTCAGCGCGAGTCACAGACCTCGACAATTTAAAGGTGTGATTCTCATTCTTTCGCTACTTCCTCGGCCAGTATCATAACACGTTCGGGCACAGGCATTCCTCGCCCGGGAGCGGCCGGATTTCGTAAACACTCCATTCGCGATGCAGTCGGTCAATGGCGGTGCCGTCCGGGGAAACGGCTCAGACTCAGCGGCAATGGTGCGTATCAGCCATGGGTAACACGAGCGTTCATTAACGGTACCCCCAGGCCGTGGGTGTGCAGTATACGGTCGGGCTGGCAACGAACGTGTCCACGACAGTCATATACCCGGGACTACAGAATGACGCGAGCGGAATTCAAGGCCTCCTCGACGTCACCAACTTCCTTCTTGCTCAAGACATTCCGGCACTTGTGTTTGTAACAAACGTGCAGTACGAAGAGACTGCGTTCCAGCAGGCCCCCGAAATCGCGCAGTAAGCATTAGCTGCTTCACGAAGTCTGTACCGTTTTGACGTCCAGCTAGGTCTCTTTGCGACGCGTTTGCGCAGCTCGGCGCGCGGGGAATATCTGTAATCGCCACGTCTGGGCACTGCGAAGCTTCCGGGTCGCAGTCGTGCAATGGCGATGCTTCCCGCGCCATGTTTCCTGCGACATGCCCCTAGTAAGCGTTATTCAGTTACGAATGACCCAAGTCAGTAGGCTTACGAGTTTATTAGTGTCACATCTGTGGGCAGTACGCAGGGAATCAGCCCCGAGAGCGCAGCGGATTTCTCCTCCGGCGGCTTCTCGGACGTGTTCCTCCGCCCTCCGTACCAAGTCGACGCTGTAGCTGGCTACCTGCAGCGGTCCGGAAGCGCAAACGCAAGTTCGGTCAACACCACCGGTCGTGCCTACCCAGATGTATCTGCGCAGGGGTTCCAATTTGTTGTCGAGGCCGACGATCGACCCCAAATCTTTAACAGTACGAGTGCCTCGAGCGCGACGTTCGCAGCCATCGTCGCTCTTCTCAATGATCGCCTACTCAATGCCGGAAAACCCCCGCTGGGGTTCCTGAACCCGCTCTTGTACTCCAAGGGTCTCCCGGCTCTGAACGACGTCGTTTCCGGTAGCAGTAGTCCGATCTGCGGCGCTCGGGATAGCCTCACCGTGACCCCAGGATGGGATCCGGTACGTCTCGATACTCACTCTAGTACCGTTGAAGCTGATGGAAAGGTATAGGCTACTGGGCTCGGCACTCCGGATTTCCAGAAGTTGCTCGCGATTGTGGTGGGGAGCGACGCGGATGCCGAGCGGTCTGGGATTGTGATGGCTGCTCGCCGGTCCTCCCCAGAGCTGACGACTGACGCTACACGAGGTTCGAGTTTGGAGGGGGTATTCCCGTTCACGACCGCGCCAAAGGACTCCGAGTGACTGTGTGCCACACGGACGTGCGCGTACGTGGGCGCGGGCGGGCTGTTGTTCACCCCGAGCAAGAGGCGGAGGCTGAAGGGGAATGGCCTGAGTATTCTCGGAGATGAGGGCGAGAAGATCGAGGAAGACGCGACCCGGACGTGATCAAGATGGGCACCCCCTTCCGTTCGTCCTTCGTATGTATACATGTTCTTCCGCATATTCTTATCTTGCTCTCGCTCATGGTACGCCATAGCTGCATCATCTGTATGCTCGGTTCCTGTGCTCATAGCCCCTCTGCGTTGTATGTGTGCTGCATTCCTATGATATGCCCTGGCATGAGTGTATGCGGTACGAACCTTGGGGGCAACAGATCGTGCGTACCCTTACTACTGACACCTACCGCAGTAGCAACAATATGCACAGCGTCCGCAAGCTATCTTCCCATGACTCTAGTTCCCGTGTTCTGCGAACTCTTCTACCGCTGCGCTACGGGGATGGTCGTCAAGACATGCTATGCTGTCTACAGCTGAGCCATATTCCGAAGGGTACAGCTTCGGTGGTCGAACCGTGTCACTACGTTGGACGGATGTATGTTCGCATCTGGTCGGGTAGCGCGGACAAGTTGGTAGCCACCCTGCGAGCAGAAATACGCTACTCCTTGGAAGATTGATGTCTTTGAGCCGCACTGAATACTACTGAACAGCCGCATATCAAGATGGATATCCAAGCCACTATCATCTTCGAAGTCCACCTTTGGCAGATGATGAAGAGGGTTTCGCGCAGTATACATCGGTACTTAATCATCCAGCTTGAAAGTACTTAAAGCTCGCCTAAGTGCTTCGATAGAGCAAGCTCTGTGAGCCGAATTTCATCGTCCCATATCCTTTCCTTTCCGCCATGGTATCTGCCGCTTTCTTCATTCTTACCCTCCTGGCAATGGCTTTTGGCAGGTACATCAAGCAGCCACCAAGTCCAAGCTCGTCGGTTTCTCGGCGCGAGGTGTTCCAGCTTCCACCAGGGTTGGATATCCAATTCCATGAGCACAGTGCGAATCAACGTCTTGGCGACGCTATTTTCCGCTTTGCTATCAAGCCTCAGTCGCAGAACCAGACCGCGCTACTTGATTCCTTGATGGCTACAAGTGATCCTCTCAACCCTAAATATGGACAACACTTGTCGAAAGCCCAGGTACGCTAGCGCCTGTTACGTCTCTACGCCTGTGGATTCAGACTCGCTAATTGTCGTGCAGGTAGTACAGCAGGCAGCCCCTGCTCCAGCAATCGTGCAAGCGGTCACTGGATGGCTGCAGGACAACGGACTGGTGCCGGACGCCGTCTCCCCCTCTGGAGACATGCTCACCGTTCCCATGTCACTGGAGAAAGCCAACTCATTGTTGAACGCCAACTACTCCGCGTACGTGCATACGGCCACGAACACAACGGTTTGGAGGACGCTCGCATACTCAATCCCGGCTCACATCGACGAGCACCTGTCCTTCATATATCCGACCACGCAGTGAGTATGAGTAAGAAACGTATCATAATTGTGTAATCTGATTCGATACGAGCAGATTTATCCCTCCCCCGGTTCCCGCGGCGATCACGACACAGGTTGCGGGACAGGCCACCGGGAGTGTATACCAGACCGTTGCGACCTGCGCAGAGGCGATGACTCCTCAGTGTCTGCAGAAGCTCTATAACATCCCTTCCACGCCAGCTACCGCTTCAGGGAATAGCATCGTCATTGGTGGCTCCGCAGGGCAAGCCGCGGACCTCAAGGATTTGAAGGTGTGCCTCGCATGTTTTGCAACCTTCCGCCGTCATAACAGGTTCTGCGGAACAGGCGTTTCTGGCTCAAGAGCGACCGGGCATCGCAAACGCTCCTTTCACAATGCAATTCGTCAATGGCACCACAGTGCAAGGAAACGGTATAAGTTCGGTAGCAATGGTGCGTACCTTGAGCCTGCCGGGCTATGTCCGTCGATTGCTTGAGTGTTCACACTGGAGCTACTAGGCTGTTGGCGTGCAGTATACGGTCGGACTGGCAACGAACGTGTCCACGACAGTCATATATCCCGGACAAGAAGACGACACGGACGGCATTCAGGGCCTCTTCGATATCACAAGTTCCCTGCTCGCACAGGACACTCCACCACATGTGTTCCTTACAAACGTTCAGTACGAAGAGACTGCATTCCAGACGGCCCCGGAGGTCGCGCAGTGAGTACTACGCCGTTCCGGTGTCCCCACTATCTAACACACAACTAGATCTTTGTGCCACGCATTCGCGCAACTCGGGGCGCGCGGAACATCCGTGATCGTTACGTCTGGAGGCAGTGGCAATGATTCCCGTGCGATGTTTCCTGCGACGTGCCCTTAGTAAGTCTTGGTCTGACATGCCATGTTTCGGAGTTCATCGTCGTTCTGCAGCGTTACTTCCGTGGGCAGTACTCAAGGAAGCAATCCCGAGCGCGCAGCAGACTTCTCCGCTGGCGGGTTCTCAAACATGTTCCCTCGCCCTGCATATCAGCTCGATGCCGTGGGTGGCTATCTGAAGCAAGTAGAGAACTCAGACGCAAGCTCGGTCAACACCACCGGTCGCGCATACCCAGACGTATCTGCACAGGGCGCTCAGTTTGTTGTCGAAGTCGGCGGTCAGGCTCAGAGCGTCAACAGCACGACGGCCTCGAGCGCGACGTTTGCGGCCGTCATTGCGCTCCTCAACGATCACCTGCTCAATGCCGGGAAACCGCCGTTGGGGTTCTTGAACCCGTTGTTGTACTCCAAGGGCCTCCCAGCTCTGAACGACATTGTCTCCGGCAGCAGCAGCGAACCGAGCCGCTTTACCGTGAACACCGGATGGGACCCGGTATGTATTGTTAATGACCCAAATGTTCTGCGCGGAAACTAATGTGAAGGTTACCTGAGCCTGCGAAGGTTAATTCTGCGGCCTGAAATTCGCGGGCGCCAAACCTACCGGCAAATGCCGAAACTGCTGAAATATCGAGAATATTCGGGTTCTCCGAGTCTCAACGGTCACGCACCCGATTGTGAGTAGCGCGTAACTAGATCCAAATAAAATTGCGCCCTATATGAGTGGGCAATGGACGGTCAATTTGTTGCTCGGGATATTCTAGAAATTGTGTAGCGCAGCTGTTCGGGTACAAGCGCCCGCACCCGCCGACGCGACGTCGCGCGCCCGCGCCGCTCAGAGTTCACAAATAAGTATACGCAAAAAAGCGGTAGAGGGAACTGCAAGCTCGGATAGCACTCTGAGATTGTAAGTAGCGAAGACAGAAAATATGCGATGCTGAAAACAGGCGTACAATCAGGCTCAGGTCAGTGCCGACATAAGTCGGCACTTCTGGTTAGATCACCGGGCTCGGAACTCCCGATTTCGAGAAGTTGCTCGAGGTCGTAGCTGGGAGCAACTCGAACGCGAAGAGATCTCGAACTGCGGAGACTCCCCGTCGCTCCTTCGCAGCCCCGACAGCTGACGCCATCGGAGGCTCGGGCCTGGAGGGTCTGTTCCCATTCGATTCTTCACAGAAATAGGGCTCCCATTCACGATGATGATGTATCGACGTAGCTTCTTGTATGCCAGTGCACGCTGCGATGGCCTGAATGAACGTGTGCATCAGACGAACCATCGCTCGCACAGCGACAAAGCCATTATCTTTCTTCTTCGACTCGTCTTGGGACTATCTAGAGACTTTGAGAACACTACTCACAGGGATATCCACTCAAGCTGAAGGCTCAAGCGCGAGATGTATACGTGAACTTAACGTTGCACTCGGGGTACAGGACCGCAAAGTGTAGGAATAAATATCAGAGTAGCAGTTGTGGCTAGGGATACATCAACAGTATTGTTACAAAGCGATACATCACGACAGCGGTATAGCATCGTCCGGGTGGTACCGTATAAGATCCAGAGGGAGAGACGTAGCTATACGACAGAGCATATACAAAACAGTGTTCAGCACAACATACTAGCGCCGCGACAGCAAAAGCGAATCAAGCCACGAGCGGAGACGACCTGCGAGAGAGGTATATGAGAGAGTGCGCGTACACGGAGACAAAGAACTCACTTCACAAGGCATTGAATTTCATGCACTTCTTCTGATGTCGTTTCAGCATGTCGTTACGCCCATAGTCGGCTCCGCACGGTCCGCACACGAATCGCCACCCCCAGTGCATCTCCTTAACGTGCCTCGTAATTCCGTCGGCGTATGCGTAAGCTTTCACCCCGCATCCCGACCACGAGCAAGGAAACGTGCCATCGGGGCTAGCGACTGCATGGCTGCTGAGATGGCGTCCATCCGTACGCGGCGAGTGCGTCAGCGCGTGTTTGCAGGTGCCCTGGTTCAGACCGCATACGTCGGGGCTGCCGTCCGGAATTTCGACCGATTGGAGAACCTGCGCCTGCTTTGCCCGTTTGGGCGCCCGGTGGTCCAAGTCGGTGGATGCTGTCTGAGTCGACGGGCCCGCTATGGGCTCCTCCGTTCCGAATATCTGCGACTCCTCGTTTTCCTTGTTCTCTTCTTCTACTTGCTGACGACCCCGCTTCTTGCCGTGCCTAAAGGGAACAGACTCGACATTGGGGTTGTTCTCAGGCTGATCATCGACGCTGGACGGAGACACAGTCGCCAGAAGCGGAGTGGTGGATTCCGTCGTAGTGATTGTGTGGTCGAGCACCCCCATTTGAGCGGTCACGGAAGGAGACGAGGAGGACTCCGAGTTCAGAAGAGTTACAAAAGCCACAGATCGTGCATGTACCTTGGATTACAAAATAATAAGCACCCGATTATATACCACATGGAGTGAGACGTACCTGGCTAGGGCTTAGAATGTACTCATCTAGCTCGTCGTCGTCAAGATCATCCTCGTCCAACGCATCCTCCGGAGTGAGTTGGAGCGTGGCCGACGAGTTCGCCGATAGTACATTGCTCGGTGCCTCGAGAGCGAAAGGCAGCGAGGTGGTCGGCGGAAACGAACCACCGGAACTGGATCCGCTTAGGATCGGTGAAAGACATTCCGAAGGCGAGGGATCCGGGTCTGGCGACGCCGCCATGTACACAAAGGGATCTTCGACATACGGGAGGGGAGATGGAGGTCTCATACCATAATTCTCACTTTCCTCCGCGTATAAACTATCGGCCTCCGTATAACTGTGCTCCTGCTTGACGTCCTCGGCCCGCTCGAAGGATGTACTGGTATTGGCGACGTGTTCTGGCCAGGGGTCCGACAGACGAGCGAAGGCAGCTTCGAGATCCTCAGTACGGAACAGCGGGGGGCTGGACGCGCGGGAGTCCATGATCTACGCCTCGAAGCAGTAGGTTGTAGTAAAGCAGGGAGCGGTTTGGTCGGTCCGTAGGCGCAGATGCGAAGCTGGTGAGCGCAGGGGAGGGGGAGTAAGGTTGAGCGTCTTGGGACGCGCAGAAAGAGGTCGACCACACTCACCGCTCGCAAACAATGCCAAATTGCGCGTGCGCGGAGTTGGTGAACATCGACGCACACGACGCGTTTGACGCGTGACCGCGTTCTTCCTTTGTCGAAGGCCATTGTGTCTTGCATAGCCACGGAAGTCATGAGCCACTTTCGTCGCAAATTCGGCTCGGACGTGCGCACCTTGTTAGGCCCTTGAAGCTAAGCTGTTCGGCACGTTAAGTCCTGAGTCGCTGTACAGAATCGTTCCCGATGCGCGGTGAGGGATCTGGTCGCGCGCGATACAGTATCCCTCCGTTCCTGCTCTTATATAGCAGGGCGAATCTCACACACTGCTAAGACCTTTAGTAGACGAGCTATGAAGAAGCGTTATTATATGCTTCTGCGGCACAAACTAGGACGCCGAGAAGATGGGAAAGGCGCAAGACGTGTGTTACGCACTATCGGGCTATTTTCAACAATGATCCGCACTGGAGCGCAAAGAAATGATACAGTGCATCCCGCCCACTGACCTCCCCTTCGATAGCGACAGTGTTTCCAATGCGAATCCAGCCAAAGATCGTTTCTGAACGAGCGGTTTCACGCAGAGCCGGAGGCCGAAGAACGCCCACAGGGCTCAGCTTGGTGTCATCGCCCGACCGTATGTCGGTCAGGCGACGACACTCATGCTTCTGCTGTTCATGCCGCTGTGTGTCTCTACTAGGAAGGGGACTACATCGTTTAGCTGGGCCGCGCGGCAACCAGCCGGCGAGTTTGTGCCTCTACAGAAGTATTTACCGCTTTCATCGAGGCTACGAGAACTCTTAAACTTGGTTCGGGCGTAGAGATAGGCTTACTAGATGCGCTTTCGCAGGCGAACCTTTGCTCTGCCAATCACTACGTGTTGCGCATTGACGAAATAAACGTTGATGCATCGGCATGAAGAGCGCGCTCTATGGCGCTCTAGGCTGACTCCTGGCACTGTTGTGCTGGTATGAGAGACACAGTACCTGTATAATAGTTAGATGCATCTAGATCTCATGAGTGCGAAGTTATCACCATCGTACATATTCTCTGCCCGAAGTCGGGCGAGTCCATTCGGTGACGTGGCATATTCGGGGGTAGCCAAAGATAAATCCTTTATGAGGCTTCAAAGATTCATGAAAAGGCAGACACACTGAGGTCAGCCTGAGCTGCCACAGAGACACATAATCACGACGAGTAAGAACCTTTGATTTTTGCATGTCAACGTTTTCCTGGTGGACCAACCATAACACATGGCAATCCGGCGGTAGGTCCCCTGACAGTCCTGAGAAATGCGCCTCACGTAATCATAGTGCCGGGGGTCCTGCGAGTCGGCCGCAGGCGTCTGCGCCTGGCACACTGACTCGAGCTCTTTCGTCCTTTTTCCTACTCCTTTCTTCCCCAAGGCCTCAAGAATACCCCTAACGGCTTCTATGACTGTACTAAGGCTGTTCAATGGCTGCGCTTTGACGTTTGAGCTCTGATCCGAGTACCACAACTACATAATAATCCCTACTGGCCTGCCTTCACTGCGATCACGACTGAAAATCTGGCGTACATATCTTTCACGAAGGGTGAGAGTGATTTAATTTGGGGACTAATGCATCAATCAGACAGATTTCCACAGTGCATGCAACTCTACGTGGATTCGCAGTATGCTTATTTGCCGTAAATCTTCAGCCCCCGCGTTGAGTGACGCCATGCTCTCGCGGCGAACACAAGTGCGTGCTGAGCTACTCGGGCTGGGACGACAACGATGTGTACGCTCGAGAGCCTTGTAAGTTCCTCTCCATCGTGCATGAGGGCGGCGCCAGATGCAGTATGCAACAATCCAGGTCGCGACCAGGGCGCTCTTGTACGTCCATTTCGTTTGCTTATCGTGCACGCGTGGAGTGTCTGACGTCTACGACGTGCGTGAATATTATGCCGTGGACGCTCATCCACACCTATCCTAACAGACTTTTTGCTTCTCGTTCCTCGAAAAGCCGCGCTTTGCGACGCATCCCCGCGCCCATACGCCCCGACCAGGGGGAAGAAGTACGCGCGTTAGATAACGAGACCGAGAACGTCACCGTCGACGCGCCGTCGGCGAAACGTTCGTGCACGGAAGTGGGGTGTGAGCGAAATGTCGTCCACTCCAGTAAGAACTCGCGGTACGGAGGAGCTCCAAGTCAGTAGCCCGAGTGCCCATTCTGACGGTCTTATCAAGACGTTAGTGTGCGGCATACCGCCGGAAGACCCGCGCTCCTCGGTAAAATTATGGTAATGGAGAACGGAACTAGACCTGCGCACGGCATTTTTCAGGCGATGTGAGCTACCAGATAAATACTTGGGCCAAAGCGCGAGTCTCATACGCGATTCCAAAATTGCATTCCGGCGTCACGATCTTATAAAGCATATATATCATAGTAAGTGGCTGGGGACGTATAATCGCGGTTGTTACAAAGCAATACAACAGCTGCGGCATACCAGTGTTCGAGACGTACATAAGAAGTTCCAGGAGAGACGTTTGTGGCGACACTACAAGGTGCATATAAAACAGTGTTCACAACACGGCATAACACGACAAAAAGGGAATATCAAACAGGCGAGACATAGCATCTGCGAAAGAAGCATACGAGAAACTTGAAGGACGGGCTATGCCTGGAAGACGAGGAACTGATTTCAGCACGTATTCGTAAATACCCTGTTCACACAGCAAGCGTCGGGGACATCTTCCGGGACTTCAAGGGACCGTAGAATTCAAGCTCGCTTCGCTCTCTTGCGCGCTGGGTATCTCGCAGGCGCGGTCGATGAACCGGCTGCTGGCTCCTCCGCGCGGAGTCGCTGCGCCCTCTCGTTCTCCTTGTCCTCCTCCGCTACTTGTCGACGGGTTCGCTTCTTTCCGCGCTTGGAGGGAATGAGGAGTTTACGGAGGAGTGCCCTTCCTCTGGTGAATGCAGAAAGAAGGGCGGGCGGGTCTGGCTCAGCGAGAGTCGCAGCTCGTGCGGCCACCTTCTATCATATGTCAAGCACGCGAATGTATACAATACTGGGGGACATACCTCGCCAGGTTGCAAAAGGTACTCGTCCACTTCATCCTCGTCCAGCGCATCTTCTGGGGTAGCTGGACTGGTGACTGAGGGGTCCTCCGACGCATTGGTTGGCAATGCAATGTCGGGAGGCGACGACTGAGTTGTCGAAAGCGAATGATCGGGGCTGGACGGGCTCGGGAGCGGCGACGTAAACCCCAAAGGCGAGGCATCTGGTTCGGGGGACGCGGCCATGAACAAGAAGGGGTCGTGTACATATGGGAGGGGGGACGGTGGTTTTGTACCATTCACAGTCTCGCCGACATAGAACCAGGGTCGCTGATCGGAGACGGTCTGCGAAGGTAGAGGACGATTGATTGAATTCCACTTACCTGCTCCCAGTTGATCAAGTGATCCTGCAGAAACATACGCTGATGTCTGATGTACTCGGACAACTCAGAAGAAGTCATGGTAGCTGCTGCGTACTGGGGCGGACGTCGTAGCATACGGACGTGCATGGCCTCTAGATCCTCAGATCGGAATAGCGGAGGGCTGGGTGTATCGAAGTCCATGATTGATGTCTCTGAACGGCGACCGTCGTGAGCTGCTCCCGTCACATAAGTCGAAGTGGATATACGCACCTTGCTTGATAATACGAGCAGAGCTGTCGGCCATGTTCAGTAGCAGGTAGGCGGAATTGCGATGAGTACAGGCACGATAGAGTACCTTGTGGTTGGCGGGTGCGTGGTGCGTGGTGTCAGCCTGCGGTCGGTCTTATGTAGTATGTTAAAACAATATGTTTGACGCCTTCGGGTTACAAGGTCTGACGATCGTACAATGAGAAGGCTCTATTCCCCCCACCATAGCATAAACATCTCGGAGGTCACCGAAGTAACAGAGATAGCGCAAGTCGGAGTTGTGTCTTACCGGTTTGACCACTGCGATCATGTATCGACGCCCTGCACTTTAGCACAGAGTAACGATGCATTGCATTTCGACGGCCAATCCTCAATCATAGTAGCAAGCCCCTTCTGCTCAGCAGCGATTGTGACTCGGTGCAAACCCAGCCAGAGGTCGTTGCCGAAAAAGACTCGCGCGGAGTTTGCCAAAAGGAAAACGTCTACATCCAGCGTTAGAGATCGAAGAACGCGTATAGGGCTCAGCTGAGTAGAATCGCACAACCGACAAACAGCCGGCGATCATACTCAGGTCCGAGGTGCGGCAGCCAGCCAATGAACCTTGCCCAGGTTCCAAAGAAGTACTACAGCCCTCATCGAATCATAAACACGATGTTTCTTAGACTCTTTGTAAGTGCAGAGGTTGGGCCACGAGATGGACATTCGCCGGCGAACTCGGCATGCCAATCGCTGTGTGTTGCGCCCCGAGTCTTGATGGTTAAGATACCGATGCATACGCAGGACGAGCGCGCTCTTCAGTGCTCTGGGCTATACCCTGACATTGGCGTGCTTGTATGCGAGATAAAGTGCCTGTATAGAGTAGTTAGATGTGGCATGTAATAAAATAGACCGCTGCATCATGGTGAAGCCTACTCGAAGCGAACTAATCTGATTTCCATTCGACGACAGGACGCTTTGAGGAGATAACAAAGAGAGCATCGTTTTCTGGGACTAGAGTTCGCACGCCACAGGGGAATACTATGAAGGCGGCCTGAGTTGCCATAGATTCTCATAGCGAGCCTGGTCATATACGAGGAAGAGATTGTCGCATTTTCAAGCTCTCCCTCGCTCTCTTGGCCGCTCTACCACGACGGCATCAGGAAGGTCCCCTGACAGTTGCCACTGTCAGGGGTCCCAACCTTTGCACACGAACACCCCCGGCGCTCTTACTCGCAGCTTCGCACTCACTGTCGAATTTTTAGTATCAGCCTCCGTTGCGCCTCCCCGAAACATCTCGCGTCTCTGCTAGCCTTGGCCCGCAGGTCTCTGAGTCATACCGTACCTATGTTCGACGTCCTCTCAATGCAAAATTCCCTGCAACCTCAAGATATACTAATGTTCGGTAAGTCGCCGATACACGTATGTCTTCGCACGACTTGATGTACAGGACCCCTAGAGCGGCCTTAGAGTATGGGGCTGCGGCCACAATATGAATAGAGTTATTTTGGAAAATGATGAGTGAGTCGTTTTGCTGTCCTCGCTGGGCCCGGCACTATGGGCTTGCGATAGGAACGCGTATCACTTGTTCGATCCAAAGGGCATACTTACGTTGTGACCCTCATTGCGCCTTACCGCTATGGCAACCCGCTGTCGACGACAATTGGGGACTGGAGAGCATGAACATCACCGTGCGTGGTAAAGTTCCGTCCATAGTCGACGAGGGCCGCAAGCATGCTACGATGGCCAGGTTTCCATTGGGACGTTATCGTACGTTCACGTTCTCTGTACCGTACTCGTGAACACACGAGTTGCTACCATCATGTGAAATGGATGCAGATTGAAACATCATCTCACAGACATCCTGTTCTCGCTGCTCTGGCGCCTCACGACACTTCCCCCTGCACTTCCATTCGCATCGACGGGGGGAAATTACGCCGCGCCGGGCGACGAGGTCGCAGACCTCGACACCCCTTCGGCTCGGAGGCGCTTGAGCACGGAAGTTCGGACTTCTCCAGCCAGAAGCGCCGGCCGCAGGACAGGTTGATAATGCTTGCCAAGGAGAATCGCATTTCGATGCAATGAAGATGCACTATGAGTGCCCGTCCGTGCCGCCCTCTTTCCTTCTGCGTACGTGTGTTCTGTCGCGTATTCCACTGCTAACCATGATGCGTCGTGCGCAGGACGCCATATCTGCATCTCCGTCACGTATGCTCAAGGCCCGTGCTCACTCTGTACTAAAGCACTTCTTGTGATATGATAAGTCGGCGTGGCACAAGTTTGAAAGGGTGCGACAGATCGCGCGCGCAGGCAACGATCAATAGCAGGTCGCCTTGTTCAAGTTGTTGTTAGCGCCTTTGGCAGGAACCACCCTGTGAGTGCTTCGAACGATGGTGATTTTGAGCGGTCTCTCACAAAATGCCACCACATGCGCCGGCGGAGGTAGTCCCGATATGCTGTTCAAGGCCGAACAATGATTCGACCGGCTTCGAAGGGATGAACTTGTCGAGCTATCTGATCTTATTAGATATGTGATCATTCAGCGTTCAGCGCTGGCAGCTTCCCGTCCACCGCTACCTAGGGAAAGATTCACTGCTTACCACGAGCTCAGCGTCTTCGTACCGCGCGGGATGCTGCTGAACATTGACATATCACCTTAATCAAGATGGGTATCCAACCTGCCTCCAAGGACCTCCATCAAGGTTAGTAGATGGTCACGGCCATCTTGCGTAATACATGTTGGTATGTGAGACCCACTTGCAGACATATAAGGCCTGTCTGACTGCGTTTTCCGGGCCAGCTCTGCGAGCCAGATCCCCTCAACCAATATTCTCTCTTTGCCGCTATGTGGTCACCTACTATCTTCATCTCATCATTCTTAGCAATGGCCTCGGGCAGGTACATCGACCGGCCACCGATGTCAAGTTCATCGGTTTCTCCACGGCAGCTAATGCGCGTTAAGGTGTCGACTCCAGATTTCCATTTTTTCTCTCACAGCTCGAATCAAGGTGTCAGTGGATTCCCCGCTATATTCAAGTTTTTTATCAAGCCACAGTCGCAAAACGATACCGCGTTATTGGATTCATTGACGGCTACCAACGATCCTCTCAACCCTGCCTATGGAAAGCACTTGTCCAAATCCGAGGTTCGTCAACCGCTATTATATTTTAACCTGCTTTGGATGATCCACAGCCGAACATCGCACAGGCTACACAGCTCGTAGCACCTGCGCCAGAGAGCATGGAAGCGATCATAGGATGGCTGCAGGACCACGGCCTAACACCTGATGCCATCTCCCATTCCGGAGACGTGGCGACGGTTCGTATGCCGCTGGAGAAAGCCAACACGGTTTTGAACGCCAGCTACTCGCCCTACGTGCACGAAGCGACGAACACCACGGTGTGGAGGACACTCACCTACTCGGTCCCCGCACATGTTGAAGAGCACTTGTCCTTCGTCTACCCGACCACTCAGTAGGTATCTGGACACCGCTTATAAACGCAGTGCTGATCGTATACGAGCAGATTCATTCCTCCCCCCATTTCCCCAGCGGTAGCGCACATCACCGGGGCGTTGTCCATGGAGCTTGCCTCAAAGAGGGCACCGGACCAGCTCGCGAACTGTGCGGAAGCGATGACGCCCCGATGTCTTCAAACCCTCTACAACATTCCTGCCATCCCAGCTACCGCTCTGAGGAACAGTATCGCAATCGGTGACTCTGCAGCACAAGTCGCAGAGGTCCATGATTTGAAGGTGCGCCTCACGTATTTCCTTATTTTCGAACGCTACTATAACACGTCCTTGCTCAGGCATTTATAGCTCGGGAACGACCAGACATCACAAGCGTTCCATTCGCGATGCTGTCAGTCAACGGCACTGCGGTTCAAGGAAACGGCACAGGCTCGGCAGGAATGGTACGTACGAGCTTGGGTTGTGGCATCGACTGCTTGAGCGTTCACACTTGCAATATCATGCCGTCGGTGTACAGTACACGGTCGGGCTAGCCACGAATGTGTCCACGACAGCGTTATACCCCGGACGACAGAACGAAACAGACGGAATACAAGGCCTTATCGATATCATCGACTTCCTCCTTTACCAAGAGATCCCGCCGACTGTCTTCTTAACGAATGTTCAGTACGAGGAGGCTGCATTCCAGACAGCTCCGGAGGTCGCGCAGTAAGTGCCGTCTGAATAATTCGCCTTAAACGTGTCTGACATCCACCTAGATACATTTGTAACGCTTTTGCACAGCTCGGCGCGCGTGGAACATCCGTAATCGTGGCTTCCGGAGACAGTAATGTTTCCAGAAACACGTCGGACGCTTCAGGAAACGACGACGCTCCCCGCGCTATGTTTCCTGCAACATGCCCCTAGTGAGTCTGCATATCCCATAGATCATTCCACGCCCGGAGCCTCACGATTCTCTACAGCGTCACATCGGTGGGCAGTACTCAAGGAATAAACCCCGAGAGCGCCGCCCAGTTCTCCTCCGGCGGGTTCTCGAATCTATTCCCTCGACCTGCCTACCAAGTCGACGCCTTGGACGGCTATTTGAAGCAGCTCGGAAACTCAAGTGCACGTTCGATCAACACCACCGGTCGCGCATACCCGGATGCGTCCGCGCAGGGCGTCCAGTACTCTGTGTTGGTCGACGGCGAAGTTCAAAGCATCAACAGCACGAGTGCCTCGAGTGCAACCTTCGCGGCCATCGTTGCGCTTCTCAACGATCGCCTTCTGAATGCCGGAAAGAGCCCTCTGGGATTCTTGAACCCACTCTTGTACTCCAAGGGCCTCCCTGCTTTGACCGACATCGTTTCCGGAGGCAGCAGCACGAGCGACGGGGAGAGTAGCTTCGCTGCGATGCCAGGATGGGACCCGGTATGCCGCCACTGCTCGTGCGGCTACTACTCCGTGAAAAGACTAATGAGATGCTGTAGGTGACCGGGCTTGGTACCCCTGATTTCCAGAAATTGCTGGCGGTCGTCACTGGGAGCGACGCGGATTCCGATAGCTCCGAGACTGGGTCAGCTACTGGCCAGTCCTCTCCACAACCGACGGCTGATGCCATACGAGGTTCGGGATTGGAGGGCCTTTTCCCATTCACTATCTCCCGAGAGCAGGATCGATAGTCGGTTTAGGGGAGCGAAGGATCCGGGAAATGGCTTGTACAGTAACAATGGTATTTCGGGAGCGAGAGAGCCTGAGAGCAAGTACGCGGACGGAAGTGGTCCAAACGCGAGCGCAATGGCAGGGATTCTCTGTAACGACTTGCGCCGATGGTAGTTGAGAGGAATCCCAGAGAGCTGTTCGTATGAGGCAAACATGTTGGGGGCGACTCCGAGTCCTGCAACTCCACATGCATGCACAAACCACCGCCTGATACAAACTGAACCCTAGTATAAACGAGCCAGTTAAACCGGGGTACAACGCTTGCAGGAATTATGAGCCTTACGCGTGTTCACACTGTCGCGAGCTTCAAGACGCGACGGTTGTTACTCAGGCGGGAGAGGTGTTCAGGTCGATTAGTATTGGCATGAAGTATATTTAGTACTAGCAAGGAGCCATACAGGACGATTGTAACTATAGTAGCAAAGACGACAGCGGCAAAGACGAGACAAGTAAAGCGATAAAGCAGGATAGCGGCGCGCGACAGCGAAGAGTACAGTGTGTGCAATGGGGGAATACATGACGATTGCATAGCCATCTGTTAAGGCTTTCGTCGACGAGTCAGGACCGGTGTACACGGGCACTGCCAGTTACCACGAAGGCTCACCTTACTACTTCTTGGTCCGCTTCACAGAGGCTTTCGTCCGTTTCGCGGAGACCTTTGGCTTCGGCTTCGGCGTCTTCGGCTTCGGTGCTGGTTTCTTCTTATGAACACTGTCTATATGCCGCTTCACCTCGTCTTCCCGCGCGAAAGTCTTGCTACAGCCTGGCCAGGAGCAAGGCGCCGGCACACCCCAGTGCTCGGACATGATGTGGCGGTTGAGGCCACATTTCTGCTGATATCTCGACGCGCCGCCCGTCGGAGACCCGGTGCACCCGGGGTAGGTGCATGCAAAAGGACAATCGGCCTTGCGTCCCTTGTGAACCTTCGCGAGGTGGCCCCAGTCCTTCTTATGGTTCCACGTGAGCTTGTATTCGCAGGTGTCGCCCAATCGGCACTTCTGACTCGACGCCTTGGTAGAAGACCCTGCTTGGGGCGGTACTGGCTGGGATTTGGGCGTCGTTTGCTCAACAGAAGCTTTGGACCGCTTGCAAGGGCGAGAAGGTTTGGTGGAAGACGAGCCGGAGGAAGGCTGAGGCCCACGGCATGGTCTCGCGGAAACGTTCTCCTTCTCATCCTCCTCGCTCTCCGGGTCGTACTTCCTCTTCTGCGACAACCGCGTCGAGCGTCGGACGCGGGCAGGGCTTGAAGCGCTTGGCAGTACCACGGACTCGGCGGGCGGAGGAAGAAGAGGCAGCTGGGGGGCCTGCAGTCATGACAAGTCAGCGGCGAAGACGCAGGAATGTCTAGACTGAACGCACTGCGTCGCGCACTGTCTGAGCCCTGGTACTACTGCCGTAATCATCCACCCCGTCATGGTCCTCTTCAGCGTCCAAAGGGTCGTAGGGTGTGTAGGAACTTGAAGCCTTGGAGGGTAGCTTCACGTCCAAGGGTACATATCCACTTGCCGAACGTGGAAGGCTTGGGGACGACGGTTTTACGGCTGGAGGTGACTCAAAATCAAGTAGTGGAATGTTGACGGGAGTAGAAGGCCGGGGGTGGAGTTGGGGTGGATTGTCTACGCGCTCTAAGATGTGGCTCTCCAGATCCGTCTGGTTGGGGACGGTCAAGCTACAGGGGAGCAGCGTGGTGTAGAGCAACTCACTGGACACCATAATATATCTCCGAAAACGGGAGCATCAGCCTCGTAGACATTTTTGACGGGCGCAAGTGGTCGTGTTGAGCGCGGGGAGGGCGGTCGAGCGAGGAGTCGGTCGAAGTGATCCAGATATGCCTGGATGGACGATGAGTTGAAAGCCATGTTGAACGCGGGTAGGTGGATAGCAGGATGTACGCGGGGAGAGAGGCGAGAGGAGTGGGGTATAAAACGCTGGAGTTGGGCGGAATTAAACAGAGACGAAACGGACGCGCGCGCAGGAGTTTTAACGAGCCACAATAGCGTGCAAATAGGGACAAAGCTCTAGCGCGCACGCGCTGTTGACCGTCGACGCACTGGACGCGTTTTCCGCGTGACCGCGACAATGCTATTGTGGTGTCGAGCCCCGACTGACATAAGCGCGAGGGTCAGCAATTCGCCCGGGGTTCGAATTCACGAGATGCACTCACTTGCGGCGCCACTCCGCGTTTGCTGGTGGTCTCCATTGTCGATCGAAAATCGGAGTTGGAGTGCTATCCGCCAGGCCACCGGAGTCGACGTAACTGGATGAGCGCAGCGGTCTACGCTGTCCTCGGCAGGCTTCTCGTTGTCGAGTCTCGAACTCCACGTCGTTTGCCACAGGTTAGACAAGTCGACCGCGCACCTTGCGACGGCGTCGGTATGAGGCTCTTGATGAAAATAATGTCAATCTTTTCAATGGCCCAACGTCCGCCCCGCACCTATATAATGCATGGGGAGACGACGAAGCCCATTGACTGCGCGAGGGCTACAGCGTGCCTGACGTACGACGCGCACGGATCGACTGAAGCGGGCAGAGTCTCAGAAAAACGGACCTTGAGCATGGCGCGTAACTGCGGGTCAAAGCATACGATTGCATCGATCATTGTGAGCACAAGTTCGGCATGTAGGACTTCATAAAAAATTGAAACGACGCCGCGCCAAAGCCGCTGAAACACGAAGAGCATACCAAAGTTACTGAGCGCGTACTTTGAGAACAAAACACCATTCAGTGCTATGTCCTCAAAGTGCGAGCACTGTGAAGATGTCTCGTCGCCATAAACATCATTGTTCTGCCATGTGGCCAACGAGGGCACTCATCCTTCAACAGTATCATGGCAATAAACGTCTGCCGTCTCTCTTAGGGCATTCAAGAGGGATTGATGGGTTTTGCAAGCATCTAAATCGTTCTCAAATGCAACGAGCGTTGGACATTAATCCTGAGGCCTGCGGAAAGCAGTCAGATACGTGTCAAAGGTCAAAGGGCCGATCGAAATTTATACGTGCAAATGCAACTTCGCTTACCAATGTCTTCTCTCTTTCAGCGGTTCGAGGAGATGCGCTCGACAAGAGATCGATAAACAGCAATATGGAATCCGAGCTGAGTGGTATGAGGAAACGACCGCCTCAACAAACTTCCACGCATTTCTGCCAACAACGGCGCCGACAGCTTCGAAGCCCCCGGACAGTCGGTGGACAGGCGTTGCCAGGGGTCCTGCCCGCCAGTACCTTTCCCTTCCGTACCTCCATGATCCTATACCGTTCCTACTCTCAGAGCCACCGAGGTTCCTCGATTTCCCATTCGGCACACAACGAATCTCAGACAAATTCCTATTTGCGAGAAAACGCACCGGGCTTTGCGCTTGCGCCTGGCGTATCGTTCGCTCCGCTGGCAGGCTGAGGTATGGGTCCGCGCGACGTTTTAGACAGTCCTCGTCGATGCGCTACGGTAGTCCACGCCTCTATCAAGTTTTTGCTGCAAGACTATGCACACGCGCATCCGAGTCAGTGAAGCTCGATATATTTGCCGCTTCGCGCCAGCCACCTCTTTGCTTGGGTATGTTTGGTTCCGTTTGGATGTGCTCCAGATTTGCGCAGGGCGCTTGCACAACCCGACCGCTCCCGCACCTACTACGCAGATGCACGCGGTCTGGGCTCCAGAATGCCTCTGGACAGAGCGAGCATTGTCTCGACTTCACATGCCATCCGCGCAAGCCGCGCATGAGCCTGCTTTATAAGGTGCTCGGCCTGTGTCCACGCAGGCCAGCTGACAGCAATAACGCATCCCAGTCCCGCCCTACCCTTCGCAGAACCTTCCTCTTCGACGCTAGCATGGATCTCGTCCAGTTCTTCGACGACTCTCTGTTCAGCTTCAGCAATCCTCTCTCCGAGTTCGATCGTCTCTTCGATCACGCCTTCCCTGGACGCGCCGCGGCTGCGCCCCATCACCAAGTCCAGCAGGCGAACAACACGTCTCATGTTTTACGTCCATCGTAAGCAATATTGATTCATTACCATATGTATCGTCGTTTTTTGACCATTTCGTCCAGACCAGAGGCGCATGAACACAAGGAGAAGAACGGGGTTAGTCCCGCGGGTGCCAAGGTATGATCCCGTTTGTTGCTAGAGCGCTACGCCCGAAGGATTGACGCGCCCTGCAGCCCGAAGGGACGCCGGCAACGGGTCATGGTGATCTGAACGCCGCATACTTGAGGAAACCCTCGGAACAGCAGTCAAGAAAAGTCGCTGTCTCTTGAAAACATTAAACCTTGCCTTAATCGCTTTCCATCGCTTTACCACCATCGTTGTTGTCGCCACCACCGCTTTCCCGCACTGTACTACCACACTCAAGCACCTGTAGACATAGCATAATATCTTCTCACCGCTCAAAGCCATTTAGCATTCTTCGTCTCGCTATGGAAGTTTAGTTCCACGAAGCCTGCGCCCGGGCGTATCGTGGAGTTCGAGGCACACTAGCGCTCGCAGGAGCATCTCTGCCTCATACCACCACCGCGCGTCATCAGTGTCATCTCAGAACGTCCGCCAGACGGCCTAACCCACTGAAGTATGCACTCAACAATGACTATTATGCAACTACACTCCATCTTACAACTAACGCGGCCACCTGCTACTCGTAGATATGTCGAACACTCACAACCCTTCTCGCGACGAGATGACCACCTCCAAACATCCCGAAATCGACTCTCCTGGTGAGCAATCTCGCCGTTAACGTTCATCCCCTCCGGTCCTCCTGAGTGCAAAGTCTGATGCGGTCACAGGCTATACGAACGAAGGCCGACGGGACGCAACCAGCGATGTTCCTGCGAAAGACGTCGGTACAGAGGGCAGCGCTCCCCGCTCTGATCCTGCCGCGTCCGGGAAGGTAGTTTACGCAGAGTCCAGCTACGGCGCAGGGTCATCTGGAGGAGGAGACTGGTTGGAGGAGGGGATGGACAGCTGAACGGTGAAATTAGGAGCGTGTTAAGCCTCGAAAAGTTGTAGGATAGTTTCAAGATGTAGCAATATGCCTCAATGGAGTGGTGCAAGAACCCGTCGTGGACGATGGCCAATGGGCTCTGACATCATGATCGCATCCTTTAGATCACCAATGACGGCGAACGGTATGTCAGAGGTGGCGAGCTTCAAAGCTCTAGCCTTGCCTAGCCTGAAAGAAGAGGCATCTCGCAGAGACAGCCACTCAAAAACATAGGTTCGATGGATGATTGACATTGCAAGCGGTCTAGGTAAGCGTGAGTGCGGCAGCAGAAAACACAAGGAGATACACGTGATAGGACAACATGAAAAAATAGCAGTAAGAGTACGCCGTAGCCACGACGTCGACGTCGTAGCACGCCGCGTCGGCACCTGCGCATCAAACACGGAGATGTATGTAGCAGTATCAGTATAAGCAGTAGGCGGGCGAGCGGGACAGGGGAGAGGGGAGGACGGGGCGCGCAGTGCCGACGCAGAGTCGCAGACGTACGTAGCGGGCAGTCGTTCAGTCCATGAACCCGGGCAGCGTACACGGGAAGCGTATATGGGGGTCATGGGCATGGGGGCGAACGGTAACAGTTCGTGCACGGCGGGAACGTGCGGCGCTGCAGTAGGGCGCGCCGCACGGGGGTAAGGAGCGAGCCGCACGCCGTGCGGTGCGGGGAGGCAAAGGAGGGTGGGGGAGCAGTCCATGCGGCGGGGCGAGTACTATGTAGGGAGATATGCGGGCTGTCATCGTCCGGGAGGTATCGTAATGGTATATGGACAGGCGAATAGGAAATGTGCTGGTCCTGACACGGAGAACGCGCGTTCAGTACGAGAAGATCATCAACCACGGGTTGAGCACGATCTGGAGACAATTGGAGGTCAGCTTGAGGACACGTTGTGAAACGCTGCAGAAGACGTACCGGGAAGAGGATATGGCACCCTACGACGACGGCGAGCGGGAAGATGACGGCCCAAGCCGAACCGTCTATGCGCCACTCGAAGGGCACAAGCGACGTGCTCAGGATGACCATGCCCGCGACAACGATCCAGGACACGAGCCACATGAACCAGAACCGCTTGAAGATCTTCGGTACTTCCTTGAAGAAGTTCGAGCGCTCGACTTCCTTCTTCGTCGCGCCCCAGGTGATGTTGTACGAGAAGAGATGCGCGAGGATCGCTTGCGATACCGGAATGGACAGCCCGCCGAAGAAGAAGAAGCTGCGTACATGCGACGTCAGTTTAGCTACCCCGTCACCGGAACGCGGAGCGGAGATACGCACAAGAAGGGGACCCAGAGGATGTTCTGGAAGAACGCGGTGAACTGCAAGGTTGTGCCTGTTAGACTATGATCCGGGACCAGGCGTCAGAGCATTACGCACCAATGACTTCTCGCCAAGACGGTACTCGAGGAGCGTGAAGCCGACGTTGCCGGACCCGATGAACACGATCGTCGTCGACAGCCAAATCTCGAAACTGTGCATGTAGTAGCCATCCACGGGGAACTGGAAGCCGAGCAAGATGTAGTTGACAATACTGATCGTAATAGCCGCGGCGATACCGTCTATGGGCGCTAAAGTCAGCGAAGGCAACATACGGCGAACGGGGCACAGCACTCACAATACGAGAACATGTACGACATCATCGAGAACTTGTAGTGCAGGGGCGCGTTCGACCACAGGAAGCGGTGGATCTGGTGCGCGATGGGGCCCTTGCGCCACCACTGGATGATCGGGTTGAAGAGCAGCTCGTTACATCCTGAAAGAATATCCCCGTCAATGTCAGCGTCCATCCCCCTCCGCTCGAATGTGCACAGGACACTCACCATAGGCGTACTTCTGCCAGCGGTTAAGCTCATCGTCGACGGTAAGGGAGACACCCTCCTTGAAGCCGCCCAGAGAGTAGGTAGCCCAACGAATGATGTACCCACGCATCTGCAACCGGAGCGCCATATCGAAGTCCTCAGACACGTTCGATTCAGACCAGATCTTCTCGTGCCCATCAGCAGGGTCGATGAACGCCGCGTCCTGCAGCGCGCGCCAGCGGAGGAACGCATTGTGCCCGACGAACGGCGCGACCTCGCCGTTCGCGCACGCGAACGAGATGCACCTGTTGATACGCCGGGTGAAGTACGCGATGCCGTTCTCGAAGTAGTGGTGCGCGACCTGCATGACGTCAGACTCGTGCTGGATGATCGCCACCGTCGGGCACTCCGCCATCTCGCGCGCCGCGTCCCGCAGGCAGTCCTCGGGCACGATGGTGTCGGAGTCCACGATGAGCACGATCTCGCCGATACGGCACGCACGCCCGTTCGCGGCCCATGGCCGGAACCGCCGCCCGCTCGCCTCGTAGACCTCGTCGATGGCCAGCTGGAGTGCGCGCTCCTCGAGGTCGTCCCACTCATCCTGCGACCCAACGTCGCTGCCCGGAGGGTTTACGCGTTCACCGAAGCCGGGGTTGAGCTCGCCTTGGTCCGAGCCATCGTGGTTGCGGTACTGCATGCCGTACCGCATCTCCTCATTCACAGCGCCAATTCCGGGGAGGCTGCGCGTAGCGACGGATCCAGCCTGGGAGTGGCGCGTCTTCTCGCGGACGAGGAGCGCGTCGAGGTGCCGTTCTGCCTTGAGCGAGAGAGCAAGACCGTAGTTCATGTTGGAGGCCTTCTTGAAGCGACCTGCACGCTTGAAGCCGTCGTTCGAGTCGTCGTGCTTCGGGCGCGCGACCCAGCCGATACCGTGGTTCGCGTAGAACATGATGCGCGCGTCACGCTCCTCGACGGGAAGGAGTCGGAGACCATCATCGTTAACGAAGATCGTGGAGGTACCACCCTGGCGGGCGTACGTCTGCATGGCCTTCTTGAGCGACTCGATCGAAGGCGCCCTGGGAGTGGATTAGCGCCTACGCCCTGAACAGGATTGACGCGCGACTTACAAGACACTGTCTAGGCTCTCCTTGTAAACCGGCATCTGGATGGTGACGTGAGGCAGGTTGTTGTCGACGACCTTGTTCGCGCGAGGCTTGACCGCGGAGTAGTACTTAGAGTTCTCGTGGAACTGGGCAATAGGACCGATGCACATAGAGACGTTCTGGATGATCTGCAGGGAAAAGAACTGCACGGGACAAGATGAGCCGACTGTCCGCCACCCAGTGGCCAAGACGACGTACCAGAGACACGCAGAAGAACAACGGGATGACCGAACAAAGCGCGAAGCGGATGTAGTTGCCGTCGAGCTCGACCTCCTGGAGCAGGATGTTGACACCGTTGCCGATGAAGACTGCGCGCGAAACCTTCATCAGCAGAAGTCTTCCCGATTTGAGCATATTGACTCACAGATACTCAGACCGGCAGCCAGGCCGTTGTAAATCGGGGCGAGGAGCATGGGTCGTCTTGGCTCAGGTCCAGCCTCGACGTCAGCATACGTGTCTACAGTGCTCGCAGCCTCCGACACAACGACGGTCTTCTTCCCGCCATACCATGTGCGCTTCGTCTTCGTCGTCGGCCCGACCTGCCCTTCCCTCACGTCTGTATCCTTCTCCTCGCCAAGCGCGAGATCCTCCGCACTCATACCGAGGACACCGCCGGAGCCAATAAAGACCCCACGCGGCGTGCCTGGCACAGGCGTCCCGAGTCCGGACGCGCCGGTGGCATTGGGAAGCACGGAGTTGCGCCGGAGTTGCGACTGCGACAGACGCGTGTTGATGTGCTGTAGCGAGTGGCCAGAGACGGAGCCTGACAAGACCCGGGGCGAACAGGGTCAGCGCACATTCCAAACCACGCAAGGAGACCAAGAGGAAGCCGGAAACGGAAAGTGCCAGCCGGGAGGAGCAGCCGGAATGGAAGGGGATTTACGCAGGGCAGAAGCTAGTGCGGGTGCACAAGCATTTCTCTCAAGCAAGCATCGCAGCGATGAGCGCGGTTACGACAACGGCAGGCTTCGCAGCGATCCCCGAGAGCAATGGACGCTAGTCGGAGTGCTGGGTCAACGCCTCGCCGCCGATAGCGCGGGTCTTCTACCCGCGGCGCGCCGCCGCTTGCAACACAGACGCGGCAATCGCGCTCCCCGAAAACACGCATACGATAAGGAGGAAGACGCTCACCTGATACGCTGGCAGGATGACTGTTCGTGCTGGTCGGGTGCGATCCAGGGAACGCGCCTGGTCGTGAACGCCAAAGCAGCTTGATGAGACGCTCCTCGAAATCGTGGCATGTCGGGATGATGTTGTCGATGGAGTCTGACCAGACCACCAACACCCGCTCGTCACGCTGAAGGCATGTTCGTCAGCAACCAATCCCGCTAATTCGAACCTAGGAACGCCGCCGAAGAGAAGCACGCACGCCCTGAGCGGCTGGCAGACTGTGGGCGCCGCCAGCGCCCCGAAGCATGATTATGCACAGCAAGGGCAGGAGCCTACGCTGAGGTTGCTCGACACCGCCGTCTATGCCAGCTTCGTCGACAATCATGCGTCGGTGTCGATTTGACGCCCACTCGCGCCTCGATCACAGTGATCGCGTGAAAACGTGCCTGGGTATACCCTTGTTGCCGAAAGAAGACCCCTCGATCGCTCTCGCCGCCACCACAAAACATCGTCGTCTGCGGCGCTCTGAGCGGGGCGAGAGCGTTGCTGCGGAACCGCAGGCGCGAGGACGAGTGGGGCGGGTAAACCCAGACAAGAAAATTGGGTCCACCCCCTCGGAAGACGGCGACCGCAACGCGGCGGCGGGTGTTTCAACCCTCCCGTGATACTACAGCAGTCGCCACAATGCAGTGCAGGCGCGCAAATAATGTTGGGATGAAGATGAAGAACAGGACGTTGTTCATGAGAAAGGTGGCGTCTCGGCGCGACGAGGCGCACTCAGGTAGTGCGGATAGGGCAAGGCGCAGCTGATAGATGAAGAAGCAGACTACTCACGATGAACGCCGCGCTCTGCTCCTTATCGGCGGTCGGCAGGTCGACCATAGTGTCCAGGATTTGGATGCGCGTGTTGGCATCAATGTAGATGGACCTGTCGTCCGGTCCTCTGTAACACGGTAAGTACTCGCCGCACGTCCAAATCCACAGGGTTTGACGTACACTTCCGAGAACGCGGCGTGCACGGCCGCACTGCGCACCTTGATGGCGACGGCGGGGTTGAGAACGCGGATGGCGGCCTCGAAGGGCTCGAGGCCGAGGTTCTCGTAGGGGAAGACGCGGTACTCGCCATTGTCGACGCGGAGAGCGACACCGACTGCGATGTTGTCCTCGTTGGGGCGGAACCACGCGTCGCCCTGGGTCTGCTTGAATATGTGGTGGAGGAAGGCGTCGTAGCGGTCGTAATCCATCGTGCCGTCGTGTCTTGGGGGCGGAGAGGACTACGGAGCGAGTACGGCCTTGGAACGCGGTCGCTCAGAGGGAGCGGGCGAGGGAGAGGACTATTTTAGCAGGAGGGGGAGGGGCGGAGCGGGGAGGGGAGGGTGGTGGTAAAGAGGCAAAGGACCGACGCGGAGCAGAGGAGGAGGGCGGAGTGCGTGGATGCGCATGGCGATTGCACTTCTTCAGCAATTCTCAATCCAGAACGCGCGCGGGCGCTGCTTCACACGAAAATCCAGCGACCCCGGCGCACTCGCCGGCATGGCCTCCGCTTCCAGCCAATTATTGCCCGGCTTCCTTATCGCCTCTTCAGATCAATCCCCGGCGCTTCCCCCTCCGCCGCTTTCGATCATTTCCCTTGTCCTCCGGACTTTCTCTTCGGTCCCGCGCCTCCCCTCGTCCCCGGTCTCTGTCCTCCGCGCCCGGGCAGAGCAGCCACCATCGCCGCTCCCGACTCGCCCTCTCGCCCATCTGGCCCCCGCCCTGCGCCAGGCGTTGGCAGGACACACACAGGACAGCAGCCCGGGTACGCGCACCGTCATAGATCATAGCTGCGTCATAGGCACACGCGACTTCTATTTCGGGAGATTGATGCTCCATATATTCACTACTACGCCCAGGACCCCGGAAAAGCCCTGACACCCCCATACCGCGCGTCCAGCACACACAGTGGCTGTTGATCTCGCTGACGACGTCATAAAACTCTCACGCCCCATATGGGAGCGGCATATCTCTCCTCCGTGCGCCCCTGCTGGGCATAAAAATCACCGTCGCCATCACCGTCGTTCTGACAGTCGGCGGGCAATTGCAGTCGGCATGGGGCGGCATTTGCCATTAACTAGTAACTGCCGGGGAGCCCGGAGGGATCGAGCAACACTGGTAGGAAAATGTACTAAGCGGGATCCAACGATATAAACACTTTCAAGCCAGCTCTTGATTTATAAGGCTCGTCTTGCGAGGTTCATCTATCTGCTGCAGCTGAGAAACCTCTCCGAGAACTACGAGACTCGATCTCGAGTACTTCGACGGCTGTACCTTTCAATCGCAAGGCTGCACGGGCGCTACTAGACCTCCGCTAATAGATGCGCTGTGAGTTGAAGCAATATGTTCAGGAACGCACCGTTTGTTCGTAATCGCATACAACGGAAGCTATACGCTACGAGGAATGCAGTGAAACATTATGTTAGCCCGCTATATCTGCCTCGTCATGTTGTGTGCATTCGTTCTCTTTCAACACAACTAGACGTCTGTGCCCGTGCTCCGTACGGGCTCCCCTCGTCTGAATGATACAGATAGGTGAAGTGGAACGTTCCCGTACGAAGGTATACTTGCAATTCGTCGAAGTGAGCGCTGTAACTCCCTGGTCAGAGTAAAACTATATGTGAGTTTTCCTGTAACAGGTAAGTTACCCGTGGAGAATGACCCCCTTGTAGAGTGCGTGCGAAACGCGAGCCCGCCCGCGAGACCGTCCGTACCTCCTGCACGACCTGCGGCTACCGGTAACAGCAACGCCCGGCCTACTGTCGGACGCAAGCTCTCCCGCAGCTGTAAGACGTTCTCGTGAGGCGTAACTCACCCGTAAACCATTAGAGAAACTTTTCAGCGTATAAATATCCGTCGTAGGAGTTCAAGCCGGGCTGCTGCAGGTACGAAGAGCTAGATGGAATGCCAGTGGTAACGTTCCTCCAGACGCCCACATTCGCGGGCTGGGAATGTTACATAAGCGTATCCAGATAAGATCTAGATTGCGTCCCACATTTTGCCTCCTCGACGATGACTGCGTAAAGGGAGGGCGAGTTTTTTGTTCTCAGTTGTCTCTACCCAACGGTAAGACTCCCGTAGGTAAGGTCGTAAGACGAAAAAACACGGTAAGCTCTCACAATAACGCGCATCAAATATGTGTCACGACCTTAATTCATATACAGAATGCTGCTAGACATTGGGCGCCTACACAGCTGGCGGTGTATCTAGCGGCCTCGCGCAGTAGCCAGATTATGCTATTTCTGCAGACAGGCAGGGCTGGGTAGTTTTTGCCCGAAACACTACTCATGTAACAAAGTCCGAGAGGAGTCGGGAGGCAGCGAGGAGGCGGGAGGCAGCCTGGAGGTCCGTGCACTCGACCGCGGAGGGCTCTGATGCGCGTGCCGAACCCGCTGTAAGGCCACGCGGTATCTGGAATGTTGTCGCGCCGACATGACAGATTGCCCAGCGGCCGCGGTGCGGCCTGCACAACGCGCGCGCGAAGGCTGCGTCCATGGACCGGAACGAGGCTGCGAGGACGGCACAACCTCCCCTCTTCGGCATTTCTTGCCCGCACGACATTGCGCAGCGACTGCTCAATGGGGTGGTGCGGCAATACCATGCCGAAGGTTCACGCGCCGCTGCACAACGCCCCGACGCCTCTCTTCACTGTCCGCGGGCAGCCCCGACGGAATATCCGGCGGGGAATGGTGAAAAAACACGGCGCAAATTGAAACACGTTCACGCGCGTTGGACGACGCTGCACTGACGTTGGGTGACCCGGGCAACGGGTGGAGCGGGCCAGGCCTGAGATCGCCACCGAGTGATTTGCTTCGGAGAAGAAGACGGACCCCGTACACCGCGTTCGCGTAAGATCGAGGAGCGCTGAACGCAAACCGGCCGTCTGGCGGCTTATCTGCTCAAGCTCAGGACGTCCGGGCTTGCAAAATCGAAGACTGGCCTTATCCTCCTCGTGCTCCCCTTCCCTTCACCTCCGCACACACAAAACACGGCTCCCACCCCGAGTCGAGTGTCCCTCCCCTTCCTCCTCCCGACCACGACGACTGCCGCTCTTTCTCCGTCGTCCGTCCTCCCCGCTTAATAGGTGCAGCATACAGGGAGCACCAGGCAAGTACTTCGCCAATCATGTACCGCAGGAAGGACTCCAACGGGCGCACCGCGTACTCGTCCGCCGACGCGTATCGCGCCCTGCACTCTCCTCCTTCCGCCAACTCCCACTCGAACTCGGGACACAACGATTCGAGCGAGGACGAGACGAACCTACACTCCCCCGTCCCGACTGTCACGCCCATCGCCGCCGCGTTCACTCGCCGCCGCTCCTCCGATGCTTCAGGCAGTGCAGCCCCGTTGTCGCCGCCCAAGCCGTTCTTCCTGGGCAATGAGCGCAATTCTTGGAGCTCGGAGAACAACTCGGTAAACGATCAGAGTGATTCTGACAGCCCCCCCGCTCCGGCGTCTTCTGGTATTGCTGGCGTTGGCGCAGGCGCAGCATCGCGCCCCTCCAACACGCGTGGTGCATCCTCGCGTTCGCGCACTTCCACCTCCCAGACGCAGCCGGTGTCTCCCTCAAACCCGCGCATTCGCGCGCGCAACCATCGCCGCCGCTCCTCGGTGGCGAACGAATACGCGCCCGAGGCCGAGACTGAGGATGTGACAGCTGCAGTACCAAGACGTTCATCTGTGACCTCTGCTTCTTCGCCGGTCGCACAGGCCAACCCGTTCGATACCCCAACGAGCTCGGTTTACGGGATGCCCGCGGGTGCAGCGCCACCGGCCGTGGCAGGCGCTCGCGCGCCGCCTTCAGCCTTCCCGTTCCTGTCGCACCCCGGCAACCCTGACCCAGGAACCCCCATTCCTGGTGTGGGACGTCGCACTTCGCTGGACAGCATTCGTGCACGCGAGGCTGCACAGGCCGCTCAGGCAGGGCTTCCTCGCTCGCCCGGCTACGGCACGACTTACCCTGTCGGCGCCGGCGCAGCTGGATACGGGCTGATCTCGCCTGGACAGGCGGAGTACGAGGGCGATCTCGGCCGTCCTTACGCGCCATTCATGGAGCACGGTGTTCCTTCCCGTGAGGGGAGCTCGACGCCACCAAGCCCGATGGCCAGCCAGAATAACTTGTACAGGAACAGCGCGGCAGCAGCCATGGCTGGCAGCAGCTCAGCCCTGAACCAGAACTTCGGTAAGTTGCGGTTCCGTCTTCTCCTTCCGAGCGCGGCTGTTTACATTCGATTGCAGCTCAGGACGGCGGGATCCCCCGCACCAACTCGAGTCCGGCGATCAACATGCGGGCACCATTCTTGTCGCCTGCGTCGCGGCCGTCATCGTCTCTCTGGGCGCCGCCGTCGTATCCTTACCCCTACCCACCCACAGGCACGAACGCGTCGTTCACCGCACTTCCCCGCAAGGCGAAGCCCCTCATGCCGTCTTCGCGTCTCCCGGAGAAGCTCACCGCCGAAGAAAAGCCGTGGCTGAAGCAGCGCGACTGCCGCGACCGCGCGTCGTGGTGGCTCACGTTTTTCGCGATGTTTATCGGCATCGGTGGCGCTGCGGTGTTGTGCTTCTTCGGGTACACCAGCGTGCATCTCCTCAAGGACTCGGACATTTGCATTGTCATGGACGAGAACTTCGACGACCTTGACCTGACGACCAGGTGGCAGCGCGACGTCGAGCTCGGCGGGTTCGGCAACGGCGAGTTCCAGATGACCACGGACTCGAGCGACAACCTCTACGTTCAAGATGGCCAGCTGTACATCATGCCCACGTTCACCTCGGACAAGATCGGCCGAGATGCGATCTTGGACGGCGGTAGCGTTGACCTCGGAGACGCGTGCACGACCAGCAATACGGTATGTGTCCATAGTGACTTACGACACGAACACGCTGCTAACATGTTCACACAGACTGCTTGCTCCGTCAAGTCCGACAAGAGCCAGAAGAATGCGATTCAACCCGTGCAGTCCGCGCGGATCAGCACGATGAATTCTACGTCGATCGCGTACGGCAAGATTGAAGTCCGCGCGAAGATTCCTCGCGGCGACTGGCTCTGGCCCGCGATCTGGATGCTTCCCAAGGACAACAAGTATGGCGCGTGGCCCATGAGCGGCGAGATCGACGTGAGTGTTTCGATTGACACCATTATATCGTGGACAGATTATGCTAACGCCGCTGCCGCCAGCTCATGGAAGCACGTGGGAACGCCGCGTCGTATGCTGCGCAGGGCGTGAACTACATCCGCGCATCGCTCAACTATGGTGTGCTGCAAACCGTCCAAACCCACATCTTTGGGTGGTGGTCGCAGAAGCAGAGCTCGTTCGACAAGGACTTCCACGTGTACTCGATGGAGTGGACGCCGGATTGGATGCGCTTCTACGTCGACTCGCGCCTGCAGGCGATGATGAACCTCAAGATCACCGGCAAAGGCGGCAAGGACTTCTTCAAGCGCGGAAACTACCCCGCGACGGCCACGAACGGCTCCGCCGTCGCCGTCGTCGTCGAGGACATCTGGGCGCAGGCGGGCGGTAGCGCTGCGGCTCCATTTGACCAGGGTGCGTACCTGACCTCCCGCGCTCCGCTCGTACAGGCGCGGTGTGGCGTTTACTTCTAAGTGGCGCGTTCTGATTTGTATTTGAACAGAGTTCTACCTCATCATTGACCTCGCGGTCGGTGGCACGAGCGGCTGGTTCCCCGACAACGTCGGCGGTAAGATGTGGTTCGACGGCTCGCGCGATGCGATGTGGGACTTTGCCAGCGCGCAGGACACCTGGGCGGCCACCTGGCCCGATGATGCCAACGACCGGGCGTTCCGGATGTGAGTCATCTTACTCTATAGCTGGTGCAGTGTTACAAGGGGGCTTGTTGCTAATTACGTGCTCCTACAGCGACTATGTCCGGATGTACAGCTTGGGCGGTTGCTCATAATCATGACCGGTAGCCCCGCGCTACAGTCTCCGTTCTCCGTTCTCCGTTCTCCGCCAGACGGTCGACCGGCCGTAGAGACCTGCCGGTTCGCACACGGCCCCCTGACGACGAAAACCTCGATCCGTCACGGACTAACTGACACGGACAAAGATATTGTTGTTGTTCAGACACTCGCATTCCAGACGTATACGCAAACACGACTTGCTGCTAGATCTCTCTTCATCCCATCCCCATCGACTGTACGATCACCCGCGCCCGTCGCGGCACCCCGCTCTTCGCGTCTGCTACATCTAGCGTGCTTGTCCTTTTAGTGTGCTGCTGCCCCTGTTCCCACCCGCTTTCAGCTGTATGTTTATGCCGCGTTCTATTTTTGCTTGCCTCCCCGCCCTGCTGCCGTCTTCTTTACGTTCTGGTAATGCACGCCCCGCGCACGGTTCGCGCGTCCGCTCTTTCATTTCGCACTCACGCTACACGCACCCTTTGCGCCCTTCCTGCATCTTCTCCTATAAGTAGCTAGTTACGCCCTTACCCACGCCGCCCCCCATACACTTGCCTGCACGCCCTGCATATACCACGCCCTACTAGCAGAATTTATAGCACCCACCCCAAGTGCCTCCTATCTCCTGCGGACAGATGTTGTTGATTTACCTAGTGCCATAGCGACAATAGACCGACTCTAGACCTACCCAACTAGTTCCGTTCCAACGTTGCGCGTGGGCGTGGGCGTGGGCGCGGGGCACAGCACGACCTCATATCCGCGTCACCTCTAATCGCGGCGGGTACCTATCAGGCCTGGCCCGGGCGTGCGAAGCGTGGAGAGGGTTTGATGGGGCGAAATGAACCTGGACGGCGACGGCGCCATCTGGATTCTGGACGAGCGCGGCGGCGAATGGCAGAACTGTCGGAAGGAATTGGGGAGGACCTGGGGAACGCCGGGAGGGGTGCGGCCGGGGCGACGGAGGCCCGCCGGCGGGCTAACTTGAGGAGGTCACCCTTCAGGGAGTCGTAGTCTGATATTGCTGCTCTGATCGTGACTGCCACCCCTTGGAACATGCAGCTGAACAGGGCCAGGGACGTGCGGAGGACAGCGTGAAGGCTAATCTCCGTGTGCTGAGTAGTGGTGCGCCGTACTTCGGGACGTTCGACATCGGTGACACTGACAAGACAAGGCCGCACGCGACATGCACGTTGTTTGTGTGCACGACCTCCCGCTGGTGGCCGTCTGTTCTACTTCTGACGGCGTGTGGAGTTCTGGGAAGATGCGGGGAAGGCAGCTCCACCGATGCTTATTCCCCCACGTCGTGGGCACACCACGGCGCGTGCGGAGACGGCGAGGCCTGTCGATTAGACGTCCGGCACCAGCGTATACGCACGGCGCGCCCAGGAGGGCGCCGCCCCAAAGGGTGTGGTTTGTATTGCGGGCGACACGACCATTGTCATGCGGCCTCCCGCGGTGACATCATCCCAGTACGTATGTACCGTACCACATCCCGGCGCCGAAAGACCTGCCAAAAATGTCACCGCAGACACGCGCATCTCGGCAGGCATGGCATAGGCGGAGGCACGTCCGAGTCGTGTCCTCCGGTGGCGACGGCGCGAACGGCGCGACGGGGAGAACTTCGGCTATGGGAGACGGGGCTTCTGCAATATTGCCAGAGGCCAGGAATTCGGCTCCGAGGGCGTGCGCTCTCACGGGTGCGCAACGTGCAGGGGATCTGTGGGAGGAGCTGGGGTGAGAACATATCGTTCTGGGAGGAGCTGGGGTGAGAACATATCGTTCGCTAAGGGAATCGCGAACTGCACATGCAAAGGGACCTTAGAAATGGACCGGCGGCGGAGGATATACGATTCGCGGTGGCGGCCGTTTCATGCTTGGGTGTGGTATCGCACGCCGCGGAACGCCACTTGCACATCATCCGCGTGAGCAGAAGATGTAAACGCGTCCGAATTCAAGAGTGCTCCGAACAGTGTCATGCCTCCAGTGCACCACGGTGACGGCGAGAAGAACAAGCCAAGTGGCTCTGCGGGAAGACCCCGCGTCGAAATTGACGCACCTTCTAGCGCCCCATATGTCTAGACCCTGCACGATGGCGCAGGTGCAGCCTCGTCATGATATCCATCGTAACGTCGCAGCCCTGCTGGGCAGATGTCAACTCTCCGCTATGTCCGGGTAACGAAATGGCCTCACCTCAGTCCATACGATGACGATGAAGATAATATTTGTGCACGGTCGTCGGTGTACGCAATCAGCTCACGGTCCGTGCGCGTGAGCACCGGAGGACTTACCTAGACAAGTGCGCCCGCGTCCGCAGGAGCGCTTCGCGAGATATCAGAAACCTGCCATTTTGAGTGTGCGCCCGGCCGGCTGCTCCAACATGTGCATACTGAACGCCCGGCACCCAGCGAGCACTGCTCGGCAGGACCCCGGGGGCAGGTGAGTGGGTGGGAGTGTGGGTTGCTGTTACGTCCTCCGGAGGCATGGCAGGGCTCGATTTCGTGAATCGTGAGGGAAAGCTCGGTGATATCGGTGAAAGCCTGGTCCGGAGGGTGATGGTGGGCAGCGGGCACGACGAAATTGCTCGGACTGCGACCGGGGCGGGACTTTGAGCCGTGCGCCATGCGAGTGCAACAAGAACAGATTGAAGGCAGTGTCTCCCATTGATATTGAATCTGAATAGGGTACTACGATGATAGTAGAGGTCCGGTAGCACACGGGCCCGCGGAGCGTGTTGTCCTGCGGCGAGCGGTAGCGAGTAGGGAGGGCCCTCCGCCGGGAGCCGTGCTATACTCGCCGGCTGATGGTGCCTACGGATACCGCAGGCTGCCGGCCGGGGTCTTTATACAAGACTAGTAATTTACTCACCTTCTATACGCAGCCCGTTCCGCGCCCCGCGGGGACGTAAGATAAGCCCCCCCCCCCCGGAATTCTCGACGCTTGCGCGAGATTCGCCAGAGCCTGGGATTTGAGGCTGAAAAAGGAGGAGAGCGCGAACCTTCACGGTGGCACACGCCAGTGGATATTAGGTTGTGCCAGCGGTGGTCCACCACGCCTCATTGTGTCGAGGGGTTCTTCGTGAGTGGAGATGCAGCGCGCTTCCCTGGATCGGACGACGTGCGACTCGGATAATTGTGCTGTGAAGGACACCGGCAGATCGTACTGCAACAACTGCCATGCGAGGCAGGGGGCATGCAGGACAAGCTCTCTTCGCGGGCGCGCCGCCGCCGCGTCCCTGTCAACGACGCTTTAGACGAAGCCGTTGCCTCCCACAGCGGTCCTCAAGGACCTCCGGCACCCGTGAAGCGCGGGCATGGATAACAACGACCGTCGACGCGGATGCCATAGCCCGAGGCTGGTCGGCCACGGAGGCCCCGCCCTCCATACGCCGCGGTTATTTCTGTGAGGAGTACTTATTAGTACAGGTGTCGAAACATGGCAACCGCAGCCGAACTTACGTTGGGTTGTACTTCGACGCGAGATGGCGGCGATTGCGAGCGCGCCGCCGTCCGTTCTATGTTCGCAGATTAATTGCGACTCGGTGCCCCTGGATCGTGATTTGTACGCGTAGTTCTTCGTGGCCGATTACGAGACCCGGCCGTCGACGAGAGCTTCTGCTGGGGCTGCAGATGTTGTGGAATTGTGACGGGCGTTAGGCGGGCCAGCGCCCCGGAATGTGCCTGCGAGGCTTGCAGGTTATATATAATATGACCATGCTTGCTGTCGGATGTGAAAGGGGGAATATTTGGGACATTGTGAACGATGCGAGGGCCTGAGAGGGCTTGTAGGAAAATCTATAAATATAGAACGCCGTATTTCGCTCCAGTACGACGCCTAGCTTGGACCAAGGTGCCGGAAGTTCGAACACTGTCGTAGAGTGTCACCTTCTGCTATTGATAAGGACGCCAACTTTCCGTGTAGCGGAATCGCACCGATCTGAGATGTTTCGAGGTCATGCATCAACGTAGATAGCGGAGATGTATACAGGACTTCGCGTTTCAAACCGCTATTATCACTTGAGGTCGTCGATGTGAAGGAGCCCTTGATTCGCCACCAGCCACGAGATGTTGAGCAAGGTTAAAGCTAGTCGATGTGCGAGTGCCTGCGCGCGCGATGCAGCGAGCTTGGTGCAACACAACGTTAACTATGTCCATCATGATCAATACACATAGGCCCGCAGTGGGTCAAGAAACGGGTCCATACTCTGGTAGGTGGTCTTCCGTCATGTAAGTCCAGAGGTTTTGGTCGAAACCGTGGATGCTGATGTGTTAGGATGACCTGGGATTCTCACGATATTCATCAGTCGTCCGGCACATCGCACGAAAGTTGCACTACGTAGAGTTGAGTGAATTGGCTCATCACCTCTACTCTCGCCGTCTACGAGAGGATGCGTATTCTTGAGTGCGCGGCCACGCATGTGCCCCCGCTATCTCCTTGTATGCTTTCTCTGGCAACGCCGTTCTTGTTGAAAGTCGGGGAGGAGTCCAGCGATGCCTCGCTGTGCGCCGGTCTTGGTGAGCAAAATTTGATCTTGATCAGGAGCTCAATCTGCCTAACCCTGTGAGTTCCGAGGGATCCTGGATTCGCTGCAACGTGGATACGACACGGTCGTGCAGTGCAACACGAAGGTTTGAGGGAGAAAACGACGAAGTACGTAGCGCCCGACCACGCGCCTTGTGACGGTCTGGACGCGTCGGGTCACGAGACGCGTCACTCCGCAAGCGGGGCGGAGAGTGTCACGCATGCGCTTGCATCTCGCAGCGGCGTCGACTGTGGCGACTGCAACCGCTCTCCTCCCCTCCTGCTCCCCCTCTGGCTTCCTTCTCTCCCGCTCGTCTACTGCCGTGCGCCCACAAAATCAGCTGCTAGATTCTCAGTCGTCCAGCATATAATGAGCGGGAGGGCTGTGCACGCAAAGGCCATTCTCGGCCAGGAACTCTATGGTCGGCTGTCCCATACCAAGGTCCTCCTGGTGGGTGCAGGAGGTATTGGTTGCGAACTTCGTGCGTAATTTTTGTGAAATATGAAGCCTAAAGCACTTACCTTGCTTTGTGATTGTATGCGCTTCTCCAAATTCGCGTTTTCGGGGACACATAGTCAAGAACATCGTCCTCACTGGCTTTGGCGACATTACACTACTCGACCTCGACACTATAGACCTCTCTAATCTAAACCGCCAATTCCTCTTCAGAAAGAAGGACGTGAAGCAGAGCAAAGCCATGGTACGCACTCTAGCGCAGCTCCACGCCTGCTTCTCCGCCACAAATAGACGTTCATGTTACCACGTATCTCCGCTCCAGGTGGCATCCAAGACGGCATCTGCTTTCAACCCAAATGTCAAGATCACGCCGATACATGCCAATATCAAGGAACCTCAGTTCGACGTTGCCTGGTTCCGTGGCTTTGACATAGTGCTGAATGCGCTAGATAACCTTGGTAAGTCTCCTTTCCTCCGTCCTCAGCTACGCTCGTCGGCTTGGGGCTGTTCTACTGCTGGAGACGAGCTGGGTGTACTGTTCGACGCGTCCTGTTGGCTCTGCTGGATGTGTGGGTGCGTCTGGGATACGCAAATGCTCTACTCCTGCTGCTATCTCTGTCGCTGTCTTACTCTCTTTCGCACCCACCCTCCAAGTTGTCGCAACCACGACCATAGCAAAACGGTCAACCTGTCAGAGGACGCCGACACCGCCTCAACCTCTTGGCACAGCGTGCGTCCGGTACCCTCGGAGCGCTGAACCCTCTTTCTGGCGATGACCTTGCTCTGTTCACGAAGCGCATACATGGACTAGGGTGGAGATTACGTGCAATAACGGTACTAACCCATCGTCTCCCTAATAGATGCACGACGACACGTCAATAAGATGTGCATGGCGGCCAACGTGCCGCTTGTCGAGTCCGGTACCGCTGGCTACCTCGGTCAAGTACAGCCCATCCTCAAAGTCCGTTTCCCATCCCCCATGTTCTTAGTCCTTACTGCTCAGACTGACATCATTTGACATCGATAGGATAGGGCTGAATGCTTCGACTGCATCCCAAAGCCAACGCCGAAGACCTTTCCTGTGTGCACGATCCGCTCAACGCCGTCGCAACCAATACACTGCATCGTGTGGGCGAAGAGCTACCTCATACCGTAAGTAAGGCACATGCGTGCGGTGCCGTTACATCCTCAGTAGGTTCATGTTTTTGTGCGGACAGTCAATTATTCGGCGAGGACGAAGATGCGGATCAGGGCAGTGAGCTGGATGAGGCTGAGAAACAGGGCGAGAACTGTAAGGAATCCTGGTATGGCGTCTGTACAGCCCTATTCTGACGTGTTTTTGTTTTCTAGCCGCGGAGATTGCGACGCTACGCAAGGAGGCGCAAGCCTTCAAGTCCGTCCGTGCAGCCCTCCGCTCTACGTCTGCGGACGCATCGTCGTCCTCCAGCGCGGCCAAGCAGGCCTTCGACAAGGTCCGTGAACGCCTCACGTTTCGTTTGGCCTCCTGACGCCTTACCTTCTATGGACGCCCATATAGGTCTTCCATTCGGACGTCTTGAATCTGCTGTCGATGGGGGACATGTGGCGGTCGCGCGCACCACCCACCCCGCTCGACTTCGACGCGATCCGTGCAGGCACGTTCGTCCTCACGCGGAACACGCAAAACGGTGCTTCCGCGCCGCAAACGAACGGCACGACCGGCAGCTCTGCAACGGAGAAGCAGCTGAACGGCAGCAGCACATCCGTGTCTGCGGAAACTAACGGTGCCAAGTTGAAGGATCAGCGCGCACTAACGCTGCAGGATAACCTGGAGCTCTTCGTCGCGAGGTCCGTACTTCAGCTTGAGCGAGGCGGAATGAGGCAAGGCTTATAGACTATTGTGGCAGTGCTGAACGTCTCGCCGCGCGGTTGCGTGCTGGCGAGGAGACGATCTCGTTCGACAAGGACGACGAAGATACACTCGACTTCGTCACCGCCGCCGCCAACCTGCGTTCCGCCGCATACGACATCCCCGGCAAGAGCCGCTGGGAAGTCAAAGGTCTGCACTTTCGCCTTCGTCTACCCTCCCCACCTTAATTGCTGACCCCTGCGCGCAGAGATGGCCGGCAACATCATCCCCGCTATCGCGACAACGAACGCGATCATCGCGGGGCTCATTGTGCTGCAGGCGCTACACCTCCTGCGGCGGTCATACTCCGCGCTACGCAACGTACACGTACAGTTCAAGCCTAGTATGCCCCTCAGCGCAATCACGATGTGCGCGCCGAATCCCATATGTGGCGTGTGCCGCGACACGTACACGGAGGTGCGCTGCGACCCCGCGCGCGTCACTCTGCGCCAGGTCGTCGACGGGGTCCTTGGGCGTGGGGCTGGCAGTGGGGCCAGTGCGAATGGGGGCGCGAATGGGAGCGAGGGCGAGGACGGGAGCGGGGCGGATGGGGAGGGCGAGCGGGACGGGCCGGCGGAGGTGAGCGTGTATGAGGACAAGCGCGTGTTGAGTGACCCGGACTGGGACGAGAACGACGGGCGCACGCTGGAGAGTTTGAGCGTCACGCGCGGGAAGTTCTTGTCTATTGTCGACGAGGACGGCGAGTATGCGACGATCCAGGTGGCCATTGGCGCGCTTCCGTGCGTATCTTTCCCCCCTCTCTATCTCGCACACGGCTAACGCAGGGGACGTGTACAGACCAAACCACCCCGCTGACGGACCCGCGCTCATCCTGCCCTCACCACTGCCCGCGCCCCCGCGCCGCGAAAAGCCGCGTCCCGTCACCCCTCCACCTGCACCCCCACCCGCGCTGGCAGGGAAGAAGCGCTCCGCGCCGGACGACGAGATCGAGGAGCTCGACGCGCCGTCCGCGAAGCGGTCGCGCACGGACGCCGGTGCGGGCGGGCTGCCGTTCACCCCGAGCAAGAAGCGGCGGCTGGAGGAGGACGGGCTGATCATGCTCGAGAACGAGGGCGAGAAGATCGAGGAGGACCGCGACCCGGACGTGATCGAGATCGACTAAGGGGCCCCCTTCGTCCGAGTGCGTGTGCGTGTATGTGTTCTGTCGTATATTCTTATCTTGCTGTCGCGATCGCTCGCAGTACGCTATGGTTGCTTCATCTACGTATGTTCGGTTTCTGTGCTCATGGCCCTCCTGTGTTGTATGAGTGCCCCTTCCTATCATATTCCTCGGCGTGGGCGCATGCGATGCGAACCTCTAGGACAAACAATCGTGCGTAGCCTTACTACCAACGCCTTCTACAATGACAATGATGTACACAGCGTCTCGATCTTTTGTTGCCCGAGGTTCCTTCTCGTGCAGCCTGCTGGAAGCATCGTGCCACGGAGCAAGATCGTTGCGACATGCTATTCCATGAACGAGCAGCATTTTGACCCAACTCCGAACAGTGATATTGTTGATCTGTTGCCGTGAGCTCACGGGCTGTTTGCATCTGGTCGTCCATCCCCAGTCACGTAGACGCCTAATATGTGCAATGGCAGCGAGATCACTAATCACAAGGCAAGAGACACACCTCGCCGGGTCCTACTATTCCGCGGAGCCCAAGAATGCGTTTCTACGCTACTACCATTGTTCAAGAACTGCCTCGCGCTGATGACCAGATGTGAGCATTTCGGGTCGCTTTGATTGGAGTCGCCGCCCCCTCCAGACTAACATCAAGCTTCCAGATACTGAGTACTTAAGGCCGCAAAAAAGTCTCTTGGAGCACACCCCACCAGCAACACCCCCTCGATCGACATCCTCTCTTTTCCATGACTGTGGTAGCGGCTTTTCTCGCCCTTCCGCTCCTAGCGGTGGTCTCTGGCAGATCCATTAGTCGGTCCACACCACTGGCTCTCCGGCAGCTGGTGGAGGTACCATCTGAATTCGACATTATCCAATCAAGCGCTTCAAATCAGGGTGCTAGCTTTCTTCACGGGCACGGAGCAGTAGTCGTTCATGTCGGATTAAAGCCTCAAAACCAGACCGCGTTGCTCGATTCTTTGATGGCCATAGGCGACCCGACCAGCCCTACCTATGGACAGCACCTGTCGAAATCCCAGGTATGCCGATGGACATTCCGCCCTGATATGCTGTCGTCTATGAACTCATTTGGGGCGTACAGGTCGCACAACTTGCAGCTCCTGCTCCGGAAAGCATGGCAGCAGTCACGGGATGGCTGCAGGACCACGGCCTCACCCCGGACGCCGTCTCCTCTTCTGGGGACATGCTCACGGTCCGCATGTCGCTCGAGAAAGCCAACTCGGTCCTGAACGCCAACTACTCCGCGTTCGTGCACACGGCCACGAATACCACGATGTGGAGGACACTTTCCTACTCTGTGCCCGCTCATCTTGATGAACATCTATCCTTTGTGTACCCGACCACTCAGTGAGCATCATAAAACGAGGAGGGTGATCCGATATGCATATTAGTTTGATATCAACAGATTCATTCCGCCTCCTGTCGCTCCAGCGATGACGCGCATGACGGGGCTCGCTGCTCGACTTCCGTCGAAGAGAAGTGACCAGTCAACGAGCTGCGCGGAGATGATGACGCCCAAGTGCCTTCAGGCGCTCTATAACATCCCTGCCACGCCGGCTACCGCTGCAGGAAACGGCATCGCAATCGGCGGCTCTTCAGTGCAAGTCGCAGACCTCGACGATTTGAGGGTGTGTTTCGGGTTCTTCGCTGTGTTCTCGGCCAGTATCATAACACGTTCGGGCACAGGCATTCCTCTCCCAGGAGCGACCAGACATCGGTGACGTTGCATTCACGCTGCAGTCAGTCAATGGCACTATAATTCAGGGAAACGGCACAGACTCGGCATCAACGGTGCGTATAGGCATTGTCAGTGGCTTGCCTGTTCATCCTGACATTGTTACTAGGCTGTTAGTGTGCAGTACGCTGTCGGATTGGCAACGAACGTGTCCACGACAGTCATATACCCAGGACCCCAGGATGACGCGGACGGAATCCAGGGCCTTCTCGACATCACGAACTTTCTCCTCGCTCAAGACACTCCGCCACTTGTGTTCCTAACAAATGTACAATACAACGAGGCTGCGTTCCAGCAGGCCCCTGAAATTGCGCAGTAAGCACTAGTCGTTACAAAATATCTATGATATCTAACATTCAGCTAGGTCTCTTTGCAATGCGTTTGCGCAGCTTGGCGCGCGTGGAATATCGGTCATCGCTGCGTCCGGAAACAGTAACCAATCTGGAACGGGATCATGTAATGGCGATGCTTTTCATGCCATGTTTCCTGCCTCATGTCCCTAGTGAGTGTGTCCTCTGTCGTTAATAAGGTAGTAGTAGGCTTACGAGGTTTGCAGTGTGACAGCCGTAGGCAGTACGCGAGGGATCAACACTGAGAACGCTGCAGATTTCTCCTCCGGCGGCTTCTCGGACGTGTTCCTTCGCCCTGCGTACCAACTCGACGCTGTAGCTGGTTACATGAAACAACTAGGAAGCGCAAACGCAAGTTCGGTGAACACCACCGGTCGTGCCTATCCAGATGTTTCGGCACAAGGTTCTCAATTCGTTGTCGAGGTCAACGGGCCACCCCAGACCTTCAACAGTACGAGTGCCTCGAGTGCGACGTTCGCAGCCGTGGTCGCGCTCCTCAATGATCGCCTGCTCAACGCCGGAAAACCCCCTCTAGGGTTCCTGAACCCGCTCTTGTACTCCAAGGGTCTTCCGGCTCTGAATGACATCGTTTCCGGTAGCAGTAGCCCGAGCTGCGGCGCTCGGGATGGCCTCGCCGCGACCCCAGGATGGGATCCGGTATGTCTCGATACTCACTCTACTACGGTTGAAGCTGACGTGAAGGTACAGGCTACTGGGCTCGGCACTCCGGATTTCCAGAAGTTGCTCGCGATTGTGGTGGGGAGCGACGCGGATGCCGACAGGTCTGGGACTGTGACGGCTGGTCGCCGGTCCTCCTCAGAACCGACGACTGACGTTACAAGGGGCTCGAGTTTGGAGGGCCTGTTTCCCTTCGCAACCCCGCCAGAGGACTCCGAGCAACTGCGCTCCACATGAACGCGCACGGACGCCGGTGCGGGCGGGCCGACCATGCTCAACAACAAGGGCGAGGAGATCGAGGAGGACCGCGACCCGGACGTATTTCGAGATCGACTAGGCGCCCCCTTCGTCCGAGTGCGTGTATATGTTCTGTCGTATATTCTTATCTTGCTGTCGCGATCGCTCGCAGTACGCCATGGCTGCGTCGTCGCCGTATGCTCGGTTCCTGTGCTCATAGCCCTTCTGTGTTGTATGAGTGCTCCTTTCCTATCACATGCCTCGGCATGCTAGGCGCGTGTGGTACGGACTGCTGTGCCACCCGCGGGGGATGGTCGCCAAGACATATTGTCCCATAGCTGAGCGATATTTTGAAGGTCACAGCTTCAGCGGTATGAACATGCCGAACTGTCTCACTATGTTGAGCAGATAGATATTCGCATCTGGTCGCCTAGCGAAGATAAGTTGGTGGCCACCGCATTAGCAAGGACACGCTACTACTTCATAAGATGAACGCCCTCGAACCTGGCCGGATACTACGGAACAATGACATATCAACATGTATACCGGGACGGTCATCAACTTCGAAGACCAACCTTGGCAGATGATGATGAGTGCTTCGCGCAGTATCTGCGGTATGGTTACCCACCTCAAACTACTTAAAGCCTGCCTAATTGCTTCTGTAGAGCAAGCTCTGTGAGCCAGATTCCCTCGTCCCACATCCTCTCCTGTCTGCGATGTTTTCCGTCTCTATCTTCATTTATACCCTCCTGGCAATAGTTTCGGGCAGGTCCGTCAAGCAGCCACCAAGTTCAAGCTCATCGAATGCTCGACGCGAGACCGTCCACCTTTCACCAGGGGATGCCCAATTCCGTTCCCACATTTCGAATCTAAATCATGGCGACTTCGGCGCGGCCATCGTCCGTTTTTCTATCAAGCTGCAGTCGCAAAACCAGACTGCGTTACTTGATTCCTTGATGGCTACGAGTGATCCTCTCGACCCTGGATATGGACAACACTTGTCAAAAGCCCAGGTATGCTAGCACCTGTTATTTCTCGACTCCTATAGATTCTGGGTCGCTGAATTTCGCCCAGGTAGCACAGCTGGCAGCCCCTGCTCCGGAAAGTGTGCAAGCGGTCATGGGGTGGCTGCAGGATAATTGCCTGGTGCCGAACGCCTTTTCACCCTCCGGAGATATGCTCACCGTTCCCATGTCGCTTGAGAAAGCCAACTCATTGTTGAACGCCAACTACTCCGCGTACGTGCATACGGCCACGAACACAACAATTTGGAGGACGCTCTCATACTCGGTCCCCGCCCACATCGACGAGCATCTGTCTTTCATATATCCGACCACTCAGTGTGTATCAGTGAGAAACGCATCATACTTGTGTAGTCTGATTCGATACGAGCAGATTCATTCCTCCCCCGGTTCCCGCGGCGATCACAACACAGGAAACGGGACAGGCCGCCGGGAGTGTAGACCAGACCGCGACCTGCGCAGAAGCGATGACTCCTCAGTGTCTGCAGAAGCTCTATAGCATCCCTTCCACGCCAGCTACCGCTTCAGGAAATAGCATCGTCATTGGTGGCTCCGCAGGGCAAGCCGCGGACCTCAAGGATTTGAAGGTGTGCCTCGCATGTTTCACAATCTTCCGCCGTCCTAACAGGTCCCGCGGAACAGGTGTTTCTGGCTCAAGAGCGACCGGACATCGCAAACGCTCCGTTCAAGATGCAATTCATCAATGGCACCACAGTACAAGGAAACGGTACAGGCTCGGTAGCAACGGTGCGTACCTTGAGCCTGCCGGGCTATGACGGTCGATTGCCTGAGTGTTCACACTTGAATTACCAGGCTGCTGGTGTGCAGTACACGGTCGGACTGGCATCGAACGTGTCCACCACAGTCGTATATCCCGGACCAGAAGATGACGCGGACGGCATCCAGGGTCTCTTCGATATCACAAGTTTCCTGCTCGCCCAGGACACTCCACCAAATGTGTTCCTTACAAACGTTCAGTACGAAGAGGCTGCATTCCAGACGGCCCCGGAGGTCGCGCAGTAAGTATTACGTTATTCTGGTGTCTCCGTCGTCTAACGCCCAACCAGATCTCTCTGTAACTCATTCGCGCAACTCGGGGCGCGCGGAACATCCGTGATCGTTACCTCTGGAAGCAGTGGCGATACTTCCAGTGCCATGTTTGCTGCGACGTGTCCTTAGTGAGTGTTTGTAGGATGATGTCAGGTCTCTCAGTTAATTGTTGTCCTGCAGCGTTACCTCCGTGGGCAGTACTCAAGGAAGCAATCCCGAGCGCGCAGCAGACTTCTCTTCTGGCGGGTTCTCAAACGTGTTCCCTCGCCCTGCATACCAGCTCGACGCCGTGGGTGGCTATCTGAAGCAAGTAGAGAACTCAACTGCAAGCTCAGTCAACACCACTGGTCGCGCATACCCAGACGTAGCCGCGCAGGGTTCCCAGTTTGTTGTTGAAGTCGGCGGTCAGGTTCAGAGCGTCAACAGTACGAGTGCCTCGAGCGCGACGTTTGCGGCCGTTGTCGCGCTCCTCAACGATCACCGGCTGAACGCCGGAAAACCCCCGCTGGGGTTCCTGAACCCGTTGCTGTACTCAAAGGGCTTCCCAGGTCTGAACGACATCGTCTCTGGGAGCAGCAGCGAGCCGAGCGGCTTCACCGCAACCACAGGATGGGACCCGGTATGTCTTGTCAATCACCCAAATGTTCTGTGTGGAAACTAATGTGAAGGTGTAGATCACTGGGCTCGGAACTCCCGATTTCGAGAAGTTGCTCGAGGTCGTAGCTGGGAGCAACTCGAACGCGACTGAGAGATCTCGAACTGCGGAGACTGCCCGCCGTTCCTTCGCAGCACCGACAGCTGACGCCATCCGAGGCTCGGGTTTGGAGGGTCTTTTCCCATTCGCTTCATCCCAGAAGCAGGGGTCCAATGCGCGATGATGCTTTATCAAAGTAGTTTCTTGTATGCCAACCGATAGCCTGCGTATCGGGATTGTACTACTAGTATCTCGCTGTAAAATTTAGTGTAATATCAAGCGTTCCTCATGATGATATATATCAGAATGTTCCGTACCGGACGCGAGTGGCCATATTGTGAATCACCGCGTCCGCCATAGCCTGCAAAGTTCTCGATTGCCAATAAGCCTTTCGATGTTCAAATGAATTGCGATACATTCGTAAGGACACAGCCCACTATGAATACAAGATTAAACAGAGGATAGACACGCTGCCAATGGGTAACGAAGTCACGCTCAGGACACGGTGATCCGCTGGGGCTGAGGAACCGCTGCCTGTCTCGGGAAGGTGACGGTCAGGACACCATTATCCATCGACGCCTTGATGTCCTCTGGCTGTTATTACGAGCAAAAATTATACACTGTGCTTTTATACGTCAAATGTCAGAGCCGACATACCTTGATCCCCTCTGGGACGGGCAATGAACGCGCGAAGCGGCCGAACCGTCGCTCGCGCACGACGAAGCCGTTCTCTTGCTTCTCTGACTCGTCCTTGGACTCTCCGGAGACGGTGAGCACATTGCTACGGAGGTCGATGTTTACGTCCTGCTTATTGATACCCGGGAGCTCGAACGTCGCGTTGACGAGGTTCTTTTCCTTGTCCTCGTGGACGTCGACTCTGCACGCCGCGCGTCAGTCCTTGCTGCTTGGTATGTAGAATGAGTACTATGCTGAGCTTACCTAGGGCGCAAGACGCGGGGTACGTTGTTTGTGGGCTGCTGTTTCTGCAGCTGGTTGTTAGATGCTGTCCCGTCAGTGCGGCGAGCGAAGGCCTCGTCGAAGAGGCGGTCGAATTCGGAGAAGGGGTCACTGAACATGGAGTCGTTGAACAGGTTGATGAGCGCCATTTATGAGGTAAGGGAGAGAAGTATGAGATGATAAGTGGTAGGGGTGCGTTCAGTTAAATGTTCAGGGAGAAGGGCGACTTCAACAGGTGCTTTGTTGTGTTTTTTTGCTGACCTGCTCGAGCGCAGGGCAGGACGCTTTTAAGCGTCAGCATGGACTGGCGCCGAGGTTTCGTGACTGTTCCGGAATGTTATCATTTGATCAGGAGGCTTACTTGAACCAGGTCTAGGTGGGACGACGAAAGTACGAGAACAGTGTGGCAAGACGCTCGAAGCTTCGTGGCGTTGAGTAGCGTTTGGAAAGGCGCCCAAGCGAAGCCAAATAGACACAAGCATTCCCGCGCGTTAGACGTTCGTGAGCATCTTTGACCACGACCACGAAGTTATTCTCCTCTATTGATCATGCTATCCTTGTGAGATCTCTCTTATCAATGTCTAGAGAAGGAACGTTCATCATTGCCGTTGAAGGTATGTCTGTTGCAGCTGCAGTGACTGTGTTGGGAGATCCACCCCAGACACGTCCTCGGAATCCAGGAACACGTCATCGGTGTTGTTAACCAAATGGGCGAGTCGAGCTTTGCCATGACGAAGCTTCTGGGCCACGGCATACACAACTGCGACGCCGCACACAAGTGCAAGAGCGAGGACGACGCATGAGAGAGGCTTTCCTCAGACGATGACATGTGGTGCCTCGCAGCGAGAACTGGCTAGTCGCGGAACCCATCAAGACCGCGCTTTGGGCCTTCCAGCCTGTCGTCGCGGACGCGCGCAAGTTCAATCGATCTTCGTGCGCGTAGGTATATCGACAAGAGTTGGAGAATTTGACGAGCGAATAGAGAACATGGCTTGCGCCAACCGGCGTGTGATGTCATTCCGAAACGACCAGTTCAGAGAGGACGTCCGTGCTGTGTCTCCCATATCGATACCAAACCGGACATCCCCCGGTCGCTGCGAACGATCGCTATGCGTTGCATAAAGTCGTTCCAGGTCAACTTCGCGTTTTGTGCGGCGGCGAGCGAGCGGAGCCGCAGAGCCTGAGAATCTGCACGCTCCGGCTCAGGCTGTCAATGCGCCGTCCACGGAGCCGCAAGATAATCACAGGCCCACAGACCACAGAATGGCGTCGGGGACATAGAGGGCCCACGACTCTTCGAAATATGCCACGCCTTGAGATGCCCGCGCGATTCGCGCCTCCCGACTCGAGTCGAGACTCCACTGTAGGCACTTGACCACCCCTTGACAGAAGTGCCGCGTGCACCAGAAGCGGGCGTCTGGAGGGCACGTTTCGTCGAGAAAGGCAGGTGCTGTGGATCGTCGCCGAGGAACGTGGGATATCCTCCGGAAACGCATGCGTTCGCGCTCCAAACCATGTGCAAGGCTAGGCCAGTCGCTGGGCCATCTTTCAAGCGAAATGGGAGTAGAGTGGAGCGATGGTGAAGCCCCCAGGGCTCCTCTCGGCTCCAAAATACTGCTGAAATGAGCACATAGTCGATAGGACTGCAAGGTGAGGTTGCCGCGCTGCACGCCGAATTTCTGGGAACCGCGTATATATCTCCAATCACGATCACAGTCATACATGCACACAGCATATCCAGTCCATCGAAACAGATAACCAGGGCTCAGACAGGATAGTAATGAAAGACACTCAGATGCTCCGAGCGCCATCTAGGATTCGCCGGCTCGCGCTGCGGGACTTCGCGCGAGTCTAGCTGGGGCGGCAAGCCACCGTGCACATGGCCGCGCCGCGATCTGCGGGGATACAGTACGAATCAGCGACCGTTGTGGAAGACGCAGGCCGGTGGCGGAAGAAGTACGTACCACCTTGGTTTGCTTAGAGACCGAGGAGGGCGAGGAGAACAGTGAGACCGAGGGTGCGGATAATGCCGACGACCCCAGCAAGGAGGGGCACCAGGATGACGGTGAGGTCGACGAGGACGGCTCCGACAATGACGGTGACGGCCTTCAGGAGGGTCCCGACGAGCTCGCTGTCGACCAGTAAGTCACTGGAATCAATACATATGAAGGACGAGAACTGACCCGACGCCAACGAGGAGCAGGAAGACAGCGGGGGCGATGCCGCCGTGAAGGAGCGTGATGACGGCGCCGACGGCCTCGAAGACGAGCTATTTCGGAGGCTGTTAAAGTTTGCGAAGTCGAACAAGAAACGAGGAAAACATACGATGCTGACGGCGGCAAGGAGATGGGCGACCTCGACGGCAGTGAGTACCAGGGTGCCGTCGAGCGAGGCGAGGATGACCTTGACGGGGAGGCCGGCAAGTCCGTGGACGCGAGTGGTCGAGGTGGTCAGGACGTTCTTGATGCCGTTGACGGAGGGGGTGAGGCCCTCAACGGTCGCGTTCTGCGTGGTGGCGAACTCTGCGTCGGCCGTCAGTAAATGCTGTCTGACCGGGGGACTCGTGATGTGGACGTACTGAGCTGGTTAGTGAAGGGAAGGAGCTGGCTCTGGGCGTCCGCAAAGATCGACGCAAGGCTGTCTTGCGTGGCACGAGGGGCGACGGCAGCGGCGACGGGGACCGCGTTGAGCTCACCAGCCTGACCCGGGTGGGGGATGGCGGAGGTGACCGCGCTTAAGGCGAAGGTGGCGAAGATGGCGATGGTGCTGAAGGAGAACATCTTGACTGTGGGGGGTAGGGAAGGGAGTGTCTGAGCGACTGGAAGGACTGGATGAGTTTGGGAGAAGACTGACTGGATGCCAATGTCGACCTACCTCAGGAAGGGCGTGCTTTTATACCCGCGTCGCAGCCCCATCTGCATTTTTGGAAGTCATTACGCATGCACGGTTCCGCCCACTTCGTCGACTGCAGGGAGAGGGAGCTCGGCGTTTCACAGCTTGCCTGTACGCAGCCGAACCGCGCGCTAACGCCAATGAGAGACACATCGATCACACGGTAGCTTGTACTCCACCAGTGAATAGGCCGCCCTTCGTGACTCTGCGGTTCTGGGAGCATTGCGAAAAGTCAATGACTGCGGACCAGACAGCGTTGATTGAGCGGCGGACGGTGCGCGCCCCAAAATCGGGATGCCGCGTGTTGATTCATCTTAGCGAACCAATAGGGGGCCGAGGCGCGCCCAGCGCTCGTGAAGACTCGGTCGGTACCTGGGTAAGAGGCGTCAACACTGCGGATATAGAAGACTTCGTTCATCGCCCGCGGAGGATGGCGGGAGGCAGGTGTTCTCGGCTTCTTTACCAGAGCCCCAAGTACGTAGCAAATGAACGATTGCGAACGGTGGATGCAGGATGAGGACATCAGGGACGAATTGCGCCGGATGACAAAATATACATCCCATCCTGCATCAGGGGGTTCGAAACAGGCGAGGAATGTTGCGTTCCCGTGGTGTATTTTGGAGCGGAGGACATAAGGCGGTCGAAGTGACGAGCCATGTTTCGCAGGCGCCCGGGATGTTCAGAGCGTTGGGGTGATAGCGCAATGGTTTGACTGGAGTGTGCAATGCATTGAATGAACATATTTCACGAGGATAGTCGAGTAGAACTGTACGCCCAAAGCTGCAAGACCGTAGCTAGTTGGAAGTAGATGGCAGAAGGCGTTGAATAAACTCAAGAATTTTGGCTTAGAGTTCGCCTTCCCACGGGCCATCGGGCGCTCAAGATCGGAGATCCCGCCCACAGCAAGGCCAAACAAAAGGCGAGACCGTTCCCTCCGCCGTGTCTTCCTCGTGCAACGATGTGCTCGACCGTGTCCAGATCTGCGCCGGCGAGAACGTTTTCAATTCCTCTCGTCTCTAGCCGCCTCTAGCTCCCCAAGACTTCGCGGGAAGTGGGCGGCGATGTCTCCTTCGAGCCCGTCTCAGTGCGGGCGGAGGGAGCGTCGGTGCGGCCCAGGCTGTCGCGGCGACCGTTAGCACCGAAGCTTCTCCCGGCCAGAAGTACGATTCTCAGCGCACTTCTAAACCCTACAATATAGTGACACCGCTTCCATGTTACAGGGATATTCTTCTCTGCGAAAGTTGTTTTAGCCCTTCACTCTCCGGATGGAATTGCCTCATCAGATCAGAAGTCGCAGCAGAGACATCGAGACGGCTGTCTCACGTCTCGCCTGACCTGGTATGTCCTCGCCTGATTCTCGGGGACCCAACTCCACTTGTACGTGTACCGTATCTTCCCGAGAACGCACTCACGTACATGCGCGCAGGCCGGTCCCGCCTCATGCAGACAAGGTATCGCAATCTGTGCATCAAGAGCTCGTCACGCCCGAGGATGTCCGGTTCGTCGAGTTGATGAGTCTCCTGGATACCTCGACACGGTGGGGCTGGGAATCCGCGGAGGTGCAAGTTGGCCTCACGAACTGTCGACATCTAGTACACCCGGTCACGCCTTCCTAGCTTCTCACCATTACACCTTTCTGGGCCTCTACTCGGGTCGGCTATGGCGAATAGCTCTTGCGAATAGCGCATGATGTGTTCCGGGTCCAATAATCGACTAGGAGGCACCCGCACCACATATGTGCTCCTTTACCCTTCCCCCTCCCCCCCGTCCGGGAATCCTTGGCGTGCTCGACCGGTACGCATGTCTTTTACGGAGCGCTGTGCCCTTGCTGTGAGTCTTCTCTACCGCGCCTACCGGAGCTTCTATCCTCTTTCAGCGTCGTCGGTGCTGCCGTACCCTCTAACCTTCGTCCCCCATGCAGTCCTGTACTGGCCCCGTCAACGCCCGCGGACACCACATGTCGCGGTGCAAGAATAGCAGACACACGTCGGGCAAAACTTTCATGATCTGCGGTACCGTCGCTCCGCCGTATCACCCCCGCGGGCCCGCTCCGAGGACGGACAGGTTATGTACGCCGTCGGTAGCGAGATCATAGATCCAGGCTCGTCGGAGCCTCCGTGGAGCCGTGCGAAGGCCAAGGCGAGTGGCATCTTCGCTGAGCAGCACATTTGTGACGCGCATCATGATAAACCTCGAGCTCATGACTTGAGCGCGGACACCCAGGCACGCCTCCCCTGGCTATGTCGTCATGTAGCCGTACGAGACGCCGACGAATGCGAAAGACACCGATTGCGCGGACTGGATCTGCCATATTGAGTGTGTTGTCGGTGCTTCGACATGCCGTGCACGCAGCACGGGGCCGCACTGACGTTCGGTACATCATGACGTGCTATATGAGGTATCGCGGTCCGGAGAAGGAGAAGCGGGTGAGACGGGAGCTTGGGTAGGGTGAGTAAGAAAGCCCGGTTTAGACACGGCGGCCTCCTGAGAGGGGGAGTCGGGAGATGCAACGCTTGCTCGAACGTCTCCCCCGACCCCCCACTGCTTCCGCCTAGTCAACACTTCGTGAGCCTGCTTGGCAGCGTCTCTTCCTTCCCTCCCTCATAGCCTAGTACTCGGCTACTTCGTTACCTTGCACGACGCCGGCAGAGATGGAGATTGCTCCTGATCGCCAGCAATCACCCACGGGAAGCTGCATTTTCGAATTCGATGTGCACGTCGCTGACTGACATGTAGTAGTGTATACGATTGGACGCCTCGAGACATACGTGAAGGAAAGCGAATTTTCAAGACCACTACAGAATAATCAGTAACACCGCGGGATGAAGAGACGATTGACCCCCGTGGCGGACGCAGGATCCCGACTTTCAGAAGGTATTCTGTCACGACGTTCAATAGCTGTGCCGACGCCAATAGCAGCGTCCGTCCCCACAGTACGTCGTCCATATTCACTGTCCTGCGGTTCGACGCTGTCAGTGGCCACCTTACGCGGATGTCTTACCGTCTTGTACACAAACACGTCGCGTCGTAGACGTTGCATGAAGTACTGCGCGGCGCGATCGCGTCTAGCGGACGAGGGATCGTACGATGGCGCTTCTGATCTGGAATGGCCCGCGTAAAACCTGGCAGATGAGAGACGCAAGGACAAAATTAGCGAGGGACAGATAAGCGCGTACGCTGCCGCGAACATGCTCACGACTGTCCAAGACGTACTCACCGCTTTGCGAAACCTAAAAAATGACGAGCGTCCCTCCGCCTTCCAGTATACGAGCGCTCTCCTGCCAAGCTGATGCCGAACCGTGCGGCTGCTGAGGTCGACTGAACTCTGGAGGTACCGTGCCCGCCTTCCAAGCCGCGTGCACGAAGTCGATACAGTACCACACGTGCACGCGCTTCCATTGCAGCCGGTGTAGATCATCATTCTGAAGTTCGGGGGAAGAGAGGGTGCGGGACGCCTTCGAAGCGCGGGTGGAGTAGGTTTGTGAATGTTCAGAAGAGACGACCGGTATCTTCAAGGGGTACTCACCGTACAAGGTTCTGCTTCGCTCGTTCGGCCGCTCCTGGTGCCCTTCCCTCTCCCGCTCAGGATACATTCAATCTTCGCTACGCGACCCATCGTACGATGACCTGACCATCCCCATGCGCGGCGCTGCCAATGTTCCCTGTGACGTCTAAAAATAACCACGAGAGGATTGGCTCACATGCCTACACGCCAGCACCCTTTACTACTAGTGTAGATGCACGACGCCGCCAATACACGCAAGATCCTATGTATGCTTGACGCCACGTTCGGCAGCGCGCGGCATGAGATATACAACCGTGGGTGTACGTGAGGGCAGCGATACGACGGCCCATGGTAGTCGTCCATGACTTTCAAGTTGTTACTAAAGTGGGTATCTGTCCCATTCCTGCAACGATGAGAACCGTTTGACCACAGCTAGCGTCCCGACTTAGAATGGTTGAATATTTTACCTGGCTCATTCTCGGCCTCAGCAGCAACTTGAATGCCTACAGCGGTTGGCACCGATCTAGAAGCCGCCGTGGTCTTGATGCGATGGCGGGCAGACAGCTACACGGAGCAATGACGACCGACCGAAATGCAATTCCTGACGTATCTCCAGGCAACCGTTACCGGTGCTTATTTAGTGTGCTCCATTCGCGTTGAGTGAAACCACTTAGGATGATTGTGTGTTTTTGCCTTCGCGAAATATCGTCATACTCACTCATGTGCGAGCTTCAATGTTCCGCGAGCGCACCACACTTGTCCTGAAACTCGTAGGAATAACAACTCAGGATCATGGAGGTACGGAAGAGAGAGAAACGGCTAGGACCCCTGGCAACGCTGAAACCTCATGGCTTCCGGGGGCCCGGAAGCTGCCACGCGTTTAAAGTTAGTCGAAAAAGTTTATTTAGTGAGGCAATCGTTTCCTCAAACCACTCAACTCGTATCGATCACTGTCAATGCATCTCTTGTTGCGCGCACGTACTCGAAGCTATGGGAGAGATAGAGCTTTCTTCAGAAATGCCACACTTGCACGTATGTTTTCCAATGGGCCGTTGAACTTGATGCGTGTCTCACTGCTTTCTGCAGACCTAGGGGATACATCCCGCTGTTGAGCGCATTTCGCAAGGCTCCCGATGTCCAAAAACCGCCTTTGCACCGGTTGAGACGTGAATCGCCGTGATACTGCGCGAGGGTGAGCGTCCTCGTCATGCCACGTGGCTAGGCGGTGGTGCTTACCGTGGCCAGAAAGCTGAAAAGCTACTGTAAGCACCTAAAAAATATTACACTACATCGTGCTTTGTACTTGTGATAGATGTTGAACATTTTTTTGGCGTTTTAAGGGCCTTGAGACCATCAAACTTCGTTTAGGCGGTTGCGGAGCCCTGGACAACGAGGTCCTCGCAACCACCGACGGAGACATGTGGATTGAGTCTATACGCAATCCTAAATGTTTGTTCTGTGAGAGCTCTCCTCCCAGGCCGATATCATCATATTGTCGATTGGGATTATCACAGGCCTCGCAATCAATGGCCTTCGCTATCCCCCCACATGATTTAAATACGGGCGTAGGCTTCGCTGGGGATGACTTCAGTTTCGTTTTCACGGCGGGTATACCTCACTCACCGATACTCGATTTCCCCGGATACCTTTAGCCTCTCCAGCCCGTGGTGATGAATCTCGAGCCCAGAGCGGGGCCCCAATGCCGGTGCCGTCAAGAACGCTATGGAGCACCGCGCAGGACTGTGTTCTCGAACCAAACTGTCCATCCCGGCCGCATCGCAGATATCTGTCGAGATACTGTGGGTGCACGCGGACGAAGGTTTAGAGCCTTGGGACTACAGGTATGTGCATGCCGCAAGTGGTTGAACCCGGGACAATGTGCTGACCCATACGCGGCTGATGTCAGACAGAGCCTACCCGGACAATGGCTTTGTCGCGGTCACGCGGAGTGCGCGTCGAGCGCGTCGATGGTCAACGGCGCGCCTGCGCGTTCTTTGCCTCTGTTTGCTCGCTATTGTGGCTGGCTATAAACCCTCGCGCGTCCTTGGCTTCCCTCCCTATACACTTTCGTTCGGCTTTAGGATCCCACCCCCACCCCTGTGCGCACAACGCCATCGACTTACGCTATTCTCAACATGGAAGCCATCTCATCAATCGACACTCTTCTGGATCACTTCGACCAGCTTCTCCCGCCTCCACGTCCGCTCGAGGAAAAGATTGTCACTTCGGGGAGCAGGTCACCTTTCCTAGTAAGTCCTTCTATGTCGCGATGTCCTCCCGACATACCCTGACCGCTCCCAACTAGATATGGCACTCCGACGCGCCCAAAGATCCTGGACGGGATATCCAAGAGCACGGATGCTTCTCAGCTCCATTCCGCTCCCGGTCGCCGACTCCCTTTCAAGATGCATTTGCTGAGGCGTACCGAGCGATCAACGCACTGTCCCCAAGCCCTTCGTGTCCGCCTAGTCCGCGTGTTCCGGAAGAATCAGACTTACTCGGTTCTGAGGCCCCAGGTTCGCACTCGCCGTCATTTTCCTCAGGTTGTAGAGCGGACAACGTGGGAATGAACGAGTCGGAAGGTGACGAGGACGGGGCTGAAGATGCAGTACGTCCAATCTTCACGTTCCTGTATACTTCCTGCTCACGTATAACGACGGTAGGCTTTGGAAACAATCGCAGCGTCGTCCCCCAAGGCATGTATCACCCCTGGAAGCCCGACTGTTGATTACGGGGTTCCAGACTCTCAAGAGTCTGCGGCATCATCCGAGGATTCCCTGACCGTATCTCCGAGAACCCAGAAGGCCTCTTCTGGACCTCCAATCTCTCAATCCGACCCTGAGGCGTTTCCCGACTCTCATAGCCCTTTGCGCGCTCGAAGATCTACACGCTTAATGAAGAGGAAACACACCACGGACAACGGGAATCAGGAAGGGAAAGAGAACCTCCCGGAGCAACATTCTTCCAAGTCCGTCGACGAAGCCACATCTCATCTTGCGCCTTCTCGCCCCCGCAAGCGGAGAAAGGTTTCACACCAGCAAGAGCAGCTCCCGTCTGTGGCAACGCAGCCCCAAGCAGGGCCTTCCACTGGGGCGCAGCGGTGTCGATTGGGTAGCGGACAGTGCGAGTACCAGCTGACCAAGAACTTCGACAAAGATTGGGATCACCTCAAGAAGGAACACGGAGACCGCAATGACGACAATTTATTCGCGTGTACGTATCCCGGGTGCACCGGCTATCCGAGTAAGGAGACGTCGGGCTACGAAAAGAAGCAAAGTCTGAACAGGCACGTCATGTCGGTGCATTGGACCGGGGAGGTGCGCTGCTATTGGCCGGGCTGCGATAAAGTGTACCCCCGGAAGGACCAGGTGACCACACATGTACGACGCTTTCACGAGAAGATACCGGCGGCGAAGGGAATTAAGAAGGCGCCCAAGAGGACGAAGAGGTGAGGTGAGTCTTCGTGATAACTCGCGGGGTGCACACTGGTCCTGACTCGTCAACAGCCACAACATGTGGCTATGATATCGTCGTATGTTCTCGTATCTCCCCAGGTATTGTACTCTCCGTTGTCACACTATGCTCTGCTGTATTACTATGTTCCCTTCGTTGTCGCTGTCGCCTTTGCTGCCACAGTTATCTCCGACCTGTATGGATCCTTGCTACTCGATGTACCTAGAGTTAGTAATTGACTTTAACACTTTCAACCTCGTAAAGTCGCTGTTGGATCCCAAATCCGGAGACTGTGCGAGGGAGCACGCGCCTCAGCGGCGCGCGAATTCTGCATTCCTCGCCCGTGTACTAGTAGTCCGAATCACCGCTCCGTGTGCACTTAAAGTGTGACCCTATGAGTACCTTACTCTACATGTCCTACCTGTCGATACTGAGATACGTACTAGTGGTTCGTGCATGGCCGGAGGGGATATAAGGAATGATACTGTATGTCAGACACACTGTATTCGTACATGAGGGCAAGGACTGTAACAGCGCGGCGTGCCTAACGCCTTCTTAAGGCGGTCTACACTGCTAATTGCATTGCGGTTTAAGACGGAAAAGCTCGTCGCGGTTGCGGGGCCGTGTTGGGACGCCAAGGTGGGGACATCAGCCTGCGTGTACGTAGTACGCCAGATCCTATAGGAATGTGTTACTGTTCTTCGTACATTATATTATATCGTAGAAGTGTACATGGAGGACGCAGGTAAATACCAGGGGCGAGCGAATTCGGGGGTCCTACCATCGTTAAGACCGATGTATTAGCTCCGGGCACCACCGCATCGCCGTCGACAATCTTGAGTAACTCCCGCAGGTCGCGAATGTGTTACCCTCTCAGCTGTACTACAACGTGCCTGTAGGGGAACTCATAGTTGCCCGGTGCATCTGCGTAGATCGCATCCGCTTCGGCAGTCCTAGGGGAAGGCCCCGGCGCGGTTTGCAGAGTACCGACGATTGCGCTGCGCAAGCATCTTTGCCTCCGTCTCGGAGTTTGTATGGCTTTAGCGCTGGTATTATAGAGTGATGCCTCTTGGAGCCCGGTTTGTCTACCGCGGCGAGATGTGGTGGATGTCCGGTGAGGATGGAAAAGCCTGTTGGTGGAGACGTTGTAGCGTCGTGCGTGGTGGCCCAAGAATCGTGTGGGGTTGTCAGGTGCAACGCGCGTACTCGACGTCTGTTGGTGGTCTGGCCGAATCCTATACTATCGCACAAACCCGTCCTTGTCAGTCGAGATTGAAATGGAAGCCTGATTACGAGGGTCTACTCACATCATTGAACTCTCCGCCGCTTCAGTGGCGGCTCGTCTTCATCCTAATCCTCGGCGTCCTTGTTATCATGCTCGCTCTCCGGTGCAGCCGCAATAGCGTCGTGGGTCCCTTCCTTGTGCCGGTCCAGCGAAAACAGCGTATTGCATTTGAAGGCGCACTTGTCACACCCAAATTCCCGCCCCCAGTGCGAGTTCTCCACATGCTTCGCAAGATTCGCCTGCGCGGTCTTGCCCGAGCACACGGTCCCGCAACGCGTGCCCCCAGGTGTAGCAGCCCACGTACATGCGAGTGAACCCTTCTCGACCTCTTCCCGCACCTCCGCGTCAGATAGGACGCCTTTCTGGCGAGTCTTCAGAGGCCCCGTGGTCGAGGAGACCGTGCCAGCATTCTGCGGGATGCGAGAAGGATGCGCTGACTTTATGTGCTGCTTGTTGGACGTTGGGTCGTCCGTGAGCGCCTGCTGGCATTGGCCGCCGTCGAGCCCGCACACGGATACCTTTCGAGCAGCGGTTTGCACGGCCTTTACTTCGTCCTGCGTGCTTCGTGGACGCTTCGTGGGAACCTCCTTCGTCTCTTCATCGGACTCTGACAATTGTTCCTGTGTGTCTAGGTCTTCGATGGTGATAGACGATGGAACCGGAGCGGGTTGAGCCCTCTGGCTTCCGGTCCTAAATCGCGTGACGACGTTCAAGTGCGTCCAACGTTTGTCCGACGCCGATATGTAAAGCGTGATGGGCGACGGCCCTGCGGAAGGCTGCTCCTCGTGTCCGCGAGAAGAGCGGCGGGCTTTTGCTGGCGGTGGGCCGAGCTGAGACCGAAGGGGAGGCTCGCGTTTCTCGACGGCGACGGTAGATGGGTTGACAGCAATGCGATTCTCTTTGTTGCCTTCGCTGCTTGGGAGAGCTTCCCCGGCATGGATGGCATGTTGTGCTCGTTGTGATCTGGTGACGCGCGGGGGCGAAGCGGCAGAGGAGATAGGTCGGCGTACGTGACTGCTACCCATCGACTGCAGAGCATCGCAGAACCAGATCTCAGACCATAGACATTGAAGCACATGACTTTGCACGCACCTTTGAACTCTCGCTTCCTCCATACTCAGACTGCGAATCGTCGTCGCTCCCAGTCTGGTCCGCTACTTCTTCCTCGAATGGGTCGATGTTGACGAATGGTGCAAGTGCGAAGGTGTTGGAGTCCATTCTGTGTGGATGATGAGGGGAGAAGTTGAACGGGAAAGTGTAGCGTGTAGATTGGGCGGGTAAGACGAAAAGCGCGAAAGCGAGCCACAATGGAGCGCTGTTCACCTTTTGAGTCGCGTCGTTGCCTGAACTCTATTTTGTTGACCATCGACGCACACGACCGTGTCGCGACAACGTGACGACAATGGAGGTTTCATTTGTTTTCCGACGCGTCCTAATCGGGCATTCTCTGCCTGCGCCATTGTTCAGTGCTCAAACTCATATCGAGTGGGGCATCGCACTCACCATACACCGCGTGCAGACCTCGAGACGAGTGACGAGGGAGTGGGTTCTGTACGGAGAACCCCTCGAACGCGAATTTTGCCCGTAGACCAGAGGTAGTATTTGGCATCTCGCTGCGAGTGCATAGCTCAGCTTCGATGCCGACCATCGCCTGCAGAGCCACACCACCCGACCGAGGATCGTGCGACGATGCTCGCCCCTACCACTCCAATACGACGTCGAGTCTGTCATATCCTCCGCATGCGACCGAGGGCAACGGTAGAAATTGTAAGAGGGAGGCACGGGTAGTCAAGGATGCACCGTGTAGGAACAGTTTGGTGAATTCGTCTCTCGATCTCCACGCGCGAGCCTCCTCTTATACTCCACAGAACCCGCAGGAGAAACATCGTTCAGGATTGCCCACAAAAACGCGGGGCCATGCCGCCACCCGAAACCAGAAAGAGAGGGGCCCAACATCACCTTACACCCACGAAAGCAGTTTCGCGGTTGGCAGGTAGAATGGTACGTTATGACGTGGCTTCCCGGGTACAAATGGCTGATGCTGTAGCTTTTACGAGCTCATGAGCAGAGAAAATCCAGCCAAAGAAGATCTCTGAAAGGCATTATCTTGGAGGTGCGCCATGGCGCAATACACACCAACTTTGGGGTCCTATTGGACTCGTACTCCCAAAGTACGTTCGCGTCCTGCATACGGCGCCCAAACGGAGCGCAAGTGGGCTCCGAAGCACAGATTCATGCGTTTGTGCATTTCTCAGTGAACACGATGTCCAAAGCCTTCGCTCCCCGGCCGGACTCCTCAGAGCGATATTCGCTCCGAGGAGGGCCGCGGAATTGGGGTGTTCACTAGCGCATCAGCAAAGTGGGTGTCGTTGACGTGTAGCTCTAGATAACGCCACGTCGTTGGCGTCGTGCTGCGTAATCCATGTAATTATACTAAATGACGTGTGGGAGCTATGAATGTCGGGAGAGTGGGCGGCACGACGCGTAATGACGCAGAACGTCGCGCACGAGTCTCGATCATGCTGGGTCACCCGGCGCGAGATTCTCGAGAGCTCTCGAGAACCCCGCGCAAAGCTCCCTAGAACGACCTATAACCTCGTGCGCAGTGAGGTAGCATGCCGCATGAGCGCGCGCCGTGATATGCATAGCTCCATAGAGCGCCGCAGAACTCTGTGATGAACTCTGAACCTGGAAGGCTGTAAGCCGCACAAAGAGAGGTCTTCAGTCTGTGAGAGAACGACTATGATTGCATAGTACTGTACCTGTAAGCCGCACAAAGAGAGGCTACAAGTACTAGTAAGTAAACATGTAAGGAAGCATAGGTAGTGTGGGACTTACTCTTCAGTCTGTGAGAGAACGACTGAAGAGCAGAGGCCTGCAGAGTCCTCCTTATATACTACTGGGGAGGACGATGAGTAAGCGTATAAGAAGAGAGCATGTGACGTCCAGAGGACGCTGACTGAGCGATGAGTAACGCTGAGTAAGGGAGCATAATCGACATAAGGTCAGATAGTCCATGGCTGAGTAATGCGAGTAATCCGGACGCTGTCTAGAATAGTCCGGAACATCGTAGAACGTACCAGAATCATGTGGAGGGATGGCAGGATGCCAAGTAAGTACAGAACAAAAGAATGTACGTATATGGTAAGTAGGAAAGTCCATGCTGGCGTATGGTAGACGCACAGCCACTATCACT